TCGTGGCCACCGTAAGAAGTTTCTCAGAATGTTCCAGGAGACGCTCCTGCGCCCGGGTCCGCTCGCGCAAGCTTTCCAAGCTCTCAGAGAGAACGACGCAGCGTTCACACGCGGGAGGGATATCGCCCCGTCCTCCCTCGCCTCTAACCTCTTCTGCAGTACGTACGGGATCAGGGTTGTCAGGGACTACTGTGTTGTCCTCCGCACGACTCAGTCGCCGCAACGTTGTGGATAGGCCAGCGAGCGCCTGAAGCATGTGCCCGGCTTCATTCGGGTCCGGTCCGACGCCATCCTCCGCTAACACGCCTTCCTCGGCCAGACTATCATCCTTGTCGCACCTGCCATCACCAGCACCTCCACCATCACCATCACCAACAGCCTCCTTCTTCTCCTCCGCCTTGGATGCCACGGTTATTTCGACCCCTGCTTGCCATTCAACCCTCCTGTCGTTGTTGGTGCTGCCATCACCCCGATCGCGTCGTTTATCCTTTCTGCCCCGACGATGACGGCGTCCGCGCAGTGGGCTGCCTGGTCTCGAGGCCGGCGACACTCCTCGTTCGCGCTGATTGTCCCTACCGCTGCGCGGGGACGAAAGTGAGCTCGCGCCGCCACCGTCATCATGTCGAGGGCTGCTTGTGGTTGACAAGGCTTGCGCAGTCTCTCGGCCCCCCTTTGTGCCGCGGCCCCTACCGCCGCCGCCCCTGCCACCACCGTCATCGCTGGCGTCGGCAGTTGACTCCACCCGTCTCCTTCTCGACCTCGATCGTCGTTTCCCCCTCCTCTTGCTCTCGTTGCTAACTTTGGGCAGCTGCTGCTCCGCTGCTCCGCGTTGGTCGGACACGTCCCCAATTCTCTCGCCGCCGTGTGCTGCAAGGTTAGTGGCCATCTTTCCGTCATCACGACACGCCAGCGGCCGTTGCTCACGACCCCTCCCGATATTCGTTGCGGACTCTTTGGAGCCCATTGCTTCAGTCTCTCTTCTCTGGCGGGTAGATTTAGTGCGGTCGCCACGACGGTCTCCAGGACAGTCCTCGCCCTCGTTTATCTCCGCTGCCGTACCCCGCTGGTTGTCGCCACCGGCACCCGTGTCGGCATCGACTTCGACAGTGGCATGGTCGACGGTAGCGGCAGCTGCAATCGCGGCGGCGGGAAAAGCGGGAGAATACATCGGGGCCATGCTGCCGCAACAACTCTCTTGCGAGAAAGGCGACCCGGGTCGAGATGATCGCGACTTGCTGCCAGGCTGAGACGAAAGTGAAGCCGAACTAGACCGCGACGATGCGGGTGAGCCGGGGCGAGACGCCAAAGGCGAGACGTCTCGAGATATCCTACCCTCGCATGTTTCGCTGTTCCTGCTTCCGTTTGTCTCTTGGCCTCTCACTCCAACATCTCCGGTAGGGTCGACACCATCGTCGTCTCTTTCTGCATCGTTGCGGCGAGAAAGTCTTGTCGCTGCTGGCTGGCCGATGTGGCTGCCGGTATCATGCGTGTCGCTGCCCGAGATGATCGGCAGCCACTTTTCATGGGTGCCGGTGATGGGTAGCAGCGTTCCTTCAGACAGATATTGCACCTGGAAGGCAAAGAAGTAGGCGGGAGCGGGAGACGGACAGAGCAGAAGAGAAGGTAATATGTTGGCATCACTGTTGCGTGGGCCGTAGGTTGCTCATAGTGAGAAAAACCTTTTACCTGTAGTTCGATGCTCGTGACAAACACCTGATACAACCAGGCTTTGCACCGTAATTTTACGCTGCTTCTGGCACCCCTGGGGTGGAGATTATTCCCTTGCAATCGCGAGCAAGGTCACAGGGGAAAACAGCAACGACACCGATTTAGCAGGTAGATGTTGATCCCATGACTACAATACATCCTTCCTGTTAGACTCTGCTATCAAGTCGTTGAAGCATACCGAGTCGGGACGATTGTATGGACGCAACAAGCACAGATTTACATGCATCTATGCGTACGACACAGGTTTGCTGCCACCAGCCAAATTAGAGGAAGCAAAGGTAGATTTACCTGGGCTATCAGATCGGCGACCTTTCGCCTGGACGCTCGAGTGTCTTCCTGCAAGTTCTTCGTCCAGCAGGCGGCGTCAGAGAGCCGGCTGTGGAGCCTACACACCATACCCATCACTTCGTCCACGTCTCTTTGGAGCCCAACAGAAGCTCGCCTGCATCAACGGCACCGAAGGACAATCGTGCATGCAAACCGTTTTGTATCTTGTGCATACACCCAAGAAGCACGGTTGCACGCGGAAAGCGTTGATAGCTCTCAAACTAGGTCTTCAATGCTTGTCTACGCATCGTCCATGCCTCTCTGAAGCCCGGAAAGCGTATCAAGGTTGTGGCGGGGTGGAGTGGAACGGTGGTGTCGCTCAGATGGACGTGGTGATCGGAGATAACTTCGAGAACTTTGGGGTGGTGCGGTCCTCCTGTGAAGAAGAGGCAGGGAGGGGGCTTTCCTTTGTTCAGCCCATTCTGTCTGCGACGAAGTACTTGCTCGAAAAGCGGTAGGTAAGGCAACCCCAAGGCCAGTGAAGCACATGTGTCCCCTGCCCCTGCCTCCTGAAGCTTCACATCGCAAGCTGCCGCACGCCAATCGTTGTTCTAGCAAGACAGCTGCTAGATGTGGCGGCTAAAACGTGCTCGCTATCCAAGGTGTATAAGATCACGTTGAGTAGGAACTACGGGGCCACACAAAACGTTCGCAGAGAACGTGTGCACGGGCCCTGAGATTTTTCAGTCCGATTCAAGGAATACAGCGCCGTAAGCAAGCGGTTGTGGGGACGTACCTCAAAGCACCCGTCGACACTGCCATGCCCTCTTCTTCCCGGTGGTGGTCGTTGGACTCGCTCCGTTCCCGCTCCGCTTTACTCGTCGTTCCCTCCGGAAATGTCCGGGACAGAAACGATCGTCTAAGTGTCATTTTGTCGACCGCAAGGCCTCTACTACCTTCGGTATCCGGTGTGCAACGATGCGGTGAGCGAGGTTGTCGGTCTACAAGCGTCAGCCTTTCCTCGCGGGAAGGGTAACTACTTCTTGGTGGCGATACTGGTGCCACGATCGACTTGGATCTGGGGGGCAGCTCGCCTCCATCATGATCGCGATGGCCGTTTCGACTCATGATGTTCCCTGCTGGACCAAGAGGCATGTTGGCGGTTGATATCGCGTCTCCCCTGGCAGCGGCGAATGCGGCTTCGACGGCATTCAGCGCATGAACGGCGGTTCGACGCGGGTCTACCTTTCGCGCAGCCGAAACCTTCAAATTGGTCCTTTGCGACACAATGCTGGTGCATCTGAGGGACGAGGCAGTCGCGGAGATGGAAAGACATTTGTGGTTGGTCAGGCCCCACCCGTGGCGATTCGAGCGCTTATGTTTGGTGCATCCGGCAATACGTAGCTCATGTTGTGGTCGGCGTGCGTTTGTATGGGATGTCAACCCACATAGAGAAAGGTTGGGTCCCAACATATGCGGTGGATTGTAAGAATGGCCGTTCTTGCTGCTGCTGCTGCTGCTGATGATGATGATGTTGCTGATGATGATGATGCTGCTGCCTCCAATGGCCAATCATTGGTCGTTGAATTTGAATTCTCGCCATGACCAAGAAGCCTCTACGTACATGAATACTTCCACCAACGTATTTTCCTCGACTATGAGGGATGTTTCATGTGAGTGGGGGGTGGTATGAGGGAATGTACAGTACAGTGGGGGTTCCCGAATGAGGAGATCTGAATAAGGCGATCGCCCTATATTTGGCGGGTGAGATTGTCTGGCCCAGACAGAATATTCAAGCTGTTCTACACTTTGAATCAGGTGGCAGCCCCATATGTATGAGGCGGTCAATATTCGCTGCCCCATCACCGCCTTTTCGGGGACCCCCACTGTACAGTGTACCTACATCCTGTGTACAGGGTAGAGGTGATCGACGAATTGTTTCGCAGATGACTTACGGGTTACAGCAGGCGGAGACCCAGACCTGAAGACCTGCTCGACCCACACCGAGACATGATATGTAGGGTACAACGGCACGCAATCGCTACCATCCATCGTGCGATCGACGAAGGAGGGTGAGGGTGGCAAACAGCTCTCTCTGCGCATACGCAACCCGTCGAACACCGCGTTTGAAATAGATACCAGCCCAATATTCATGTACGAGCTTCATGAGCAGCTTGTTAGGATAACATGGCATCGATGACAGCTCTCACCACGACCCCACGCACAGCAGCCAATAATGGACACACGCCCACGTTTTCGGTTTGGTACTGGACACGGTAGCAACAATGAGAGCTCTTTGTTTCACTGTATGTATGTACCAACAGCAGCATTCCGAGCGTACTCACCGTTGGCGGTATGGCGACTCGCCTCCCAGATACCCAGCGTTAGCGGAACTCGAACGACCTTGTGCGGGGCTCGAGCGGGCTCGTGCCGTTCGTGCCCACTCTGCATGAACGTCGTCTTTGAGCCCCAAGACATCATCTTCGAGCAGGAGGGTGGGCCGCGGTACGACCATAGCCACGACGGCCGTGGAGGGCTATAGTCTAACGCTCGGAGATACGGCTCGCTCCTTACGTGCGAAGGGGTGATGAGCCCCGCGCGGAACAAAGCAGTTCACATGGAAGTACGCAATACGCAACGCTGCTGCTCCAAGCACTGTACGCATTGGCCTATGCATGTTTTCCGCCGCTCATTAGGAAAAATAAATACACACACAGAAAGACTATAATACCCATCCGTGTCGTCGTGGGTAGGATACATACACATGTGTGTCCGACGGTTTCGTTTTTTTTTTTTACCCTCGTGCCCTCGCGATCGCGGGACTTTTATTTTAGACTTTTATTTGTTGCTTTCATGTTCATCGTCTCGTGGCTGAACCGTTCGAAATACCGAAGACTGCGCCACACACTTCAGAAATTGTGGCGTTCAAACGATAGCACACCTCACACACACACCTCGCTTAGCTGCTGAGCTGGGGCGCACCTGCCGTACAGCCCCAGCGGGAGATGGGTTCCACTCGGCAGCCGGATGGTTTGAAGGTTGGCACGGGGAACCCACTGCTGCAGCAGGTTGGTGGTACCTGCGACTCTCTCACGCAGCAGGTTTAAAAGTTTTTTGCGCCCTCTGCTGTGCTGTGTGTGGTGTGGCTCAGTCTTCCTCTGATGCCCCTTTTTTTGGCGGGGTCTGTGTTCCATGGCTCTTCCCTCTCTCCGTCACAGAGCCAGGAGCTTTGGGTGTGGTGGTGGTGCGAGATGCCACACGTTTCCTTTGCCCCAGCCACCTCTTTGCGTAACCAGTTCAGTCCGTTCGGTGCTGAGTGTCTTGCTCTTTCTGCCCAACAGGTGCAAGCGGTTGTTGCGCCACTGGGGACTGCGCACACCAACAGCAGCAGCAACCACAGCAGCTCTAGCAGCAGCAGGCCTGAGGAGACATTTCCGGAATACAACAGGCATCTGGTGAGAGACAAAAGATAGAGAGAGCGTTCTCCCAGCGCTCCCTGCTGAGAGTACTTGTATGATGCCAACCGGCACAGAGAAGCGGCAACAACACGAGACATGTCGTACAAAATGCGTGCGCCAAAGTTCTGCCCGCAGACAGGCTGACATGATGTAGATTGGTGGATGCACCACATGCCGTGTTGCCTCTTTTCTACTGCTGTGGATAGGCGTATGTATGCATCTTCGACGCCTCTCGGCTTTGGCCGACTGCGCACGCAACCCGGGGGGTTACAAGCACGCACGGCGGGCATCGCCCAAGCCTTTTTTTGGCGCCAACCTTGCTGTTGTCGTCGTCCGGATTGAATTGTGTGCCTCTCGGTCTGCAGCCGCCTGCTTCTCGCTGTACGTTCCGCCGTTCGCAAATAAGTCGAGTCAAGACGTCCCCTCGACAAGAAGCGAGACCGCAGGGGCAAGCAATCAAGAAAAATATATGATCTTTATTTTGGTTGTTGTTGAGGCTGATTCCCACAAGGGGTGATGTATATGTATGGCTGCTCGGGGAGCGTTGTAGTGTAGTAGTACGTGACGAACGCAGCTCCGTCATCGTTTGCATCGCGATGAAATTGATTTACCCCGGACTCTCTTATCGGTCGTGTGATGAAATTCCATGCGCTCGAAAAAACATTTCACCCCAGAAACAACAACAAGCCAGCGTGGTAGCAAATCTTGCTCAGTATTTTCAAGTCGAAAACTATTCTGGAATTGTTCGTGACCCCAGGTTGTTGTTGCTGGCAATGAAAGTCATGTTTTTTCTCGTCCCCTCCTCAAGCAGCTTTCGAGCTCGTCCGCTCCCGTGTGTATCTTATCTCTACATATCTACCTCTGTGTGTCTTGACGACAGGCATGGGCTCTCGAGCAAGATCTGGCGGGCGTGGTCGGCACCCGAGCGCTGTACGTGGCCGGTGAGGACCTCAGGGGAAGAACATGTGTCGTCTTCTGCCCAGACCTGGCCTTCCTGCAACAACAACAATCCCCCGCCGCCGCCGCCGCCGCCGCCGCCTCTGCGCCACCAAGAAACGCGCGGAAGAGGCGGAGCAACTTCGCCACAACAACAAACGGCGACACCAACAGCGATAATGTCAAAGACAATTCGCCGTTCTCTAGCTCTACTTCTTCCTCCCCGTCCTCTGCCAGGCGGTCCCCCCCTGTGCCACGCGTGGCCGGCGCTCTGGAAAAGGCGGCGGCGGTGGGCGCCTCTCGCATCTCCATCTGCAGAAAAAATAGCTCCGTTGCTGCTGCCGGCGCTTCAAGGGCGAACGCGGACCCCCCGACAACGGCAACAACGGTTACGTGCCAAAGAAGCAGCAGCAACGGCGACACAGCAGCAGCAGCCGCAGCAGGGGCTGCGATAGCGTTGGAGAGCAACGTGGGGTCGGCGGCGGTGGAGCGATTGCTGTTGTACTTCGTGAGGCTGTTGGACGAGATCGCGGGTCGAGAGTATGTGCTGCTGCTGTGCGGAGGGGGATGGGGAGGGTGGCTGAGCTGGGGGAGGTTCAGCATGCTGGGAGAGATGCACAGCCTTTTGCCCAGGAGGTGAGATGGGCATTATGCATACAACAATGGTGCTTCAGTACACACCAATGCATGCTAAATAGATCAAGACTGGGTTTATTGTTATTGATGGATGCGTTGAGGCACACCAACGTCTTCTTCCACCGTGTAGTACTACATAAAATCTTGGGTTGAAATCTTCCTCGACCCGGCGTGCGTGTGTGCGTGTGCCAAACAGCAATCAATTCGCAAATACAGCCGTGTACCGTCGAGTTTGATCTCTCATCATCCAACAAATAATATCTTGGAATCAACCATTGTGGGCACACGCGTGTATGTGAAGTACATGTGTGTTGGCTATCAATTTATTCTAGATCGTACCAAACAGTATGAACATGGGTATTTATAGGCTTTTGTCGAATCCGTGCCCTTTTTCTTTCGTTGTGGGGGGGAAAATGGCACGCATTCAGAATAAATCTACCGCCATCTGTCCGAGAGCAGTACTTCTGTAGCAGCTGCCCTCGGCTTGTAGAAGAGGAGCATCCCATCCCTCCAAACACTGGTGTGTCGGCCTGTGTCGTTACACATTTATTTGCGGTGGTTTTTCACGGTGAGGAGACCCTAGCAAGAGAAACATTTCCCTCTCAAAATGAAAGAAAAATGGGAGAACGTCGAGGGGTTGGGCGGTGTGTGCCGGTGTTGCTGTGTGCGTGTGGTTGTTTTTTGTTCCTCTCTTGTCCTCTCACAAATATAGGACCTGCAGACCGGTAGGTACCTCTCTACGTCTCAACGTCTCTAGACCACTCTTAAATAGCTGTTGATTCTCTGGCAGCAATCATGTACGTATGTGCAGCGGTGATCTCTCCCCCATGGTGCTGGTGACAGGCTCAGCAAGCTGCTGCGTGGTTGGGCCGGGTAATGGATACTTCGGAGTTGGAAGTTCGAAGTTGTTGTCGTGCGTCTATCGGGTGACTGAAATTTCTCGCAACATATGAAAAACGGCTGTGCCACTTGCCACTTGCCACTTGCCACCGCGATTGGAATTTCTTTTAATAGGTCGGTATGCAGAGATCTAAATATGTTACTCAGGTTGGCGAATGCTTGGATTGTATGTCCAGCAGTTTTAGGATAAAAAGTTTTTTAAATAAATTCGAATTAAACTAAAACAACAAGATTGATTGAATATATATTACTAATACGAACCAGATAAGTTAAATATTATTAAGGCCCTTGTTACTTTAAACTATAGGCCCTGTAGTTCATGGTGGTGACCAAAAAAGGTGTTCGGGCAGGTCTATCCGTCGGGTACCTGAGTGTACTCATGACCTTGGTCGTGCGAGCGAAAAAAATGGCGTATGCGTATGATCCCCCCCTGTGTGCATTGATTACACCAGGTTGCGAGACCACGCGTGGTTCATATTCTTCTCTACAATAGCGCACTCTTTAGTATACATACAACCACATGATATTGGCTGGTTGGTGATCTTGTTTTGGGCGGTTGGTTGTACCTGCTATGTTGCAACAAACGGAAACGAATCTGGTATTGTCTTGTTTGCTATTTTAGGAACAACAGCCAGCCGCGTGAGGGCAGGGAAGACTGGTGGTCCGAAATAGGGGTAATGGGGTGTGTACGGGGTATGGTGCCAACAGAAGAAAAAACTCTGCATGGTCAGATCATCCATTTCGGACGAACTTTCAAAGCCCCGAACAGCTGGGTCGCGTGCACCTTGCATACAAGTTTATGCATCATAACATATGTATGCTACACTTGCTGCATACACAAGCTGCTCTATGCAAACAATCTTGGACATGGACATACGAAAACCAACCCGAGATCCTGCCCTCTCTCTTCTTATGATGATGATATGTACGGTATCACACCTGTACGACATGGCTCCCTTCCAAACAGCATCTTCGCATACACGACACGATAGATATTTACGCGATAAACGATGAACGCTACAATCTGGTCCAGGCGGGGTGGGTACCCAAAACGCTCGGTTTCTTCTTCGGGAGGATGAGCGCGATACCATGGTACGGAAACGAACCGTACCGTGTGATAACGCCAGGACGACCAATCAGCCCACAGCTGACTCGCCAGCTGCCAGTTGTGACGTTCCCAAGCTCAACAGCTCATGCAACTGGCGCGTTTTTGACTCGAACAGCCCAGCGAACAAACGCAACGAACCACAAAAGATGCCCTACGACCTACGACTAACAGGGTGCCACACACAAAACGCCCGATTACCCAACAACCCAACACCTTTCTGCTACACCTTCCCAACATAACATATATGAGACACACGAGACAGGTACCAAACTGTTTTGTTGAGCCTGTTACCCGCAGGGGAGATGTCCCTATATGCTGTCTGGGAAATCGTAGACATACGCAGGTAGCTTTTTCTGACGCTATGAATTCAATGCTAATCTGTCTCTGACTCTTTTCAATGATAAAAGAGATGGATTTGTTGTGTCATATTAAGAAAAAGAAAAAAAAAATAATCCAACCTGTGTCAAGTTGCCACATATGTCTGTGTATCTGTGTATGCGTATGTCTGTGTATGCGTAGCTGTGTTCAGCGCGGGACCACAGATCATAAACAAACGTCAAATCGGGTCGAGGTGTGGATCCTCATTTCGTCACCACCGCCGTCGAGATTTGTACAACAGCAGCAGTGGTACAGGCTACCAATTGTATTGAATTTAGTGTAGACAGTATCCTCGACTGAGCTGCGTTTCGCAGCCATTTCTTTTTTTTTTTTGTGAAAATTGGAGCGCTTTCCCCGGGGGCTGCTACTGCTGTAATCGCGTGTTTCATGCAGGCAGCACTTCTTCAGAAGTTCCCCGTAAGGACTAGTATTGATAGATAGTGCTCAATTAATAGGCCTGTCTTCAACCTACCTACCATTATGATTTGCATATGCAGACATACGGTAGTTGTTGGGTTCGTGTGATCGAGGAACAAAGAATAAAAGGGAAGGGAGCGTCCGCTGCTCCTTGCTCGCTCACAGCAGCTGTTGGTTGTTGCACTTCATGTACTGCTGTATGCAATAATCCTCTTCATACCTAGGCTCGCGTTCCGCGCTCACAAGTCGCAAGTCGAGAGTGAGGGCGGGGGTTGGAATGGAATCCTGAATCCTGGTCACGGCAACCAACGAAGATATCTACTCACAGCAGTACAAATATGAAACATCCATGTCATCCTCATATAGTGCAACTCTCATACAGTGCTCCATTACATTTTCCAACCCATACATACCATACAGGACGCCCAAACAATGTGCTTGCGCCACCATGAGGTTTTTGTACAAGTGTTAAATAGTATTTTCATTCAGTCAGGTGTGGCGTCCTGCACGATTCGAATCTCAAATCGGATGGCGATCGCGTTGGCGGTACAGCCGGAAATCGCTTCTCCGTTGTATTCGGGACCGTTTTGGTTTAGAAGAACCGCAACACCGGCATGCCTCTTCCATCTGCGTACGTATCCATTACAAAAACTCAGCAGTTTGCCTTACGTGTACATGATTGAACACCCACTGCTACTTAGTAATAGTAGTCTTTTTCAACGTGGTGAACGCTAGCTCTTGTTTTGTTTGTTTTGTCCTGTTTTTGTGTGTTTGACCTCAACAGGTACAAGAAGAACCTGAAGGGGCTGGTGGTCCTCCAGCATACACCGGTGCTGCACTCCTTCTTCGAGTTCGCCAATCTCTTCCTCAGCCCCAAGGTAACTTGTGATTTCTTGTCCTATTTCATTCTACTATTAGTATGGTGGCAGACAGAAACCCCGCATCATCAAGAGCACTATTTTATTCTCTTTCCGCGTGTACCACCATATGTTGTTCCTCTTGAGGTGGGTGTGCTCTCGAGCTTGTATACATAGGAGAACTGCTCTAGAGATGTCCCCGCACTCTGATGACTCAATGTTGTTCGCGTATGTATGTGCGGTTTCGCCTTGTAGGATAGCATGGGACAGCATATTGTGGAGACGAGGTGTAGACGCATGTGGTGGTGTTTGATCGCTGCTCAAGAATCCTAAATAGTTCTTTCTGATCGAGTCTCCAGGATAAGCGATCTTTGCCGCTACAATGATAGTTCGGTTTCATTCATCCCCCATCCCCTGTTTTTTTTTTTTTTTTCAGTTTTACCGGAAGCTGGAGTTTTGCGACGGGGTCGCGGAGCTGGCGAGCAAGTTTCCCAGTGAAATCATCGAGGTAGGTTGGCTTTCGTGCCCTCTTGCTTTTTACTTGAGTTTCCCACCCTTTTTTCTTGTGTGACAATACAATGTATGGTCTGTTGGATGTTGGGGACCAAGCTACCTGTGGTCGTAGATGAAGCATGCGAACGATAACCGTATGGCAGGTCGTGGTTGTGATGTCGTGTTGTTTCATTAGAAAGTTTACGTTCTTCTCGCCAACTACTTTTGTAAAAGGAGAAAAGGAGCAATCGCGATAGTAACTGTGTGAAGGTCCACCCACTGCTTGTCACATGATGGAAGTTTAAGATTTAGAATTTTTCGCTCATCGCCTGTTTACATGAGGTGCTGGAATGCGATGGCGACACTAGTAATGATGAGTTCACTTGTGTTCAAGCTCATTCAGTGTTTTTGAAACACTTCGTTTTTACACATTTGCCGTAAGAGCCCTGTGCACATGGTCCTAAACTTTGTTTCCCCCCTGGTTACCGACCCGCGTGTTTCCTGGTTGATGACGATGACCAGAATCTCCCTGAGGGTGCTCTTTCCCCCAAAGCCGAAATGGGGAGACAGGTGACGCATTCTTCAAGACCTCATGTCAGCGGCGGCAACCTCGCGGCACAGGGAGGCAGTACCCCGACAGGGGACGATGGAAGACCGTCCCCGGTACGAATTACCCGAGTCTTTGGTGGGGGGTTACAGGTTCGTGGACGCGTGGGTACAGGGGGGGTGGGGGAGGAAGCGGCCCGGTGCGGAGGGGGTCGGGCGCGTAGGATCGAGGCGTTTGTCGTACGGTTGGTTACCTTGAGGAACTAGTTCATCCTCAATCCCCTCTGATGTTTTGATTTGGTGATGGAGTTCCATAGGATATGATATGGTGTTTTTTTATCGAGGTGTAGGAGGTAAAGGTGCTGGGACGCGATTTGGCAACGTCGCTTGCTGGCTGCACCTGCTTGTCACGTTGAAATCCGTCGGGTGGTTGGCTCAAGGCGAGGGATGTGATTGTTTTGGTGCCTTTTTGAAGTCGAAAGTACGGCATACAATGGTTTTACTAGGAATAAAGACTCTGATGTGCAGCACCGACACGTGCATGCATGCGTTCTTCAGGTGCAGGGAGACGAGACGTGGACACCGCCTCCCTTGCCACCTCCTCCTCTCCAATCGGCTCCAAGACCCGCTTCGCCGCTGCTTCGCAACGGCGGCACCAAGGGAGCGGCGATCAAAGGTATATACTATGATCGCATCGAGACGTAAAGTCGGTCCTTATTTAGTGCTTCTTCGATACAGAGTAGAGGTCTCTGTTTAGTGCCGGCATGTGGCCAGAAAATTCACTGACACTAAACCGGATTCGGCAATATCAAAGTATTGAGAATTACCATGAAGATTCAGTGTGTGCCCGCCGGAAACACCGTATGGCACTATACCGGCCACCGGCACCACTAAACCGGCACTAAACAGGGACCTCTACTGTATCGCGCCTCCATCATCCTGACGCTAAAGTTTGAAAACGCTACAGGAGCTCGGGGCTCGTGTAGAGGAGGGTGATGTGTTGTGTTGCGTTGAGTGTGTCCTTTCCTTACAACCTTACACCCTTGCACCTGGGTGTTGCCAATAGGCGAAGCTGTAGAGGCGCGAAGGTTGTTTCTGTACACAGCAGGCGCAAGCACTCCGCACACTGCTGTTTTCCTCTTTCGCGTTGATTGGTTCATGTGTTCCAGCCCCCCCCCCGTCCGGGGGGTGAAAACCCGGCGTGCTCCGTCCCGGCTTTGTAGGGATGCGAGGCCATGGTTTAACGACTAAGCCATGCATTGCTAAGAGTCTGAGCGTGAGTACGAGTTCAGCCCCCCCCCCACCCCCCCCCGCACACGCGCGCGCTCGCTCGCTCTTCCAGAACGTTCCCGCCGCGGATCATTGGACAAGAACTTCTCTACCAGTTCGGCCGCCGCTTCCGGAACCACGATGACCACCGACCCGAACACGCCTTCCCCGGTGGCTGCTGCGCCGTGCACCGCTAGCAGCGCTAGTCGGGTGACCATCTTGGGCAACACCACCCCGGCTTCCGGCAACATTGACGCTGGCACCGCCGTCAAGATCAGGAAGACGCGGAGCGGCAGCAGCAGCAGCAGCGGTGGTACCAGCAGCCTTCCCTCCGCGTCGGAGGCTGCGGCGGCGGCATTGCTTGCCGGGGGGGGCGGCAACGCCGGGCGCGGTGTGATCACGACCGCCGCTGAGCTGTTTTGCGACAGTCCCTGCTGGGCCTTGGAGGCATCCGCGCTGGCGACCCCGACTCAGAGGGAGAGGTCTTACTCGTCGTTTGGGGGCCGCGCGTTCGCTAGCGTGCCGGTTGGGGGCAACACGATCATGTAAGTGCTTCCTTTCCAGCACAGCTGTTGTTGTTCTTGTCTGAAAGTGTGGCGGATCCTCTTCGGTGGCTTCGCTGCAGGACATTGCACACATCGGAAGCGATTAGATTCGAACATGTTTCAGCTAGCAACATTTTTGTTTTTCATGTTTCTAGTGTACCATGCAGAGAGGCTTGGCTTACCGTAGGTGTGTTTCGTGTGTTTTCCTTACCTGGGAACAGACATGCAACAGGGGAGAGGTTCAAAGCTAGATGAATGAGTCGCGTTAGTGGCGGTGTCATCTTATCTTGGGACAATACGCCACACACCCTGCCTTCCCCCCCCGCGCGCCTTTCTCCATTTTTTTTTTAGAGAAAACCACGGCATTTCTCCCTCGGGATCAACGGGAAGCTTTTCCGCCATGAGGTCGCAGCGCACTTTAGGCAGCGCGCCTACCCACTTTTCGTACCGGAGGGGGAGCAGCACGAGCGGATGCTGGGAGAGAGGGAAGGGGGGGGGCGCGAGTGGCAGGAACGGGGGGGTGTCCCCGACAACGCCGAAGGTAGGTTGTGTGTGGGAAAGCCCAAGTTTGAGATTCTTGACCTTGCTTCCGGAAAAACCAGCTGTCCAATCAGCGGCGTCCGTCACAATACCGTATATACAGCAGGAACTGCAAAGCGTGTGTCTGGTTGGGTGTGTTGCGTGTACCGCACCACCTGACGGGGCCCCCAAGACAGCAGCAGTAAAGACACCAGTCTTGGCACGGTCAGATACGAGGCGCGCACCCGCCCAGGAGCCTCACGATAGATATCCACATGATCCCTCGCCGCACCACGCTTACGGGTCTAACACCCTGCAGGGGGGCACCCGCCATCACCGTCGGTCGGGCTTCTCCACCACCACCAGCACCAGCTCCTCGCTCTCTTCGTTCTCGGCGGCTGCGGCAATGGCAGTGCCCGGAGAGCGAGCTAGCCCTCGTCCAAGCCCTAGTCCGAGGGGGAGAGGGGTCATCACTCCGAGAGGGACGTCGGGTCAGAGGAGCTCCTGGGGAGGGTCCCCCTGCTCGGGAGGAGGCTGGAGGTGACCGGCAGATCTCTTGTTGTTGTTGTGGTGGTTGTGGTGGTGGTAAACGTAAGGATGCGAGACGAGAGACGAGAGACGAGAGATGCCACCCCCCCTCCAGACCGATTTTCGAAGCTCGATTGCTCCGCAACCTGCCAACACCAAAAATGGCGGTCTTTGGAAGCATCTCGTCGAGGGCTTTGCGTAGGGCTCTTTCCGCACCCCCTTTTTTGTGGAGCGATCTATGGGGGGCGTCATGTATCGCATCATTACTTGCGGTAGTTGAGGGCGGGGGGTAAGCGGCTGTTGCTGCTGTTCACGCCACGAGTGAGCTCCCCCCGCTCCCCCTGTTGCGGCATCGCGATGACTTGGCGATATCGGACATGATACTGAACACTCTCGGTGTTGTATGCTACAGGAGCGGACCGACGACCCCTCGCCAGAACGGGACCACCACGGTGTCGTTCGTGGCCCCATCCCCCGGCACCCCTGCGAGGAAGGGTCCCGGCTGGCAGGCACGCGGAGGGAGCAGCCCTCTTTCCAAGGGCCATCGCCACGTGACACAGGAGCAGCAGTTTTCCTCCTGTCCGGGAGGTGGCAAGGCGGGCGGCGGGAGCACTGCGGCGGCTGCCTGCAACGCGATCGCGAAGACGGCGGCCGGTTCGGGTTGGGTGCGGCCCGGCTTTCAATTGGCCGCTGTTGCTTCCGAGGCTACTGCTGCTGAGGTATGCTTGCGGTCACACGCGGAAGCGATGGCCGCACATCGTGTTGGGGATGGTGGTCATATTTTTTCCTCCCACGTTCTAGCCGCCCCTGGCGTACCCGCCCTTGGCAGTTCGAAGTACCCTACGGCCTTGCCTATCAGAGTTCCGATCTGGGGTCACGTAGTGGCATGTGCTCAGACCAACAGCCAAGCGGCGGTCGAACGTCAGCGACAACGATGGACCGGCAAACGACAGCTTTGTAATGTGAACTTGTATACACCCTGTTTGTTTGTTTGTCCTTTTATTTTCCGGCGCCGATCAGCGGTCGGAAGGAAGAGGAAAAGTGGCTGCATCTCGCAAGACCAAGGATCACCAGCATCATCACAAATATCCCAAGTCTCCGAAGATGAAGAACGACGGCCGAGCCGCCGACACCGAGACAACGTGAGCTGTTGTATGTACTAATGTATACGGTACTATTGTGTTGTTTTTTTTTCTCGTCATCCGTATTTGAAACGAAGTCGAATGTGCTGTTGTTATGCATGGTGTCTATCTTCAGTGGATAGATATCTCCAAAGATCCAAAGAAAACGTTGGTATTGGTGACGTGCGACGTGGCCACGGACGGTTGTGGTGGTGGGTTGTTCCTACCCTACCCTAACCTACCCAAGCAGGGAGAGAATGTCGATGCAGTTGGTGACGAATGAATGACCGCAACATGTGGCAGGCAGGCAGGTCGGTCATAACGACAACCACAAGGCCTAAGGATTCCATCAAAGGCACTGGTCTATATCAACCCTAGTACCCTGAGTCGCGTCCCGCACCCTTATGCTTTTTGCCCTTCGCTCTATCCGCCGACCATGCCCCATCTCTTGGCCAATCACAGGGGCAGCAGCCTTGCGGGGCCAGGCCAAGGGATCGACCGCCGAAAACGCCACCTGCACACCTTCAACTCCGGCACCCGACGGTCATCCAGCAGCCAACACGACCAGCACCATCGCGAGCAGCACCCCAAGTCCCCCCTTTCACGCCCTTGGAGCTCTTCCAGCATTCCCAGCCCGAATCAGCTTGCGGCCCTGGAGCGCGAGGTGGAGATTTGCTCTGCCCGCGTGGCCCGTACCGCCGGGTATGTCCGATTCAGCGTCGCCGCCAAGGCGGGCGGAAGCGGTGGCGGCAGCGGCAGCGGCAGCCGCAGCGGCAGTAGCGTGTTTGCCGCGGTTGACGAGGACGAGGAGGAGATGGACTTTCCGCCTTCGCCGCCCTCTAGCGGCTCCACGGCCTGTGGCTGTGCTTCGGATGGCGGCGGTGGTGCTGATGCTGCGGGGAGAGCGACAGACCGAGATGCCAAGAAGACGAGGACGACGGATATGCCCACGACTCACAACGTGAACGTCAACGGCAACGTCAACGGCAACGGCAACGGGAACAGAGAGGTGGTCGCGGGCGGGAAGAGCGGGGCGGCAACGGGAAGGGCAACTGACAAGAACGGCTCGGCGCCCGCGGATCACCCGGCGCCACTCCGACGCGCTGCCACCGGCAAGACCGTCGCCGCGGCGAAATCGGCGTGGGAGAAGGCAGGAGAGGGAAGCGCCGCCGCTGCCGGTGGTGTCAAGAGCCGGGGAGCGGGGAAAGTAGCGCAGCACCTGTCTACATTGGCGAGGATATCGCCCGGGATCCAGGCGCTGATGGCCAACTACGACGCAGCCGCTAGACCGGTCACCCCGGGAATGAAAACGCCGCTGTCGACCACTCCTGCCAAGCCGGCTGGATCTGCAGCTCCTTCCAAAACTGCCGCCTGCGGCGGCGGCGGCAGCGGCGGGCGGGGTGCGACAAGTGCAGGAGCAGCATCACCCGACGACCGTGAAGTGTTTCCGGCTGGGGCTGCAAAGGATGCGGCAACGCCCACGCCGGCGGTGCCCCAAGCGACGAGCGTGTTCGCTTCTACCCCCGCGGGCGGCGCGATGCGCGACATCTCCGTCGGCGTCGCCGGGTTCGCCTCAGTCTTCAAGTCCTTTGAAGGGAGGGGTGCTGCTGCTCCGGTACGGACGACCCCAAGGTCGCAGCAGCAGCAGCAACAGCGTCGGAGCAAGCACCGCAATGACGCGGGAGAGATACGCTGCGCGATGCGGGGACATAGGCTATCCCTCAAACATGCGCTGGATGCGGAAGCGGCGGCGGCGGCGGCGGGATCCGCAGCGAAGGGGCAAGAAGTGTCGGTGGACCGGGCGAGGGACGGGCGGAGTCGCGCGGGGTCGTCGGTGCAGCGACGGAGGTCGTTGTCGGCATGCTCCAAGGACAAGGTGAAAGCCGATAGCCGGTGGTTGGTTGACCCTGCACGTGGGGATTGCGTTGGTTTCGTCTCGATGTATGCACAAGCGCTATTATAGGCGTTTCTTTGCACGGGCAACGGAGTGTTTCTTTGGAGATGACGGCAAGGTTTACCCTGGAGGAGGTACAACACCCACGAGCGTGTTTGGGTCTGGGAGAGGCGGGAAGAAAACGACTGGCATCGGGACCTTACGCCTTAATTTGAACGTTCCGGGTGAAGTTATCGGACCGCTGGTGCGAGAGAGCGGGCTGCCTGTTTGTGTGTGACAAAGCATCGGGCAACGACACCGGAGGGCTTGGGGAGGAAGCCGCTCCTCCTCTAGATAGATCGTACCCAGGCAAGGCGTGAGAGACCATTCGCTAGTATTGGCGGTTGGAGGAAACACTATAAAACGCCTCATATCCCGTTCATCGGAATAACAACATTTACAACGCCAGGTGTTTGGAGTGCCCTTGATCGGGCTGATGCAGCAGGGGGAACAGGTTCCTTGGGTGGTGAAGCGCTTCGTTGATTTCCTCAGCAAGTTTGGACTGGAGGTGAGAGAATAAAAAAGGAAAAAGGTCATGCGATTGCGATATATATATGTGGGCGAACTAACCGGTTGCCGAAATCCCAGCGCCGGGTGTTGGGCCTAGTTTTTTTGTGCTGGACGTTGAATCGAAACTTGTCGCTCATGCGTGGCGTACATCTCTTTTGTTTGTGCTTCAGCCAACGATCACTCTCCGACAGGATGTTGTCATTTGATGTTGTATGATTTTTTTGACCCCTCCACCCCTGAAACCCCCACGCAGTCGGTTGGACTGTTCAGACTGGCCGGAGACGGGATGGACTGCGCCGACCTCAGAGATGCGCTCGACAACGGCAAGCAGGTGAGGCTCAAGACAGAGCACAAGTTTCCAAAGCGCAGCGCCGAAAGACACCACCTCCGGTATCGTATCGTGTCGGAACAGGCTGTCGCGTTTGCTGTTGTTGATCTGTCTCCTGTTGGTTGCGTTCAATCTCCATGCCCAGGATAATTTTTTCATGCTAGCAAGTGTTGGACTGCATGAAGCCTGCTGTGCCGGACCACTGTGTTCCCGCCCACCCTTCCTTGCATCCGTCGGCTCTTGCTGGCTTGACTTTGGTTTCACTTGACTCTAGGTAACTCGACAATGAGCACCGCCCGCCCTCCTTCTATCTCTTTCTTCGACTCTCTCTCTCTCTCTCTCCCTCCCTCGGAAGGTGTGCTGGGACCCGATAGACCCGATAGACGAGGCGGAAGGGTCAACAGGGGCCACAGACTGCGCTTCGTCCTCGCTCATGGACGTGAACATGGTGGCCCAGCTGCTCAAGGCCTTCTTTAGAGAGCTGCCAGAACCCTTGGTCCCCTTTAGGTAAGGAATTGTGCGCGCACTCCAGAGGTGACGGACGCATTCCTTGGCTATGCAAGCGTTGGTGGAGTCGTGTCTACTCTTCTCATGATTTGAACCCCTGGCGTAGAACAACGGACGCTTGGATGTCTCATCTTGGAGAGGAACGAGCCTTACCGGCAGAGGCGCGCCCGATGCTGACTCGTCGTGTAGTATCTGAGCAGTGAAAGGTCCCAGGCGTGAATGTATGTGCGAATCAAATAAAGTGCGGAGAATGCAACAGGTCGAAGTTGCGGAGAAAAAAACCCGCCTTCGTCTAATGGCGAGCAAGCGTACTTGACAGCGGTATTCGGGTGTCAGGTAGAGGAGGCTGGGACTGGAGCAGTCTCAACTGCTGTGACATCCCAGAATGTTTGTGCCGAAGGTAGATCGGCATCTATCAGGTTTTGATGTTTGATGGGGAAAGAAAAAACAGCCTTTCTCGAGGGCTCCATGACCGCTTTCATGGCACACTGAATCCTCCATGGGTTCTAACTAGATATCTGAAGGTGGTCTGCTGGCAGAGTTTCCTTACCGGCCTTGCGAACGCCTGTGATGGTTGTATGGTATGCCTGGCGAGGCACTATTTCGCCTCCGTCCCTGCTGGCGAAACACTACTTCGGTTTCCGTGATGATGTAACACGTTCGCGTGTGCGTGCATCTATCGTGTATGATGTACAACACCGACGTAATTTGCCTGTGTTCGCCGCCCCTCATGCTCACGTCATGTCTGGTGGCACCGCACCGCTCTCGTCGTGCTTGGTCACCCTCCTCTGCTCTACAAACAATACCTCCACTGCTGTACAACACCTCCGACATTCCAGCGCATACAGCAAGGTGATCGCCATCGCCAAGGCCGCGGGCGTGGCCGACGCTCGTTGGGTGCAGGCGATGAAGAGCATCCTTTGGGGTATCCCCATCGCCAACTACAACTGCCTCAGGTCAGTGTCCCAAAACAACAGCACAACCCACATCCAGAGGGTGGATGGACATGGACTCTACACTTGAGGGGGGGGGTTATCATGTTTTGTGGTATGCCTCAGCTGTTGGACGATTGGCCACGCTTCCTCGAGGACGGAGGGGGGATCTTCGTGTTTTCGATCCTGCTGACACGAATGCCTTGTTTATGGTCAGCCGCTTCACGCGGCGGATTGTACCAAATGATGAATAACTCGTGGGAGATATCCCTCGGACGAGAAGGCGTGGTTGTATGCATACTTTGTACTACTGTAATTTACTTTTGTTCGCCATCAGGCTGGCGTGGTTTCAAGGGTGAGCCGCCTGTTGGCGCAGTCGAAGCTTGCAATTTTTCGAAGATTTTCTAGAAAGATGCACGCAAGGACGGTTGTATTCCAACTTAGGAACTCGCTCTACACTGCATGTGTTCACCTCGAACTTCCGTACCTGTCAACCCAACCTGTTTGTCTCTTCTCTTCACCGAGGCAGTTATGCGTAACCCCGGAGTGCCTCAAACGGGGCTCTGGGCGAGCATCTATCTCGCTCAACTAACTCCTCGAAGCCATCGAAATGGTTTTTTGGGGCTTGATGTTACGTAGTTTGCGGCGCAATGCCAACCTGGTGGACTATAACACGACGCGCCCTGTCCCTCCATGAAGGCTACGATGCCTTCAAGTTTCCCGCCACGGTATTGAGTACCTGAGTACCCCCCACCCCCCTTTCTCTTGTATTTTTTGGTGCCCTCCCCGTGTGCAGGTTCCTGTTCGAGTTCCTCCGCGAAGTGGCCATGCACAGCTCCACCAATCGGATGACTTCTGAGAACCTGGCCATTGTGTGGGCCCCGAACCTGCTCCGTCCCCAGGTGTGTCAGTTCGTCCATCCGTCTGTTTCGGAATTTTTGGAACCAGCCATGACCGCACCACAAATTTCATTACTAGCACAAGTTTGTGGGAGTTCGTCAAGCGTGTAGGCTAGAGACTGGCTCTTTTTTGGCGTCCAGCCGCTGAGCTACAATAGGCCACCGAGAGCACCACCGCCACGTGGTGCGAAAAATGGTTGCCAATTTTCCAGGCAAGACAACAAATTGAGAATCAAGCCTTTTTTGTTCATCTCTTGTTTTGTGTGTTGTGCTGTACTTGGTTGAAAGTGGACGGATTGTGTGTTGGCTTTCTTCTCGTTTCGGGGAACGTCGAGTCTTGACGAAACGTCGTGCAGGGGTTCGACAAAGCGGAACCTACAGCAGTACATCAAACCAGGGCACAGGGTAGCCCTGAAATCAAAGAAAGCCATACGCTGCCCGCCTATTTGTCTTGGTATGTGTCCTTTGGGCGTCACCACCGCTGTCCCACACCCATACCACACACCACACCCACACCCACACCGCATGTTGAGCGAATACATGTGCTTGGAATATGTGCCGACTTCGTTCCTGATGCGAGGGTCACCTAGGTTGTTCCGATGGATTTGGCCATGGTCGAACAACCCTTCATTTTTTTTACGTGTTTTTTTTTGTTTTTTTTTCGCAGGACGACGATCCGTTCGCGGTTCTCAGAGACCTTCGGTTTCAGATCGAGACGGTGCGTTGGATGGTCGATTGCTGCGATCAGCTGTTCGACGACTGACGATTGATTGATGAAGCTGATGTTGCAGGGTACTAGTATTCCTTGGTGGTGTCGGCGCGGGTGGTTGTTTTTGGTTGTTTTGTTGTGACGTAATCTGACGTCAGTGAGGGTTGATGTTGTTTGGGGGTGAGGCTTGAGTTGACCCAACCAGCTACAGGTACAAGTAGATGTCTTTGTCTTGGTGCGCTCTCCGTGCAATCTTTGGGTTATCTTTTCGTCCCCTTTTTTGCTTTTCCTTTTCCGGTGGTTGGGTTGGAAGTTCGTACGGTAACGATAGCGCTAACCCTCCGTAGTGACCCCGGTATCATAGCATGCGTTCCCAAGATCCACGGGGCTAAGGGGAATGGGAATGATAGTAGGGAGGCTGGACGATAGCGCCAAGCTCCCCCCCCCCCCCTCCTCTTCAGAGAACGGACTGTTTATTCACTCTACTTCACTGAGAGAAAGCTACACGCTTTTCAGTCGTCCATGCAAATTTCGGGCCACAAAAGTAAGCGAAGTGTCATATTAGAGCGTTTTGATTTGTCAGGGTGCCAAAGAGCGGCACGATCGTTTTGATTTGTCAGGATGCCAAAGAGCGGCACGAATCATACTGGTGTGGGCGAGCGGGAGGGTTGAGAAAAAGTAAGGTGTGATGTGGTCCCCCGCCAAGGTAGGCACAAAGTGAGAGTACGTCGGGCCTGTTGGCAGTGCATTTATAATCACGTTACGTTATCACAAGTGATGCAGACAGTAGAAGCTCGGTATGTCAACTTTTTTGCGGTCTCTAGCTTTTCTAATATGGAAAAGGTTTGCTGGCATTCTGTGCAGCCCGGCAGTACTGCTGTCGCACGGCGTAGAGAACGGTTGTGACGTCTGTGCAGGGCTGCTCTGTGCAATGGTCCACCCCGTGCACAATCATGGAAGTGCCCTCCCGGTTCCTTCGGTGAGCTGGAAAAATTGACAAGAGTCAGCCCGGGTTTCATGATTGTGTTTCATTGAATGGTATTCATCCCAAGTACGCGACGAGGACAAAAGTAGCAAGGGTTGCGTTCCTCCTCCTTTCCGTCGTGCAGGCAGGGCGGGGAAGAGGTGCGTGGTGCATTAGGGGAAGGAATTACATGAGTCCAAGGCGAGGAATCAAATTGATTAGAGCGAGGTGAAGGTAAACGAGGCGGTTGGGTGTGATGTTTGAGGTCTCTGAAGGTAGCAAGTTTCTGTCCCTTTCCTGGACTGCAGGAGCCGAGCTTGACCGCCTGGTGGTACATAGCACTGTCATGGGGGTAGATGACTGTAGGCCTGGCCTGGATGGGTGGGAAAGGCCCTTCCAAATCTGTGATATCTGTGATAGTGGAAAGGTCGAATGTCGGTAGTGGTTGTTTTTTGTGCGTTTTCTACATAGCGTTGCGCCCTTTGTGATTGGCATCTGTTGTATTTTTTCATTTCACGTGTTTTATATGCATAGTCTAGATGTGCTATATTTTCTTTTCTTTTCACTTGTTTTCGTTCAAAATATGCAAATGTCCATGTCGCCGTTGCGTCCGTGTCAAAAGAGAGCTTGTATTTTGTTTTTTTCCAAGTTCTGTTCTCCTGTTTTCGGAGGCGGTCATTTATAATTTTTGTTGGATTTTGTTGCTGCCTTGCCACAAGGTTTTGTAGTCCGTCCTGTGTCGGTAATCGCCTTTCGCTTCCGCCTTTATTGTGTGTTTTTCAGTTTATATGAACGCTTTTTTGGTGCTTTCACGTAGTCAGTGTAGAAGCCTTGATGGCGGATGGTGGATGTGTATAGGTAGGTGTGGTCATGTCTGGTTATAGTCTATCTTGTTGCGTCGGCTCAACTCCTGCTGGGCGAACTGTACGCGCCTGCAGTTGGCAGTATGCGGAGAAACAGGGGTAGAGACAGCGGTAGCTTGGCCTCTTTTGTGTATCGTGTGCAGTGAAGAAAGTTGTTGCCAGCGGTATGATATGGGTTCGCAGAGATGAGATGAGAAATACACCGGTTTAGTTTAGTGAACAAGCTCCGGGTCGGTTTACATTTTTATGGCGGCGGTCGCTTGTCGGTGTCTTGTATGGAGTGGCAGCTACATTCCTTCCCTTTTTTTATTCTCTTTGTTGGCGTGCATTTTGTTGTTGTTGTGGCGTGCCGCCGGTGTATCTGTATATCGCTTCCTTCCCCGGAACGTGCTTGCCCAAGGACGGTTACGTTTACGACACGGTATTAATTATCGCAAATGTGAAGCTTAGAGAATGAATGAATGTACTTACGCAATCATGGAAACCGATGTGGCGATTGATGCGCTTGGGGGATGGCGGGTGCATCTAGACATGAAGCTACTGCTATGTATAGAGCTGCTGCGGTGCTATATGATATTTGGCTTGCCTCGGTGCGCGTGCCACTGGCTGGCCTTTTTTACAGTAGAGGGTTGTTGCGTAGTTGAGTTGGCTTTGGCCTGTTGTTTCTTGGCAGGGCCCTTTTTGTAGCTATCTGTATCGCTGTCGCCGTGCTTTGTTCTTGGTTGCTCAGGTTTGAATGTTTTGGATGTGGGACAGGATTAGGCGTAACCCGCTCAGGTATAGTCTATATACCATATGACGCTACAGCATTTTGTGTTCATTGCTGCACTGTGGCGGGGTCAGGTTCTTGTGCACAAACAACACCGGTGTATCACCGACAATTTTATGTACCGACAAGCTGTTGTCAATCGCGGTCGTCTTGAGGCAGCGGCAGGTGGACGGAGGGTGGGTGGCTCGGTAATTTCGGCGGCCGCCATGTGTACGACATCGTCGGCACACGTGGCACGTCGTGACCGCTAGTCTCGCGGTTTCAGGGCAAGATTTCGTTTGTAAGTCTGGTGGCGCTAAGCTACATGCCAAATAGTGTGCCTCCGGCGGCCGTTGGTTGCCGAGGTTTATCTGTTGTGCTGTTACGTGTACCTGGTACTCTATTTTCAAGTGTGAGTGTAACGCTTCTCTGGTTAGCGCTGCTTGTAACGGTAATATTGTCACCTTTTAGCTTTGTGTGTGCTCTGCACCTTCCCTGCTGTTCTGCCGAAGTGAGGGCTCGAGGGAACTGCGTGCATATAGTACTACTGTAGTTTTTGAATAGTCTTGCCTGGTGATATCTTGCTTGTTGTATAGTATGTGCTGTACCCTCTCTTGCTCTCCCTGAAATAATCTGGATTGGACAGATGCAACGTGTGGACACTGATTGTTGTCACGTTGTTTCCTAGTCTTTTCATCGTTTCTGTTTTTTCCCCAGTGAGAGACGCTGCCAAACCTTGGGACAGAAATCGTCTATGGGTTAAGTCTGTAGTTTCGTGGTTTTGTAATTGTAGGGGGATGATGGGTCTAACTCCGCACCTCTCTCTGCTTTCCTACGGCTGTGGCACGGAACATCCGGTGGACCCAGAAAGAATAGCCGCAATGAAACAACGTGGACACGGATGTACTCTTAATCCATCTATCAGTTCTCTGTCTACGCCTCGGGACCGGCTACAACGAACCCTGTTCGTTCCGCGGTAGACTCCACTGCCTTGGTGTTTTGCGAGACATCGATATCGACAGTCAGTGGTATTGTAAAGGGTGCTTGATTGGCTGCCCCCCGCGCGCGTTGTTTCTTTACAGCGATGGGATTTACCCGAGCAGGGAAAGGAATAAATTGTGAGATTGATGCATGCGTATTCCACCTCACATCCTAGGCAAGTCTCTAACCGGGGGCTCCACGGCAGTCGAGTCCAAACCTATCTACATATATATCTGCATAGCAAGACGAGGCCATGGATGCGCACATGTCCGTGACCACGGCCTAAAAACAACGCAACCATCGGAAAGGCGAGAAAATCTATCGCAGCAGGGCCGAGGCCCATTGACTTTACACGACTAGAGGGTTGTCATGATGCATGCTGCAGAGAATGCAACAACAAAGGCATCGATCGGTCGATATCATGCCGTGCCCGGGTGAAGAGTGTGAAGACACCGACAGAGTAGCGTGGGGAGAACATTTCACTCGCACAGGGTTCAACACCTCAATACCGCACCGACCCCACGTGTGGGAAGCACTGCATCTGATTGGAGTGGCTCTATGCATGCCAGCCGCCTAATATAATAATAGTCGTCAGCGGACGTGCACGCCATTTCAGGTTGTCAATGTCCCAACTGTCCCCCCGACCGCGCGTTCAAAAATCACTGGAAGTGCAACGAAATCACTCGAGGTATGACAAATCCAGAACTATTATACCCGGCAATTTTTTATATTTGAATGCGTTGGAGGAATCACTTGCTGCTGTGGCAGCATCCTGGAGGTGCAGGCAGGTCTTACGAAGGGCGGCGACACCTGTATACCGCGCGGGTGAAAAACGACGTCGTGTTGCATACTTCCACCGACCGAAAAAATACAGTTTGTTAACGCCCGTGCACAAGAACTTGGCGTCAAGAAATTGAAGTATACAAACAGCGCAGTAGTACCCGTATTTCATACCTAACCTCGCGTCGGGGTAAACACGCCCGCTGAGTGGGCATTGCAAGGAATATGTGTGATTCGAAGGTATAGAGCCGACTGGTGTCCTTCGAGTTGAGTAACTATCTGACTGGTCTTGTTCTGCCCCCCCCCCCCTATTTCCCTGCGCCAGGCCGAGAACCCCGTAGGCTACTGTCTTTTCTCCCATTCTCCATCCAATCACCCACTAGTCTACACTGACAGATTCACGCAGTACGTGCCACCATTTACAAAATATTTTCTGTAGGGTATGTATGCGTAGTCACCCCAACAGTGACAGTACTACAGGTATGAGAGTAGGATTCATAACAATTAATTGAGCACCCGTGCTTGTTGTCGACTTCTTCAACCTGCGGCGCGTGCTGTAGGTATATCGTCCACACACGACGGCACGCAAACAGGGCTGAATTACACGAACGCAACACTCTCAACTCTCCACACCAACAAATCGATTCATTCACTGCTTTGTGCGCTGATCGTCAAAAACGGGAGACCACCATAATTTGGCGAAATCATTAACAACACAGACAAATATACATGTGGGATAGACGATAAACTCTGCTGCACAAAAAACGGCCTGGAAACCTATATTCCGGTAATATTAATGTTGGCCAAGTTCACCCACCAATGGTTGTCATTGTCGGGGCAGCAAAAATATTGCTTTATGGAACAATGAATGTGATCCCAGCGCCAACATTACAAGTTTATTCTACAGTCGTACAAAGTATTTCAGAGGCAGAACACAACCAAACCAAAGGACCGAAAAGGTGCGAAAGTGATATGTACACACGAAACTGCCACATAGATGGTCGTAAACCAGCAACAATGACCGCCGGCCTACGAGCACATCCGCGACTTTTGCCACCCCGGGAAACCCTCTAGTTGCTTGCACGCCGGCGTGTGCTTGCGTGTCACACAAACGGCTGTGAAAAATGTTCCAGAATACATTTGACAAAGAAGTCAGGACACGAGATCCTAAGCTTCCACCTAGCTAGATAGATAGGTGGTAGCTGCTTGGCTACGCAGACTAAGCCTCCTGCATCCAAGAAGTCACGACGATTCTTAGCCACCAGAGCACTCCAAGGAATAGGCACTGTTCTCTTCGTCTCCGTCCTCGTACTGTGATTCATCCTCCTCTTTTTCGTCTGATTCTTCGTCCTTCGCATCCTCGTCTCCCATAGAACCAGCGGCAGTCTTGATTGATTACGTCCAGGACAAAAACGGCAGTGGCGATCATCACGATCGAGGGAGCAAGTAAGTGCGGGGGCGGAACGAATGGACACGCCGACCCAGCGTGGTTAAGAAAAAAATTGCTTGTGTCAATCAATGTCAACGGGTGTAGAGCGAGGGTCTGCATGATGAACGGTTGTCTGACGACTGGCTGTGAAGCGTACGGGGGCGAGCGGCTGCTCCTCGAAAATTCGACTATTGCATAGAAGCGCACTATGTAGTATTAATAGTTGCGTGGTACATATGACATCGTGCTATTGCAGATTAGTCAAATTTACATGCTTATTTTGCCGCCTTTCTTTCCGTATTCACTGTATATCATTCATCGCCAACACAAGATAGATAGATGTGCACTCACGTTTGGACGTGTGCCCGACATGGTACATGCCACGCCTCTTCACATTCACATTTATTTGCGTATACATATTAATAGTATGTAACGCGTGACATTACGTACAGTACGGTACTGTAGTACAATGAATGCACGCGGGGCTCGGAGCTGTTGCCAGTTGAAATGTATCGGGTAGTCAGAACATGAACTCACCGATGGAGTAGGGGCGCCATTTGCGCCCACCGCGATTGACGTGAGTCGTGAAGACAAGGATTGTAACTGGTACAAAATCTTCTCGTGCGTGTACGCCTCCATCACCTTGGCCTGTAAACGGAAATCAATCGGGAATGAACGTCCTTCCACAAACCGTCACAGCGTCGCAGGCAAGGCGGCAAATCAATTCCTGGGCGAAACACTGAACAATAGTCGTCATCCTCGACACGCTGTTGTTGTCCTATAGTACTTCGGACCTACATGCCGAATCCTCTCTTGATGCCCACAAAAAATCGAAAGGGCGTTGCGGTATTACTGTTGTCGTCTAGTCTACGTAGATACATACATACGTGCCTGCCTGTCCAGCACCTCCCCCAGCATGTCTTCCATCATCGTGTCCTTGTGCTTCTGCGTGGTGCTTCTCTTCACCAGTTCCTTCCGCATTCTCTGAGCGAATTCCCGGGTGAAGCAGAATATTGACATGGGGGTGAAGCGGGGATGAATGGAAAATGTTTTGGCCGATGACAGACCGGGCAGTACCCAAAAGTGGGCAGTGAAACTATCCGAATTTATTTCCAGCGACCGTGCAAAAGAGAGTTGAATTTCCGAAAGTACTAAGATGCAATCAAGAGTACAAAAAGAAAGCAGAGTCTGGCACAAGGATGATGCCATAAGGAGGCTCGGCAACGTAGACCAGTTCTACTGCAGATCTACGGCAGTAGTTTCAGGGCTAGATTTCGTAGGCTACAACATGTACATGTTCTCACCTCACTCTGACGATCCAACAAAAGCCGCAGAATCTTAGAGTTGCTTTCAACACTGTTTTTGTATGTCGTGCTCCTGGAATATTGGGCGTTCTTTTGACAGAGGAGGTGCAGGAGATGCGAAGGCGCAAGGAAGGGTGGCAATCATGAGAAGGGAACAATGTACGTACGCACTCACTGACATTTAAATTTCGTGGGTTTCTTGGTCCGTGAGCCGTACCGTCTAGAAGGATGTCTGTCTGCGTGTTGCAACCCAGAACTTGCTGGCGCCACACATGGATGGTTGTTCATTTTGCAGCATGTGCCAAGGGCCACAGGAGGAGTGAAACGACAACATTCCAATGGGTGGAGGGCAGTTGACCGTTCATGAAACTCCGGGCATCTTGCGTCTCGGCCCTGCTGTCATAATTGTACCGGAGACCCGACGAAAACTTCATGAACTTCTGTAGGCCACGTCCCACGATTATTTTTTTTCCGTCATAATATATCACCCAGCTCACACCCAAAAAAATACATATATTTGGCGGGTACGAGCTCTCATCCGTGGGCACACAGGAGGGTTGTCTCTCCTGATGCACCTACAAAAAACCCATGTGAGTGCATCGGATGAAGAACGGGCGATTCTATGACTTTCATTGCTACGTCACACACCGTCGCAATTCGGTGGTGATTGTATTCACTCAGTATTCACTTACCGCGATTCGTTCATCCTCGAGGGCAAGGGTGTCTTGGAGCGCCTCATTCATCTTGTCGGCGACCTCACCCGAAGCCTTAAACTCCGAACTCGTCGACGTCCACTCTATGAAGGCCTGGTGCGACACACACATACACACGAAGGGGGAGAGGAGGAGAGGTGAGGTGGGGCAAGGCTTAGATCCGCCAACATACACAGATATTGCATGATCGGGGGGGTCACATCCTTCACCGGCTGCCTGCGCTCCCGGGTTGAATGACTGAATGCTGGGGGGGAAATCATACATGGAGTGGACCAGGAAGCACATTGTGACATGATAGCAGATAGATGAATAACAGTCTGAGGGAGTAAGAGTGCCCAGATATATATTATCAACAAATCATTAAGAATGGGAACAAATGTCAAAAGCGGAGTGAAAGCTACAGTAGTCACCGGGGGCACATATCAACATCATTTATGCCAGTGACGCTGATCGTGCCATCAAGAAAATTGTTGCCATACCGGCGCTTGGGGTAGAGCATACTAATGACGGATCTTTCATATCTTGGTCGATGGCGGTCGAAGAAAATTGAAGGGTGGTATGATGGTGTTGTACAGCAGATTTTTTGTAACTCACTTTTGTTGGTTCGACAAGCAAGACCGATAATAGGACCTCCATGGGATTCAGTCCATGGACCTCCATGGGATTCCACGGAAAATTCCATGGAACTTAAAGGAATCGACAATACATGATGTATGGCACCCTCAGATTCGCTCATTTATAGGATATCAAGAAACATCGATAAATCTGGTCGAAAACATTGTGGCGGCCGGCACCGTACAATGCCCAAGCACTGCAAGGCTTAAGCCCGGCGGGGGTGTAGCTACATAGAAGATCGTCTCTACAAAATGTACGTAGCTTGCAGATATTTCTTTTTGCGAGTAAGTTACAAAGAAGACATACATGCTGAAACGAACGACCGACGTATATGTCGATAGATGCATGTTGAATGCGGGTATGTTTGGGTGTGAATGCCACTTCATTTGACTCAAACGTAAGGAGGACAGCTATACTTCGAATAGACCCTAAGACAGGCAGCGAACATACGTAATATGTTCTCTTCTTTCTCTAGATTCGTTGCCGAGAAGGATTTGCAAGAAGAGTAGTGACAGAAAGACGGACACAAAAATAACCTGATAAAAGACTGCACTTCAGTCATTGACCAACCTGCAGGCTTCCTTCAAAAACAAACGCAGAGAGAGACAATTTTGGTGAAAGACTAACCTTGCAGATTTCGGCACAGATGGACATGCCGACGTTGAAACCCGATACGCTCGCCGCTATCAACCCAGCTGCGACAGTAGCCGCCCCGAGCGCTTTCGCTGCCAGCGGAAAGAGTGTCCGCCATTCGACGATGGGTTCGGCCTTGATCTTCCTCTCTTTGGATTGTTGAGTCATGTCCCATCTTGTCAGGGCCGCTGGACAGCGACGAGGTACAGAACGCGCCCGCACATGAAATTTGCACAGCAGTTAGTTGAGAAAATAAGCCTAAAAATCACTTGACGACAAGGTAGGGGGGTGCATGCGCGGTAGTGTAACTATTGTAACTGGAAACCCGCCAATCAATCGAAAGACGTCGCCAGCATCTGTGCCGCTGAGAACAGACAATCTGTCAATGGCGAGTTTCGGGACACGCACTAAGCTACGTGTAAGGAATAATAGTTCTAGAATAGCAGCTGTAAGCTACGTGCAGTAGTGGTAGCAGCAGACAAGGGTAGATTTAATGGATCCGCACAAGGGACTGTCGGCACCGTAGATTTAATGGATCCGCACAAGGGACTGTCGGCACCGTAGATTTAATGGATCCGCACAAGGGACTGTCGGCACCGTAGATTTAATGGATCCGCACAAGGGACTGTCGGCACCGTAGATTTAATGGATCCGCACAAGGGACTGTCGGCACCGTCCGGCTGTAAGACCGTAGAGATTTTGTTTCGTGTGAAGACCCCAGCAGATCAGCCGGGGCGGAGATATGGGGGCCATGTTGAATTGTTTATTGCTGTCTTATTTTGAGCTGGGCACCTTGCGCACTCGCCCCTGGTGCTGACTCTTCCTCATCACCATCAAAGCAAACCTGGTCGTAGGGTCAACCAGTAACAACGGCAATTGCGTTATCTCGTCTTTCCGAGACACACCGAGCTGCCACGGTACTCACTCGAAGTAAGTGTCCTCCTACCTCTGCTTGTAGGCTACACACCAGCATACAGATATACATAGCTTTGCAGCCACCACTGTCTGCAACCGCTTATTATTCCCGACAGTGGCTTCCCATAGAATGCCATCATGGTGGAGGTCCGTTCGTGGAGACCGTGGAATGCTCTGCGGAGTACCATGGAACCTCCGTGGACCTCCATCATGGACGACCTCCTCCATGGCATTCATTCACAGAATGTTCCATAGCAAACACGCAGAGCACGCACTCTCTGCCAGCCCGCCGAATTTTCCGTGCATATTGTTTTTCCAAGGCAACCGCCTCTCGAATGCCTTCACTGCTTTTTTTGCTGGCTGGGGCAGTATTATAGACGATCGATCGATCGATGTTCTTTTGGCAAAAAATTAGCCAAGGCAAGCAAATACACACACACGGGGGTGCTTGCAGTAACCTACAGACAGTATCATGCATGCAGCAAATATATGATGTTTTGTAGCACATATATTTATTGAATGGCTACTACGAAAGACATAGAAAGGGTACTAACTGTGTACTACGAACGCACAAAAAAAAAGGAAGCACACATATGGGAAGAAGTTCTGTCATATGCCGGTACTCGGCGTACTATAAAGGAGGTCCAGCTGTAGGAAGCAGCTGGGGCCTAGCGTAAAGAAATAGGTACGGTCGCTTGATGCCTTGTCTCCACGATTGTGTAGAAATGAGATGTTGCTTGAATTGAGAGCGAGGAAGGTCTGATTGAGGAGGGGATCCTCCTAGCAACCAGGGGGCACGCAGATCGCTGAGTCCTGATGTGGTATATGGTCCCTGAGGGGTATACCTCACGGACATCCCACATCCTATACTAGACCATAGGCCCTACAGCAACACTCCTTAACCCTTTTGAGTCTTCAGGCGTTCTCACTGATCATTGATTGATCATTTGCAAATGCTGGTGTAGTGGCAAGTCGTGGAGTTGCCGCCCTGCAGCCCTTCGCGCCGTGTATTGGCAAGTCCATAGGTGTGTCTAGATTATTAGCACCCGCGCTAACCGGCTGACCAATGAAGAGACTTCAGTGACAGCGGGTAATGTCAAGGTCTCGGGAATGGGAATGGGGCCAATCAATGCCAAATCATGAATCTCTCAACGTATGCACATGTCAATGAACGCGTGTGTGCATACAGTACATACATACATACATATGTGTTCTTTCGCAGCACCACACATACACTCGCCCGAACGTAGGAAGCCACTGCTGCAAAGAGCAGAGGACAGCAAAAGGGAGGGGTATTGCAGTCCCTGCCGAAGCCCAGATATCGAGGATATCGTGGTTCCCAACAATTTGAAAATCGTTCCGAAGATCCAGCAGTCATTGTGTCAACAGCTACAACGAACGCTACAACAACACTACTACTTGCTGTAGACGAGTAAAACATATCAGCAACACATCCACACTCGTAGCGCCACACATACCACCCTCGCCCGAACCTAGGAAACCACGAGGTACAGGTGTGTGCTGGTGGATGCGCTTGTTGTTTGAAAAACACAGGAGCTCTAGAGAGATGGCAGGGCACATTTCGGGGGGGGACAGAGAGCAGAGAAGTACAGAAGTACAAATACCAGCTATGGGTCTTCACTGATCATTTTGCCCTCTCTGGACTGATCATTTACAATATACCGAAAATAGACTAGTTGAGGCAGCTAGACGACTGATCATTTCAAAGGCTACACAGCTAACCTGCCCTACTGACCGCAGCGCGACCACCCACCAACCCTTCTACGACCCTGTCTGTGGCCACCACCCTGTCGCCGGCTTCTCTCATGGCCTACAGGGGGAGATAGCTGTTGCGTGTGCAGAAGTACACTGGTGTCTTTCTCTGCACTTCTCTCTCTCCCGCTCGCTCTCGCTCTCATTTTTTTTTTTGCGCAAAAAAAAAAATCTGACAGTCCAGCCTAGACCCAAAGGGGTTAACAGTACTCTTTCATTATTACGCACGCTCTCACTCTGTTCTCCCCCCTTGGGAGCACAGCAAAAAAAGGACAAACTTTCTTAGCTACTGCTGCAGACTACATGCAGTAAAAACTATCACGGTCTTTATCACCTTTCCACTCGTAGCGCGCATCACCCTGCCCCTGTAAGAGATGCCGGATGCCTGTTTCCCCCCAATCTTCAGTCCATGTCACGTGCGGGTCGCACTTGTCCAGCAGCAGCAGAACTCTTGTGCCATGAGGGGAGAGAAGATGAAAGAAAATCGTTCAACGCTTCTTTCAACTTGCACGAAAAGATAGCAACCAATGTGGAGTATGTAGCAGTCAGTGGGATGCCTGCTACGATACAATAACCACACCACAAGAGAGGCAGCGCGCCCTCCTCTCGTCGGCTACTACAGCACGTAAGTATAGGATAATCTACTCACATACTTATATATAGTGTATGCTCCAGGTTGGAATTTTATCTCGCGGGAGACATTTTGAAGGCAAACGAAACGCGTGCGCCCTTGTCCAGCGCCTATCTTTTGTCGAGAGAAGAGAAGAGCACGCACCACAGCACCGCACCCGGAGCCTATCTTATGTACCCTACAGTAGGCCTGTCACCTGAACCAGTCCAGCCTGTTCCCCTTGAGCGCTAGAACTAAGAGAGACCGCTCTGGCGCCCCCGCCGGGTGGCGCAGGTACTCGACGGAGTTTTCCTGCAAAAGCTTGACATGCTCCTCGGTAGGCCTTACATGATCAGCGATCGCCCGCTCGAAAACGACGTGCAGTGTCCCTCCGTTGTCCACAGCACGCTTGGGTTTCGAATTATCGCAACCCATGGTGCTGTGGAGTTTCTGCAAATAGGTTGGTGCTGCTCTTCATGGGGTGGTAAGTATGAACCTGGTGTGCATTGTGCATTGTGGTGATCGAATGATAATGTCGCGTGGAACGTTCTCAGGCTCGAGACTACGTCATCTGCGTGCTGTTCGTTATACAGGGGCGTCGACGGAACTTTCATGACTGCCATGGTTTCCACACCCACCCCACTACAAACACACACACACGTTGTTTTCACTTTCCCTTTAGAGAACACCGCCTTCCCCATCTTGACGTGGAAACAAGACATAGAGCCAAGTTGATAGAGCCCACGACGGAGCGAGCTGGGAGGAGATGGATCCAGATACAGTCGAAGCGATGTCCGATCTCGCCAAATCCATCGACTTCACATGGATGTTTGTCTGCTTGGTACTGGTCGTCCTGATGCAAGCTGGGTTCGCAGCCTACGAGGTAACCGAGACACAAGAGAGAGGGGTGCGGATGGAGCAACGCTGGGCGTGCGCTCACCTTGGCTGTGGTACTTCTCTTGCGTACATGCCAGCTTTTTTACTTTAACATGAGATATGTACTGTTCTGCTCCCACTGCTGCGGTAGACTGCAGCAGTCTCCAGCAGGTGATGGTTAGAGCGACGCACACACAACGACGGCAGTTAGTTGTACTCTTGAACAAATAAATGAAAAGACTGCTCTGCTGCAGTTCTTCGTGATCTCTGTAAGAAAAAGCACCAGTCCAGTTCATTCAATGTACGCTGGCAAACCCTGACACGTACTGCCAGAGCTCGTTCATGACAGGGTTATGCAAGTAGAGCTTAAGGGCGACAAATAGGAGAAGGCAGTACATATATGCATGCATATGCATACATCGCGTGTACTTTTTACGTACCACCCTGCAATGCTTGCTTCCACATTTTTTTTTTCTTTTTTGAAGGCCGTGGCAGCAGACCGAACGGAATGTATTCCGCTGCGTGCTCTATCGTGCCAATGCTTGCTTGTTGTTGTTGTTGTTGTTGTTGTCTTCACGTTTGACTGTCCGACGAAAAGGGGACGTACGTGATACTGCTGTATACGTCCGTGTTTGTTTCCCGCTTGGGGCCCTCTACAGCAGTACGAAGTAGAAAAGATTGCGTTGGTGGTAATCTGGGCGAACCCAATCGTTTGTTGAGAGAGGAAGAGGCTGTATAATCTTCATCATCTATCTCCGCGTGGGGAAAGCGAACAGTTTCATGACCCCCCAAGCGACGAGAGACAATAGCGAGAGAGAGGTGGAAATTCGACGCGCACTGCTGTTTCAACAGAATTCGGGAGGGTCATGGTTGTGCTGTAGGCGAAACATAAATATTTTTCTCTACGGGCTCGCCGGCAAGGGTGTGAAAAATTCATCAGTGAGTCGTCATACTGAGAAAATAATAGAAAATCGTTTCCCGCAAAAAAAAAAGTCCGGAGGTCAGGCCCGAGCCGAAGGTGAGATAGATGCGGCCCCCCGCACCCTCCCCCGGAGGACGCCGCCCGCGTAGGGCCCTTCCCGAAGGAACCCGCGGAGTGAAAAAATTGGTCTTTTTCCTATAGAAGTCAACCATAAAGTGTCAATTATTTGTTTTCTACGCGTTTTATTAGCAGGATATGTCTCTTTCCAGCAAAAAAGGCCCTCCAAACAGTTTTTTTCGCCTCCAGCGAAAGAAAAGGGCCGCAAAAAATTGTTTTCGCCTCCGACAAAGAAAAGGGCAAAAAAAAAAAAAAATGCGGCAAGCCGCAGATTGGCCCCATATGATCCTGCGCTGAGAGCATATTTCCAAAAAATATGCGGGCCCGCAGAGCCGCAGGCCCTTTTTTACTCTCGACATACCTACGTGGGTTATATCATATACTTCGAAGTATATATCTCGAACGGGTAGTCTGTGTTTGTATTTATTTTTCCTAATAACCTGCTGTGGGTACCGATTGTACCGGTTAGAATTAAAAGAAAAATCCCCAATCCCCATGTTTGTTTGGGTTGCATGTGTTTTATGACTTCCATTCATCGTATGAATCCAATAGTGCAAAAGTCAAACAAACCTGTTTATAACCTGCTGTACACAGACACATGAAACACCGTGTGGCACTACGTATACAATGTGCCTTACATGCCTGCCCATTTATCGTGTTGTTGTTGGAGAAACCACATCATCCATACGACTTGGCTAATCAATTTTCAGTGTGACCCTCAAAGCCCGGAGTAGCAGCATCACGCCTCTACGCACATGAACGAGGAACCCCGAAGCTCGACGGAAACCGTGGTACGTACGCTGTCATGTAAGAGCTCGCCTACGTTCCCCCTACCACTTTCCGACATTTTCGCACGCAAACCTCCGCCAACAAAAACGGACGCCGTTTCAGACTGAGTTTACGCCCCGTCGTCCGGCTCCTCTTCTTCTTTCCCCTTCTTCTTCTCCTCCTGCCCCCCTCGTCCTCCTCCTCTTCGTCCCCTTCCTCCTCATCTCATCCACCTTACCCTGCACCCTACCCCATTCCCTCCCTCTTTCTCACACTGTCCTCTCCCCTTCTTCGCTCGACTCTGAGTTACTTCTTCTACCGCCGAGAATACTTCTGGATAATGTCTTACGCCGCAACAGTCTGGGCTAGGCCTTTTGGCACCCCCTGAGGGTGGGCTCCCTCTCGTCGTCTAGGTGTGGTACGCCGTGCAGCGTACAGGCGCGGCGAGGGCGGACGGCCACACACACACACCCCGCTAGGGCTATGGCATTTGGAAGTGTTTTTTTGTGTTCTCAACCGCACTGAGACTGACGTCTTTTTTGGTCGGCCGGTTAGCGCGGCCGATGCTACAAGTAAAAACATACGGCTAGGGGCTCGAAGAAGCACAATACTCCCCCCTATACAGACACGGTACGCCTTCATATATACATGTGCATTTGTATCGTCTGGTTTTGTATTGGATTTAGTATGGAGTTAGCAGCCGGGGCTTCTCTCTTTCCACCGGTGTGGGGAACTCTTCCTACTGTACGTAACACCTCAGACGACTAAGTCCCCATGTGGCACTCTACCATTTACTTTACCCAACCCCGGGTCATCATTAGAGTATCGCTACAGCAGAATATAGTATCTTCGTCCCACTACCCCACGCCATGTTTTCCCCTTTCTGCCTCACCACTCCTTTTCCCGTGTCGCCTACTACGCGACGCACCCGTCGCGAACCCTCCTGGCTACTTCCCTGTCCTCTGGACTACTCGTTCGGGACCTCCCAACCACAAGGGTCGACGTTCTTCCACCCCAAAGGGGGTACAAGTCAACGTCTTGTGTTCAAGCCCCAACGTCTTGGCAATCTCTCAAAATGCTCACAGAGCCTGACCAGGCCTCAACACTCTGACTTCACGACCGCTACGGAACGAGGATATTGGCACGTGATCGGGCAGCGTCGCATGACCAGATATCTCAACGGAAATCAGCGCTCTGTACCCCGATTGCGTGCCACTAAGCTCCTGTCGTACAAGCCCTTACTTCTCCGATCTGGTCCTGATCTCCCTTGTGAGCAAACACAAAATAGAGTACCTGAGACCTACACACAACTACAAACTCATACCTTTTCCCACGCTGGAATTGAGCTTTCACCGTCCAACAACATTCTCCACCCTACGGGCTAGTAAAATGTTGGCCCCGCCGTGCGGCACAGCCTTTGTCCCTATGGGCACGCCGGAACCCCGCCACTGCGATTGACTGTGCCATTTCCGCCGTTGCCTCGGCGTCCTCCGCCGTTATTTATGGTAGCCCTACCCCGTTCGCCGCCTCTCGTATCAGCGTCCCGCGCTCCCACCGCCATCGCATCCGCTCCCAGCGCTCGTGGGGTGGTTGGTTGTTTAGCATGGTCCCATGAACAGTTCCGGCGGGTGCATTCCCCCATTGCATTCTCCATGAAGCAACGGCGGTCGCCGGAATTCTCCGGGCGAGGACGCTTGGTCGGAGACACGATAGGGTGGTGGCCGCGGATGATGGCTGTGCGCAATCCGCCGGAAGGAATAATTTTCCCGGTTATGCTCCACTGAGGCCCAACAACCATCGGCATGGACTCAATGTGCGGCGGCGTCGGATGCTTCTGAAACGCCGGAGCCCTGGCGAACCATGTGGATGTCCACTGGCGGAAGCCCTCATCGATCATGTCCGCCATCACTTTGAAGGTGGCGGCGTCGTTCATCTTGATCCGGTGTTGGCGACAAAGGGTGCGGGCCATCTCAGTTCCATCCCGAAGCCGTTGTCCAAGTATCCCCAGGCACGTGGCCCCGTGCTCCGACACCATCCCAACAGACAGAACATTCATGATGACGAACACCAACGCCTGCATGTCATCGACCACGTTGGTGCGGGTAAGGTTCGGATCGTCGCCCTCGGCGATGTACATCCGTACACGGAAGCCCGACATGGCGTCAAGTTGGTCGTACACCGCCGCTGTCACCTGCACCTCATCCTGCACGAGCGACTTCATCTCAACAAGCTTCAAGTTCGCAACCGCGAGCCGCTCACCGATAACCATCCAGGCTTTCATGATAGCGACGTTATGCCACGCCGCTAATGATCCTTGTCCTTGGCCCGAGTGTTCTGCACGTGCACCATGGACATGGCTGTGACGCGCGCACCAGGAGCGGGTGGCCCGCCAGTTTTTGCCCGCCCCCGTTCGATGTCGTGCCCGCCGACGCCGCTAACCTCGCGATCTTCCTTCTCCGCTTGCAACTGGCGAACCTGGCCGTTCGCCACATCCATGCTCTCTTTCGTCGTTGCCAAATTCCTCACGCATCTCGGCAATGTCGGTCGCGCTTACTCCGCAGCCGCGCCAGCGGCGCAGCCGATCGCGTCCGACCCCATGTCGGCGTCCGTCGTGTCGTGCTGCTGGTGGATCGCTGAGCAGTGCGCCCTCGACCCGGCCCCGCCGGCGTCCCACCGGACTTCGATCTCGTCGCTGGCGGCATCTGTTGTGAATAAACACCCCACGGCCAAAGGGACGGAGAAAACTAGCGAATGATACACATCTGGTCGCGGGCGGTAGCTACTGCTGCAAACACCGACCACTGCGGAATCACGTCGATTTGTACATCGCAAAGACACTCTTCGTGGATTGATTGGTTCAGTAACTCTTCATAGGTGGGCCGCGGTCCGCTGCTCTTACACTGTGCATGTGTTGGTCTTTCTGACATAGCGTGGGGTGCCGGCTTCCGGCACCAGGACTGTACGAAACGACGTGCACGCCCCCGCTGAATTAACACTCGCTCCTGTGACCTGACGCAGTTTCAACCCTTCCAATGTTTTGTTCTCACCCGAACGACATCGTGTCCACGGGTGAATGGCTGTACTGTGGTTCGACCACGGTGTCGACAATTCCGGCATGATACCGCCAAGAACGCCAAAGAACACAGCGTCTTGGCCCCAAAACCTGGCCAACCTTAGTATCCTTCTCTCTCAGCTCACCTACTGCTGTGTAGCTCTCCTGTTCTACGCTGCCAAGTGTGCCTCCTCCTTGCACGTGAATCCTCTGAGATAAGTGATCACTCTAAAGGGTTCTCTTCCAAATCTGGGCCCCCAAAATACGGGAACAAAAACCCTCCGGCAAATCGGGGTCTTGACATTATTGCGTTTATGCCCATGGCTTAGGGCCATGACCTTACCCAATAATGCACCCAACGCTGGCAAATCGACGGTTTCAATTCAGTGGTTTCAATTGGTTGGTTTCAATAAACAGTAGTCCGCATCGGCTATGTCAGCACAAAACAAACTTGCTCACTATTTTTTGCAGGTGGGGAGTATCAGATCGACTTCCGCAAGCTCTATTCTCAAGAAGAATATCGGAGACGCCACCTTAAGCCTTATCGCGTGGGTTTTGGTGGGATACGCCCTCTCTGACGGGAAAGATCAACTCCGCATCGTCGGTGGAAGCTACTTCGGTCTTGTGCAAGGCGAGAATAAGATAATACCAGTGTTTGTGCTCACAATTTGTCTACGTGGTGGGCTCAGTGATGCTCTTGTAGCGTCGGGTTGTAGGAAGAGGGGAGCGAAGGACTCTTTCAAAGTGAGCGGTGGGTGACACGAAGCCAATCGCTGTCATGTTTGGTTGGTCAATGCAAGACACGGAATCTGAATACTTGGGTTTCTTAGAGGTGACGTCTGAAATCTATGGGCGGGTTGTGTACCGCTCTAGGGCAAGAAAACGGGAGATCGAAAGGTCTTGACCTCTGTTTTCAAGTTCAGCACGACAAGGTTTCAAAAAGTCGTTTGTCGGGCGTGCCAAGCTCAAAGCATTGTGTTGGCGGCGTTTCCCCGACCTATTTTCTATGCTCTTTCATGTTTCAATTGTTCCAGCATCTGACAGTAGTGTGTTAGAAATTGAGACATCGTCCGATGCATGGTGGGGGGCTTGGTTCTCTGCGCAAGCCAACGGTTGCAGTTTGCATCACAATTCCGGCCACTATCGACGCATACAGCGCCAACAATCGAACCACGAGTAGTTGAGAGACATGGAGATTTCAGCGTTTGGGCAACACGCACTTCACTGCACGATGTGTTCAATAGATGCGGCCCCCTCGCATTTGTCCTCGTCGAATAGGAGAACCCTTCGAGGCAACCGATGACAGAGACGTCGGCACGGCTTTGCTCGAGTGCTTGTTCCGGTGGTCCTTTGCCGCAACTTGTACGACCATTGTTTCAGGTGCGTGCGAGTGTTGTGGGGAGGTCCGTCGCACGTTCGAGGACGCTCAGATACATGGCGGCCCTTGTGAGGGAACGGTTCCCCAAATAATTCACTACAGCTTCCTTTCAAGAGTGGGTTTGAAAGGCGTATCGTGCAAATCAAGTAGCGACAGCACCGTTCTTTGTTCGTACTCTTTGCGATACGAATCAACTCGCAGCGGTATTTGTTGCGGCCTGGCGTTGACTCGAGCATTTTCGCCATGCAGGAGAATCACAAACTGACAACGCAACCAAGTGCCGACAATGTACTTATCGTCACCAACAAGACAACTTAAGACATTGCAAAAAATAGTCTGTGTTCACGGGCATCTTAGGAGACGGAGCACTTCTCACTCCTAGTACAGTAGTAGGATGGGAACATCTCCAACAATCAAGTGATCATCACGCTTGTCGTTTGCACTGTTAAGTCCATATCCCATAACTTCAGCTCTCCCCCTCGTTACTATTTTTTCCATGCCCCGTTAGTCAACTATGGCTGGTGAGACGGGTTTTTTTGGCATTAAACCTGATCTATATTGCCAATTCCACCTTGTCACGTGCATGTAGCGTTGGATTTATAACTTCCTACAGCTCTAAGAACTGTGTCGCTCGTAGTAGTGGACCACCCTTTCTTTTCTGCCTTTTGTCTAGTCCCAGTTGCCTCGCAAATTGGTTGTCTCCGTCCCATGCTTCACCCGCATGCTCTAGTGCTTGCGTATGATCACGTTTCGCAGTCTCTATCCCGCGATCCAGGTGTCAACTACATGAGTGTAGGACAGTATGGACCGTCCGTTTTGACTTTGACTAATTGTGCCTCGCCTATCCCCGGAGGGATGTACCAAGCATCCCGCAAGCATGCTCGTGAAACAATTGATCACCTTCACCCTTTTCCCTCCTCGCGGTTTCAACGACGTCAATTCTATCCCACTGTCGATGAAGGTGCTGTCGCCGATCGCATTTACGTCAAGGCCTACTTCGTATGTGAGTCATCTTATCGGTTCACACTCCGCAAACGTCTCAACATTCATGCATACGTGGGACCTTGAGCGTCAGAAGTCTTCTGGTTTTGAAAAGAAACCCAGGACGTTTTCATTCCGCGAAGAGATCCCGCCAGAGGCTATGGGGTTATTGTTCTGACCTCGCGGAGGTCAGCACAATCTCACCTAACCTCGTGCAAGAGCGATTTTTCAGACGCCAGTGGCACTGAAACGTATCGTGACGAACCTATACGTGCTACAGTTGTTGATATATGGCCTGATATTGATTCTTCTCCTCTTTCCTCTTTCCGACGGCCAATCAACGGTTGCTCCTTTCTGTCCGCGCCGCCCGGCCGCCCCTACAACTGTCTTTCTGCAGATGCATTCTTGACATCTGCCGTGTTCTACCCCTTGCTTGCTCACGCTGTCTGGGCCGACGAGGGGTGGGCCTCTCCGTTCCTGACGAGTGAAGGAGAGTCGGCTGCTTTGTTAAATTGCGGCTTTGTTGACTTCGCTGGATCGGGTGAGGACGAAGCAGGCGTTGAAATGTGATCCCTGCTTTCGCGCATCCTTCCGAACAATGCACCAACGTGCACGTTCCTTGGGAAGGGGCGGAAGTTTTTCGTGGCAACTCGCTCACTCCTTTCTCATTTCTCTCTTCTCACCTTTCGGCCACCTAAGCGCCAATTCAAACCATCTCTTCTGATCTACAACACAAGTGTACATGACAGTCACTCTGTGAGCCTCTGCACACCTTCACTACTCAGTGACGGATGCCAGGGATACACCTATCACAAAGATTACATCCCAACACTCGCTCCAATAACTAGGGAGCTGAAACCAACAACCAATCATACCAGCCAGTTCGCAGCACGAACGTTGTTGTGGCTCGGGTCGGAAAGGGCCCTTGTTCGTTAACGCACCCACCAGTACGTACCACCAGCCAGAAGGGCCAAAACAGGTGTTCTCGAGAAAACATGCGCCCACCACACCAGCATCCGCAATGAATCGTCGGCCGCCCGCCAGGCGTGGTTCATATGCTGGGAGGTGGCATTGGCTTGGTACTGTCGATAATGGTGGAGAATCGGTCGGATAGGTTCATCGACGCCGACCCGGAGCTCGTGGAAAAGAACACGTCAGCAACTCTCGATCGTCGCCTTTTTAAGGTGGGGCAAAATGCAATACCGCGGAATGAGAATCCACCAGATATTAGCGTCGTTTGGCTTTTTCTCTCGTTGATTGCCAACATGTGAAGTTTTATCAGGAAACAATGACGGCATCGGGCAAGGTATTGTTTCCGTGTCTACTGCAGAAATACGGAGTTGATCGGTGTCTGTTTGTTCGTCCCGTCCATCTGGCGGTAGTCGGCACAACGCTCTGTGTGCCTTTCTGACATCTCAACCGGAGTCACAGAGGGGTTTTATTTGTTTCGATTGCCCCACCTTTTTTTCATGCGGTTCTTTCTTTAGGTATTCTCGTGAGAAGGGTTGAACCGTCCCTTTCCCTCGTCGGCCGCGAAGTCGAAGAGTAAATACTCACCAAGTTTGATCTTTACCCACCACAAATGTTAGGGAAGAAACACTCCCGAGAGAGACCCCAACCCACAACCTTCAACAAAACGGTTTGTGGGGTTATCCGCTTAGATCAAGACCAAATTGCTTGGGTTAGGCTTCTGCAAACACGATACCTTACCGCACGAGGTTCTTTTTGGACTTAAGGCGTAGCTGCATGTGCGACGCTGACTGGACAACCCGGTCCACCACTATCAAATTCCCTTTACCCGATCATTGCTGTAAGGCGTGCACGTGTTGCTTCAAGGAAACAAAGTCCGTTCTACGGAACTACACAAGCGTTCTTCAGCTGAACGAATATCACTTTCGCCCCAGCGACCCTTCGTGGATGACCCTCGGGTGTCTTCTTCTTTGGCTTGGCTGGTGAGTGTTGTCCGTGTCGCTAGACTAAAAGGTTCAACAGTGTGCGCGGGTTGTGGATCGAGTCGGGCGGCTACTAATCTTTCACGCTTAGCCGTTCCTTGCGTTCTTTGGTTGGCAAGTTGCGTTGAAACAGCGGCCAACGGTTTGGATCCGCGTCTGCCTGAAGCGCTCGAGTCTGGTTTGGAAGTCGGGTTGGACAGCTCTTGAATGATTGCTCCCAAGACATCTTTGGCTGTTCGCTTTAACCGTGGATATAGTTATGAATCCGTCCGCCATTGCAAGCTACCCATTACTACAGGTCAGCCACAACCTCCTTCCACGTGACAGGTATGGCTTCAACTGCGGGTCTACTCTTCAAATTTCGAGCGAGGAAACCCGGAATGCCGCCGGACGTGCGGCTTTGAACACTACGATTGGGGCAGGCGAGAAAGAGCGCACGATAAATACGAGCTGTGCTACCAGAGAGCAGGATGGGGCAGCGTTTAATCGAACATCCCTAGTATTCGGTGGCAAAGAGAAGCCCCACAGACAAAGTACGCGCGGCTAAAGTGGGCAATCACCATGTTTCGTGCCGGACCGACCGCTACCAACGCTTGGTACACAATATGTTCATCGTTGGACGGTCGCAAGCACCATCGTCGACGACGGCGAGGGAAACACTGACGGACAGTTTATTTTGGCCAAAGCGTTGTCAGTCGATTGATTTGCACAGGGAAAGCTGCACAAAAACGGCGAAACCAAGCGTGAAAAAACAAGGCGATGGCAATCATAACGGCTTCTTAGACGACGGTTACCCTAGATTGGTTTGGCCGTGACACCACGTCAACACATCTTGTTTCAACGTTCGATATTCTACAAGGCGGAAGCCACCCTGATGGTCGGTCTCACTCAATGGTCGCTCATAACACGGGGAACACTGCTACGGAAAGTGTTGATCAAAGTCGTTCAAAGGGTGATAGACTGCTGGTCCAAGGTCGGCAGAAAGCGCCAAAAAGAATGGTGAGGGTCATTCTTGATATTCACAACGTACATTTTCTTCTCGTGTATTCAACCGCCCGTGTTTATGCAGCCGTCGGGTGCGTATCGTCGATGGGCTTCGAAATTATGTACCACTGGTGGTCGCCGAAATATCGTCGAGGAGAGTTCATCAACGACCCCCTCGACTACCTCCCACAGGTGATTGGTGTCGTGAGAACCCCCAAAAAATAAGAAATGACCGGCATTGTTACACGTGCACCCACTCGCACAAGTCGTGCACATAAGATAGATAATAACCACGCTGTTTACTAGAAATACGGCCGACTGCGGTGATACATCCCTATCTGTAGTTAGGTACGCCCGGGATAAGTCATGAGTATGGGACGAAAAACCGACTTGTTGGGAGGATTCTGTGACGGAAACGGTACATACACAGAGAACTTCGTGGAAATCTCGCGGCGCTGATTGGCCGAACCCGTTAGTGTACACCTGTTTTAAGGCCAACGCGTCAGCATACTGAAACCCGACTTCTCCAGGCGATTGTCACCAGATTCTTTCGTCCTCGTTGACGTTTCGTGTAGCAAGAAGAGAGCCCACTCATGCGTTTCGATTCCATTCGATTACCCAACTTGCCAATTCCCCGATCACGAGCAAGATGAATGCAAACATCAATTCAATCGACCTCGGCCACTGCTGTATCCTTCGCGCCAAGAACGCCGTACACTGCAACGCACGTACCGCAGCTCCAAGGCCGTTGAGTTGCCAGCGAGCTCCATGTGGTTGTCACCATCCACGCACGCATGCTCTTGTCTTGTATTTGTTGGTTGAAGTGATTTTTCGGGACTGGTGTCATTTCGCACCACACGAAACCCCGGCGATGGCCTTTTGCCTTCGGAGGGTTGCCGTGTTGTTGTTGTCCTACTTCACGCTGTTGCTCCTACGAGTCCTCCCGCCACAAGCTACCAATCCATCGTGACCGTCGGAGTATGTCTCGGGTTGATTTCCTCATGGAAGTGATGGGGACGTTGCAAGTCGGATAGTCCCGTCAAACCGAATGGATTGGCTGAGTGATGTGACGGAAGGGTGACGGTGACAACAGAAAACAACACACGGTGGGATCGGCCAATGAGAATGGGTCAACGCCTGGGTTTTACAAAATTTGTGATAGTTCTACCGTTTTGTGTTATTAAACGTTCCTGGGATACCGATTTTGACAGTTGTCCTTCACGTGGACGTGTACCAAAGTGCACACGAAAACGTAACAGCATCGGACGTGCAGTTAGCACCGAGGTGTTGACCTGCGGAAGAATTGCCCAGAAGGGCGTGTCGTTGCGTTGCCACGTCACCATGACAAATTCTTCTCCCGAGAAATGACAACATTTCTCACGATGCACGATGAGACTCTCATCAGATCCAGGCGAGTAGTTTCTCATCAGTGTCATGTTAGATCATGGCGTAACAACGATGCATCATGAGATCCACGAGAACTTGAAAACGGTTAAGACCAAAAATGAATGTTCGTTGAAAGGCAAGGTGAATCAGGTGTTTTTCGAAAATGTCGTCATGGCGCACCATGCCGCATCATGAATCAGGAAGTTCAATGAGCACCATGGATCAATTTGACATGCTACAAATTATGGGGTTGCGTCTGTCATAATGCACTGTGATTCACCACCATGTATCGCGAGAATCATGCCCAAAAGGGTGCGGCATGACATGGTTTTCATGCACAGGCACGCACGTATACCGTATGGCAGGGCACGAGATTATCATATTGCGCTATGGGGCGCCTTAATAATACATCCCAATACTTCTGTTCGTCTGGAGTAGCATCGGGAGCCTGTGAGACGGAGCGGTGGCAACACACGAAGGACGTGTTGACGTACGGCTGGCGGTGTGCTTGGGGTCAGTTTGACACTGGCGACAACATAGTCTACTGTATGTTTCTATGTGACCAGAGATAGATACGTTTGTCATGTTTCTAACGCTTGTGGCGTCTTGCACAAGACCTATTGACTGTATTGATTCTCGCATCGCCCACGACTGGTGAATCGATTCCATGTTTAATTTCCACCCGCGAGGGAACAGTTGTCATCGCCAGCTGGGGCGGGCCCTCGAAGAAGGAAGACTACCGGGGCCACCGACTACGTAGTCGACCCCGAGGACGAGCACAACCATGGCACGTTCAGGTGGCGCCTCAGCACCCACAAGTCCATCCACGGGGCGGCCTGCAACGGGGTCATAGTCGGCCTTGTCGGCGTCACCGCCGGTATGGAGTAAGGATACCACATCGGATGACCGAGACGAAAGGGCGGCAGCACTGAGAGTCGGTTATGAGAATAATGGGCTCTGGCTGTGGCCCTCGAGACTCTCCCTCCGCTTCCAGTTTAGCTCAGAAAAGTTGCCGAACGGGCAGCAACGACTTCTTTCTACGTTTGTGTCTACAGTAGTTTGCATCTGCACATGGATGACCACTAAATGCGGATGTGAACCTTGCTTGGAACCTCATTGTGCTGAAAGCAGGCTGCGCTACGATGCTCCCATGGCACGCGATCTGGGTGTCTATCGTCTCTGCACTCTTGTACCACGTGTCGTACCGTGGCATCATCTGTTGTAAAATCGATGACGCCATCAACGCCGCCGCCGTGCATCTGGTAGGTCGGTTTGCCCTCCACATCATCGTCCTTTGATTTCTCTATTCAAGCTCTTCTGCATCTCCATCGTGGGGCTCCTCCCTCTACTTACCACGTGTCAAGGGTCCCTTGCTTAGCGTCCACGTTATTGACTACTTGGCAACGTTTCGAGGTGCCCCCTTGCTTGTGTCGACAATATCTAGTGGCCATCGTGTCATGTCTCTCTGACAGGTCAAGCATGCAACGTTGTACGCGATTGATAGGCGGCTCTAGGCAAGGAGTGCATATCGCAAAAATACAACAGACCTTCCCTTCCGAATGCTTGATAATTCGTTACAGGTTGGTGGTTGGTGGGGCGTTGTCGCCGCAGGATTCACCGTGGACAATGCCGCCCGTGTGGACCTAGGCTTCCCCAGCGAGGAGGATGGCTGCACCCCAGAAAACCAGGCGTCAGTCAACCTGCTGATGGCCATGATCATATTGGCTTACGTGAGCAAGAATTGAATGCTGCAATCATGTTTGACGTGGTGAACATCATCAATCTCTTGCGATTCGCCGACTGTCGAATTGTTTTGACCACAGCACACCAAGGGCATGCCAGGTTTAGACTATATTAGCCTGTTCAGTAATGAATAGTGATTGTCCACCATGGTTTCCGATGTGAGGATCGTTGCGCTGTAGATTCTGTGACATACTCGAAGGCACGCGTTCAACGCATGTTCTCTTCGGACTGACGGTCAACCTTGTTGGCTAGAAATCTCGTTGGACCCAGCATATTCGGCGGGGTGACATCCCTCGTCAGATGGCGAACTATCGAATTTGACACATACGTATCATCTCGCTTTGGTGTCTGTTGAAAAGATGCTGTTCAAGTCCCCACTGGAACCTACAGCGACCATTGACACAGAGAACGCGTGTGGCTGAATGGATGAGTTCGGTAATTGTTTGCGCCTCCCCGGTGCAACACACATCCCGCCCTCAAACGAACATTGTTTAGATCCTTTCGTTGTTTTTGCTAGCTGCCATATTAGCGTTCAGAGCCGTAAACGTTCTGTTCATGTAACGAAATTAACATTTGCCTTCAGTAAATTTCAGTGAGTGTCGCTGCTGCCTAGCATCCCGAGAAGACGTGCCTCGCACGAAGAAGCTCTTCCTGGCCCCATGTGTGCGCCCTGAAGAATGCACTTTCTGCTTAATCCTCTGGCCTCTCTTCCCCCCACTTCGCGGCTTTTCAAGTCGATCGTGTGCGGAGGGCTTCTATGGGTGGGCTTCAGGATCGTGGGCATCGCAACGAAGGCCAAGATGAGCATCACCACGCGCCAAGAGAAGGACCCGAACCTCACTGAGGCAGAAACCAAGATCCACAGGTAAAATCTCAGAGCCGTGCCCCCTGCGGCACCATGACAAAGCGAAACCGCGCGTTCTGGTTCTTGAAGATCAGTTGGAGGTCCAGACGGGTCGTCCAACACGTAGTACACGCAAGGAATCAGACGCATATTTGTGTCCAATGTTATCACGGCCCTGCGGTACACGTACCTATGACGGGGGTAGAATTCCCGCGTTTCCTCTCGCAGTTCTCGCCTCTAACTGTTGGGCATCGGCAATTGCTGAAGAAGACTATCTTCATCTCTGCGATCCAACAGCGATGGACATGTTAATAACGTTGACGCATAAATAAAATAGTCCCATGTTTGCCCAACACCTCATCAAGTCAGACAGTGCCTTCTTTTTGGCGCCACCCCATGACCTCGACCAGGGATATTGACACCATAGAGGACCGGCTTGATCGCCTTGACTTAGAGGGCGGCGAGCTTGAGATGCTCAAGAAGCGTATGAAACGGCTCGAGAGCGCACGGGATTAGGCCACGGTGCCCGATGTGAGTACACGAAGCCGGGCAACAGGAGTAGGAGCGCAGAATCGCGGGGTTGTGTCGAAACCTTCTATGTAGACTAATAGTTGTTTTCCATGTTGATATCAGTCGACCCGGCCTGGGAAACACTCGCGAGAACCCCCCCCAAGTCTGACTGGCATGAGCAGCAAAGCCCGTTCGTCAGGTCCTCCACTAAGGGCTTCTGAAGTACATACCAAGGGCCTTGAGATACTTCAAGCCATACTAAAACGGTGGCCACCTCCAAGCTACGATGTCACTGGCAGCCTTTCCATACAGGCACTACCCGAGCAATATTTGGCCCTCGAGTAGTTCAACTTGCCCCGTTCAACCCCCTGACCGCGCGTCTTTCCCTGCGATTGTCGTTTTTTTCCGTTCTGGCCGTGTGGACCGTCTTTTCACTCCTGGGGGTGGCAGAATTTTTCCGGAACGTTGACAACGGCAGTCGCGGTGCGACATCTGTCATCGGCGGACGAAAATGCCGCGTGATTGCAAATGGGGGCAATAGACGAGTATCTCTGATTCTTGATTATTGTCGTTGCAGACGTGGTGACGGGGCGTGGTATTTATTTCGTCGTCGTCTTCGGTGACTTCATATTTGGCGAATACTCTAGTAGGTATATTTTCTGTCACAAGCTATACATTGTCCGTTGAAGTACAACATAACCTTTTTGCGTATGAGTAACAACATTGCGTCTCGGCTCGGCTCGGCTGCAGATTTTGCTGTGATTACCGAGACGATGGTAGTCACCGAGTGTTCGCGCAGGTTCTGTAGAGCAGTAAGATGTTGAAAGACCCTTCATTCGATCTGAGGTGACGATTGTAAACACGAAATCTGTGCATGTACTTCATTCAGGCCGAGCAAACGTACACGAATTTTGGACGGACGCGTGTTCACTGGAGTTGAGAATTGGTTCTGGTGCAATTGCAACTGTTTCAGTACTGATCTGCGTCACATGCTCACCCGGGTAAATACTGAATATTCCAGAGAGCTGGATGTGGGTGGGTGATGCACAAATATTTGCTCAACATTGTTGTTATTCCATTGGTTTCTTTCGAAAGATCATTTGTCAGAACAAGTGGCCCAGAGGAATGAAATAATCAGTCCGAAACTTGGAGGGGAACTGGCGGGGGCAGCAGGCACACCTCTTCCACCTTACAAAAACAATTTGCGTTAATGAAGAAACGGGGAGATCACCAACTCTAAAACCAAGTCAAGAAACGGAAATAAATGCGGCGTAACTTGGGTCATAAAACGCGGCCTAACTGTGGTCAAAATCATTGGCTTTGAAAAAGATCCTCAACAGACATTTCAGCGTTAAGGCGGTTTTGGATTAGGAATCCAGGTGTACAAGAATCAGCCACCTTAAGCCTTAGGGCTTGAGAACGACATGGATGGGTTGAGATTGGAAAGTCCGCCAAATTACGTGGAACAATGTCGTCATTTTTGGGCTCCATGGCGAATAATTGTCACATGGTACATTGCTTGGTAGGATCTCATGCCCGAGGGAGGAAACCCGAGTAGAACCCAACCGCAAGACATAAAGTCCAGGTGTTGTGAAAGTATCGTCTTGGCTAGAGGGTCTTCTAGAAAAGGTGTTTGACGTGAGTGGTATGAAATGAGCTCACTACAGGGATCAGGGTGTGTGTAGTTGACGGGGGGGGGGAGTGCGCTTGCGACGTGACAAGGACGATGAACCCGATGGCACGTTACAAGGAAGGACGTCGCCTTGGATGCGTGTGAAAAAGCGTGGCGACGAGACTTGTGCCATATTTGCCCTGGACTCAGTCAATTCCCTGACCGGCGCGAATCCGGTATTGGAAGGACAGGCGCAATTTTCCTGTCCAAAGGGATTCTTCGTCAGCGGTCGCCTTCGGGGCGTCTCGATGCGGATGCCCTGGTTAGGGTCCTCGCTGTCCTACATAGTTCACGAGAGAGTGGCATTTTCGCCGGCACTCATTCTATGAAGGAATTGCTTGCCAGAACCGTACCAACCCTCATGTAATCTGCATGGAAGAGTCGAGAAAGTTGAATTTTTTCGAAGAACGTTCCTCAAGGAAAGAGGCAGTATTATGACAAGAAAGATGATGTCTTTCACTCTCCGAACACAACAAGCGTCGCGACGGCAAACAGGAGACAAGGGAGGCTTTGGTGGAAGTCACCTCATTTATTTGTCGGGAGGCGCTTTGTTGTGCCAACTCCGAATACGCCTGCGTTTCGTTTCGGTGCAGTCTTTCGCTTGGGGCCACCCCTACCTTCTCCCGCTCCCCGTGTGAGCGCCATACATCAACATGGCGATTGACTTCATCCTACCTGCTGAGCCGAGCCACCTCCTCGACAGCAACTCCTCCAGCATTGTCCTATTTGCACCAAAACAACCGACCGGGAGTTGCGGAGGCCCAAATTCCTAATTCTCACATGCACCGGTGGCGGTCCTCGACGTTTAGGCGGATAGCAGGGCTATCACAGCAAAGTATCAACAACAATATCGACAAACAACCGACAACAACAACAACAACGGTGACACGTTGCGGGCATGTGTTGTTTGGATATGCCCTAAATGCTTGGGGGGGGGGGGGGACTCATAGTCGTGCATGCCGTAATCGTTACCCCATTGACCTCGTATCCCTACAAAGCCGGGACGTGCTCCCAGGCTCTCACATCACCAAGCGCGAAGCGCCGTGAGATATTCTGCGAGTCGCATGAAGGGTGCGCTGCATCCTGCTAAGGGTGTTCGGCATCTTGTGTTTACTTCCTTGCGTACGGATGACAGCTGCGTATGGCTTATTTTATTTTCTGGTGCTTGCGCTTCCAGAGACAGTTGTAAGCACTGTGTAACTGCCTCGAGGGTGCTTGACCAATTTTACACAACGTGGTGCTATTATCCCCTTTACGCGGAGTGAGGGTTCTCGACCCCGCACAACACAATGTACTCGACCACCATTCAAGGTTACCGCAAGAAAAACAAAGGCCCAAAACAATAGCGGTAACCTGGTTGCCGAGCTCACGAAGTGATCGGCTTGTATTACAATATCGCTGCCAAACGACGAAAACCTAACCCCGATAACCAACACCGGGGGGGGGGGATGCTTGGGGGGGGGGTAAACAATACTCGGACAAACTCAAGAGCACCGCGGGTTGCGGTAGGGGGGAAACAACAATATTTCAAAATACAGGACATTCTCCACATGTTTAGTCCATTAGGTGTATCCCCGGTGGAATTGCGCCATGTACCAAAGGTCATGTCCCGCCGTAGGCGCAGCCTTACCCCCTTACATAGGTGAAGTTTCCGTTTGGATTATCGCTACACGTACGTGCTCTTCGGCCGGGTGTTCTACCCTGTGAAATTTCCCCTTGGAAATATGTGCAGCGAAATGTAGGTATATGTGGGTGTGTGTGAGCTTATACCTGAGGATAGAGGGAAAGTGAAGACCCGCAAGCATATCGCCCATGATGGAGTAATCATATGCCTCTTATTTTGCATATCGGGCTGTGCATGCAAAAGAACTTGGACACCGACAAGGACACCACCCACAAAGTAATGTGAACCTGCATCCAGCGGATTGCCTTCTCTGCCTCGCGACAAGCCGCAACGGTAGACACGCCTGAAATCAGGAAAGGCCTAGAACCAGAAGAGCGTCCCTCCGTGACCTCGGGAGGCTCGTCGATTCACCTCCTTGCTTGGTGATGGTAAACAGAGTGCAATGTTTCTCTTGGATCTCCACTGCTCTCTCTCTCTCTCTCTCTCTCTCTCTCTCTCTCTCTCTCTCTCTCTCTCTCTCTCTCTCTCTCTCTGTTTATATCTCTCGTTCCCTCCCGCCCTCTCTCTCGTTATCTCTCTCTCTTTCTTCCACCATCCCTTACCCAGTCACTATCCCCAGTCAACATCTAACCACAAAGGTGAACCCCTATCTTACCAACATTCATATCTTCGAACATGCACGTACCTTCCCGACCATGAACCGCTACTACCGAGGTGCCCTGCGTCCACAAGCCCCCCCGACAGTTTCTCCCTACGTGTATGTCAGAATACTGCGCCACGGAAAAAACGGCACGCGAGAAGAGCAACCCCCATGTTTTGCGATTATATGGCACCAGCCCAGAATATCCAGTAACATCGGGTTGTCTTCTAGATGCTTGGTCATCGAGAGGCGTACTTAAATATAGCCTTCCTAAAATACACCACATCCCGACACACACCACTCCCATAACCAATACATATGTTTACCCCTCACACACAAACGATGATATCCTCCCTGCACGGTGGAAGAGAACCGAACGTCCCCTATCTAGCGTTGTGCATGTATGTAGTCTAGGGATCGAACGTCCATTGCAGTACCAAGATGTGGTGCATCAAGAACGCGTCCGTATCTCCCCTACCGCTCATGTACCCAGGTGTGGCCATCCTGGTACTTTACCCCATCGAAAACGAGCTCATCCTCACGTGAAACGTTTCGGTGAACGGCGGGCTGGGGTTGTCGTTGTCTCTCGCTCTCTGATAAATTCAAAAGCCTTGCTTTGCTTTCATCTCAACGGATTCAGAAGGGGGAATTTACAAGGCCCTCCGCACGTCTGAGTCGAAGAACGGAGGGGCATTCTTGGCAACGAAGCTGGGTCCTGAGGGTCGTTTGACTCTGTTTCTCGGTACAGGAAGCACAAACCGTACGACTTTTCAGCGTTGATTGCACCACACGATTCCGGCCATCTACCGTCGAGGCTTCGTTTCGCAAGGGACACAAACTCACGTGCGTCATTCTCCAGGATACTATTTTTTCCACTTGAGCTCGAAAAATCAGTTACGGTTACGGAGTGTGAAGCGTTCCTAACTTGTGTTCGAAAATTGGTTGTATGCTATCCCTGAAAACCATCGGCCTGCCTGCTTTGTTGTATGAATCGGGCCCGTTCAAAAAATCGTCATCAAAACGTGAGTGGCAAATCACCAACACAGCTGCAGGACAATACTGAAAGGCGACCATTCGTTCCAGAACCAAAAGACCACGAGAGACGAATGGACTTGAACCCTTACGATCAGCCTCAACCTCTACTCTCCGTTGCCCTCATTGGCACCATCGTTGGTGGTGGTGGTAGCGATGGAGGTAGCGCTGTTGTTGCCTTCGTTGTCATTCTCGTTATCGTTGGCGCAGGCAGTGGCCGTGTCGTTGTTGTCGTTGTTGTTGTCCTCCTGGTCGGTGTTGATGTTGTCGTCGTTGTTGCTGCTGGTGTCGTCGTTGTCGGTGGTGTCGTTGTCGTTGCCGTTGCCGATGTCGTTGTCGATGTCGTTGTCGTTGTCGTTGTCGTTGTCGTTGTCGTTGTCGTTGTCGTTGTCGTTGTCGTTGTCGTTGTCGTTGTCGTTGCCGTTGCCGATGTCGTTGTCGTCGTCGTTGTCGTTGTCGTTGTCGTTGTCGTTGTCGTTGTCGTCGTTGTCGGTAGTGTCGTTGTCGTTGTCGTTGTCGTCGCTTAGGTCTTTGTTGTCGTTGTCGCCGTTGTGGTCGATGTTGTTGCCGCCGTCGTTGACGATGTCACCGCGGTTGTCGTTGCTGGTGTTTTGGGCGCTACCGGAATTGGTAATCTCCGTGGTCCTTCCGCGGGTGTTGGGCCTTGCGCTCCAGTCTCGCTGCCACCCGAAAAGGTGTGAAAATCGTAGCGAGAGAGGCAAGATCGAAGAAATATCACGATGTGTTGATCCCTCTTCTGGACATCGATGTTTTCGGCTTGAACTTGTGGCAGTAGCCGTCTTACTGAAGTGCACAATCGCGCAAAACACGACAGGAATTTCAAGGTAATGTAGGCCAAGCATCGATATCGCGTTATTTCCTATGCTTGAAAGTCAAGACATTCAGGTTGTACCCGCTCTCCATTGTTAGATGTATCACGATAAACTCACTCAAAATCGTGCCAATATCGCACTTGACAGTGAAAGAGGATTTGTAGTCTCGTATTGTATGTCTTGCGCGGCGGAATCCCAACATTTGATGGGGAGGAATCTACGTGTTTAACGAAGGTTCATGAAGCATCATGGCAACTCACCAGGCGACGGGTTTCCTCGTCGGCGACGACCGCTTCCCTCAGGGCCATGTAGACTTGGCCGTCCTCGTCTTGGCCTTGGCGAACCTTAATGACGCTTCTGCACACCCACCAGGAACGAAAACAGACGAAGTTTAGATACCGCTACCGAAAACGACCAACGAGTATGAGCAACAAGCACTCCGATGCAGAGCGCTGGAGTCGGATGGTCTCTGCTTCGCGGTATAGAAATAAAAAAAAGACCATAGCCCCAAATAAGCTCTAGGAAGCAAGCATCAAGGGAAATGATTGCTTCAAGCAAACTACAGCGACCGAATTGCACCAATCGTAGAGCGGTCAGGCGGCCAGTCGCAGGATTTGGACAAGAACACTGCGGGTTGTCCGTGATATCTGGCCGGCAGAGACACCACAGGAATCAAGGCCTAGACTATTTGTATGTGACCGGCCCAACAAAAGCTAAAAAACAGATTAAGGTGTAAAAGAGTCATGGGAAACGCAAGGGGGGAATCGTATGTATCAACCGTAGCGTTGAACCCCCTTTGACATGCGTCACTGGTGGCATGCCTTGAAATCTGAATCGCGTGGAAACACACCGAATTCGGGGGGCGGTCCCTGCGATGCGTTAGTACCTACCCCAAGCAATACACTACATTCTCTTAGTTCCGAGATGGTATGATGTGTGCATACCGTCAAAGACGACATACAAAACGCGACGGACACAAGCACACCGCTGCGAAACCTTGGTTTTCGGGTGACGCATGTGGTGGGAGACTTAACTGTCAAATTCGCTTACCTCCTCTGAACCTCCTGCCGAAGCCTGTCCATCTGGCGATGGATGTAGGACACCTGTCGAGAACAAACAAAGATTGGGCATCGCGTTGGGGTCGAAAGAGTAGGGCTTCCTTCGGGGAAAGGTTGGTTGTTGAGACACTGGTCGAGGTACGTGGGTGAACACTCACTACCGATGTGTGTTCTCTGTTGAAGTGTTTCCCGTGTGACGTCGACAGGTTTTTAAGTTGTTTGGGTCCTTGCGTGATGCTTGTATGTAGCATAATACCGCAATTTTGACGCGGTCAGATGTTACTGACAACGACGCACGTGCATGACCCAGCCAACGAGTGTCGCGGAGAAGGGAGCCTGGTTGGAAATGAATTGCCAGAGCTTGAGGAGGGCAGCAGAAGGATCGAGCCAGGCGCGGTGAATAGACCACGCGATGACGCCCATCACGACGAAAGGGTTGCAAATCACCTACAATAGCATACACGTTCACGAATTGCGCGTTCGCAGCGGACAACGGCGAGGGAAGGTATGAGTTCGCAGCGGAGAAGGAACGACACCTGTCTTTGTTGATCTCGACGTGTGGTTTTTTCTATTCAGAATGAGAGTTGCGGGGGACTCCGGAAGAAAAAATCAGCTTCAACTTCTGACGGTCATATTCAGAAGCGCTTTGCAAGCTTAAGTACTGCAACAAAACGACGAGAAAAAATGTTCATGTTCCACGTGTGCTCAGAAGAGAGCTAGGGTCGACGAACATGGACTACGTCTTTCTCAGAGCCTGAAAAGGAGCCCCGGGGGCTTGTTCGAGAATAATCCCTCTGCAACAGGGGTAAAAGGAACGCTGACGGAGACGTTGTCTTGCACCACCGGGGTGCTTTGAAAGGTAGGCGGTCTTGCATTACATGGGCAAAATATGTCTGTTCTGCCAAAAACCAAAGTGAGGTGGTCCACACGTACCATGGCGACAAAAGCAAACATGACGGCCAACGACGACGACGACGACAACACCAACATTCATCATCAACATTATCAACAACAATCAAAACATACAACAACAGCTAATGCCGTGTCTTACCACCACGATCGCCGGAGGCAGCCAAGACTCGGCCCACGAGAAAAGGGGCACGGTTGGTTCCCAGTAGAACAGGCCGACCACGAGCCAAGCGATAGTGCCAACGCAACAAGTGATCACAGCAAGAAGGTAGCACATCCAGTAGACAACGGTGGACACGACGCGCACCAAGCCTTGCAGGGTGGCGATCATGCTGCGCTTGTAGTGTTTCTTCGAGCAGCTGGCCAGACGTGGATGTTGCCGTTTGGTGTTTTGCACAAACCCAGGGGAGGGGGCGGTGGTTGAATGGCGCACATGCGCGGGGTGCATGAGTCAACGCACCCGCTCAACGGAGTAAAAAATGAACGGTGTGCGAGTGGGCATTTGTCGGAAGTAAGGCCACCTATTGTAGAACCTTGCATTGGATGCGTTTGCTGTCGAAAAAATGGGACCAAGATTGATACCGTCGGCGCGGTCGATTGTCAATCTCCATGCTTATCGACTGTTTGCTTGTTTGATTTCCAGAGAAAGGCGTTCTCCTTGTTCTACATGTTCGGCTGAATGGTTGCAAAGGGTGGAAGATCTCGTACACTGTGTCGAGAAAACCCTTTGCCTTGAAAAGCAACAAATCGATGTACCAGAACATGGACGTGTGCTGGAATTGACATGTGATAGTTCTGGGCGTATGTGAATGTTTGGTTCGAAACATCTCCGCCATTCCCCTCAATTAGGGAACGTGGGGAGGATTCATCGAAACATGAATACAAGATTGCTTGCAAAAAGCACGAAACGCCAAAATGACAGTACATCCGACAAGAAGTGCCGAGTACCTCTGACAGCCCTCCTGGGCTACGGCGCATACGACGTGACAAGATCCCTCAGCGGGCGTGTTCTTCTTCTTGAAGAGGCCCTTCCCGACGGAGCACGACTCGAAACAAAGTTCGTAGACGTCGCTGCAGGAACCGAGGGAATGCGACTCCAGGGTCGATGTGGTGTCCTTGCCAGCAGAGTTCTCGGTGCCGAAGTCACGCGTGATGTTGTCCTGTTTTACGACCGAATCAGGAAGCCAATGCAACGTTATAAATCACGGGCCGGATCGTGTCGAACCTAAGGCCGGGAACGCATGCGCAAGCAGAGTAAGAGAGAGTGGAGGGTACGTGATCCGTGATGAACGCACCCACCCGGGGTGTCGCGGTTTGCCAACAAGGACGGTTTCATGTACCAAGCGATACAATCTTCTTTTGCGGAGTACTCCAAAAGATCAACAACGCGGAGCCGGACAAGAACATTTGTTTACACACTCGACGGACAAAGTGCAGCAGGTGAATGGGTTGGATGGGGGCAATACCCGAGGAGCAATTGTCAGGGAGAGAATGATCTTACCCGAATCTTGCCTGGGTTCGAAACGGGGCTTCCATGATGAAACGTGCACACAGGGGAGCGAACGTGTTTTTGCGCGCGATCAGGCGACAAATGGAAAAAAATCCTGGGGGCTATGCGCGATAAAGGTCCTAGTAGTACGCAGACCTTCTGGGGGCAAGACGACTCGCCCGCAGCCAGAAGGTCCAGCAGCAGAGAGGCCTCTGGGTTGGGGGGTTCGATTTCCTTCAGGACAGAGGCGACCCTCTTCGTGCTGATCTGGGCATTGGTTACCAGCGCTTCGACCAGTGAGGTAACCGTGGGGGTCCGCGCAACGGCGTTTGCAGACATATTTCCTAGCTTGAATGGCGTGCTGCGAGTCTTCTCGGCCATGACGGGTGTGGTAAACAGCTCAAGGTATGCCACCAGTAGAAGGCCTGCAACGAGACGGGTCCTCATGGGGAAGCGCATGGTGCTTCACCTGTGGTCGTCATGCATCGGAAATTACGGCAGGTGGTCGCATCTTTCATCGTATCTTGGTTGAATTTCAGCATCAGAATATTCCAGGTACTGGTACAAGTTTGCTGCTGTAGTAGTCGTCGTCGCTAATATGTGACTGCAATAGTGGGTCTTCATCAGATATTTCGGGCATACCGTCGCATAGGGGCCAAGCGTGTACATGGTTTGTATAATCTGGACGCAAAAGTCCAATAAACTACGGAGTATGGCCTCGTCGGTCTCCTGGCGAATAAATGGGGCAAGTGTTTCTAATATGGACCACAGGAAGACAGGCACAGAGAAACAGAAACCTCTGCGAAAAGGCCTCGTCGCGCCTTGCATTGCGTTGTCCGGTGGACGGCATGTAATTGTGTGCTTGGGGCCGGTCTATATTGGGATGGCAGGTGTTCAACACGATCCACATGGTGAGCCGCCGTGTCTGGGCCGAAGGGCCCTGGCTCGCTCATGAGTGGCGGAGACGATGTTTGAGCGGAACCTTAGCTCAAAGTGCCGTCCGTGTGTGCCCATGAAAGCTCCCGCAGCAACAAAACAATGGTACATAGGTTGTTTCACAAACTGAAACGGCAACGAGAACATTTACAATTGTTGTTCACAATATTGGCTATTGTAGCAAGGTGTACGAAGGGGTGGCGATCTGTATCGACACATTGCATTCTCTCCGAAGACGGTTCGATGCCGGGCTCTCCCGTCAGTACACAGGAAACAGGTGGTGGTCGACATCAGCTGCCTGCACTCGTGTAGTCTAGACACCGAGGCGCCGGGCATGCTGTAACCGATATCAGGATACAATAAATAGTCGATGCTAACGTGATCCGGAGTCGTTATCTGCGGAGCCAGACGAAATCCGCCCTGCTCCATTCACCGAGCCCACGAAAGAATCTCCTCTCGTAGTGCCATATGCAGCCGTTGCAGACACGTTGAACTACACGATGCCCAGACACGCGAGATTTTCCGAGACCATTGCTGTGTGTGTTCTATTATCATTGGACGAGCTATGTATTATAGTGCACGACGACGAAGCAACCTGTCGTGCAGAAGAAAGGAGGATAGATAAGGAGAGGTGTGCTATATAGACGAACCTGATGTTGATGGGCTTGCGTTGACCGCGGTGGTGACGAAGAAGTGTGGCCTGCAGCAAGTGTGATGAGGGCGTCTGAAAGTGGGCTTGGGGAAAGAGAGGCGGAGAAAAAAATACATGTGTTCCTCGTGGCGACGGTTTCCGATGAACCGGAACACCGGTGATAACACCGTCGTAACTCGTAACACTATTAATATCTCCTACACGTACGTAGATGTGTCCCACCCCATCCGCCAACCCGGGGACATTGAAATCCTGACGGAGCTCCCATGCATGGTATGCGAAGCTGCACACATGTAAATACATATGCGGGTGTTGGGAACTGCGAACGGCAGGTGAAACAATCGTCGTGCGGTACAACTATTTGAAAATAATGCACTCCAACCTTGGCGGCAATGGTGCGGTGGTCGGCGGTAGATGGTTCTGCGAGGAGAGAGGTATGCATGACCAGCAGAAATACGTCTGGGGGCTGTTTCAGAACAGAGTAGAACGAATGAGAGAGCGGGGAGATCTCGTTGTCGTCGTCGAGAAACAAGAAAACGGCAACGACCGTTTCAATTTTTTTGTAGGGTAGTTCTGTGGACGGCTGAAAAAAAAAAAGTACGCCAAAAAAAGCTTCCAACGGGAAAGCAGCCCCTTGTGGAAACCCCTCTGATCAGGCCGCTCGCTCGCTCGCTCGGCAACAGACCTCCACACCTAGCACCGGCTCTAGAGGGCGAACGAGAGGCCAAACGGTCCAGTTTTCGAAATTTTATGTAAACAACATGCCAGGGCACATCAGGGTATCCTTTATACGTCCAGTGACGCACGGTAGGGTGAAAACGTTGGACTTTAACTCGAGCGTACCACCTTGCAGCAGCTCCAAGATCAGCAGTCAGGGAGCGAGCTTCACACGCGAACCGACCTCTGCGTGAGGTTGGTGTTTTGCGCTCTAATTATGCTGCCGCCATATACCTAGGTGGTATTGCCACCTAATGCAAAAGGTTTGAAGCGATTACGTGCGGCAGGGGAAAAAGCATGGTGTATTCAAAATTCAAATTTCAGGGGAGCCCGCGCCTAGGGTCTGAACGCACCCTCTTGCATGTTGCGCATGCGCATCCACTGGATACACCATCCCCACCGCTCGATACGATGGAAATGCCTGATACAATCTTGACAGCTCAGCGTCAGGCTATCACAACAAGTTTCAGTTAATTTGGGCGTCAAGGGGGTAAATACGACCGTCTTCAAGTTCAAATTTATCTCGGTGCTTTCCCAATAAATTATACGAGCCAAACATGACCCGGGGGGGCGCTCAGCTACATGTACTCCAGACAGTGCAGAAAGAGTTAAACGCCGCAGCACAACAGAGTTAGGTCTTTAAACTACGTAGTTAAACAGGTTTCAGTCCTTCACGTTCTCAGGTGCATAAGAATGCCGGTAGAGAGGATTAGATCTTATGCATGACTGTCAAGAGGCAACGAAGAGCCCAGACCACACGAATAGGCGTGCCCCTGCGTAAGCCGACGTTTAACGAAACATTTTGTCATTTTGGTGGATACCCTGGAATAATGGCTGGCATTGATCGAGCTGCTGCCAGATGAACCGTCGGAGAAGTAGGCGGGGCCAACAGACCTGTGGGGTGAACAGCCCCACAGCTCAACCGGGTACGCCACCGACGTCTCCTCGGAACCACAGCCTGGGAACCCGGAAGCGGGGGTATGCAGCCAGCACTAGTCTAACCCTTCGCCAGCTCACGGAAGACACGCTAACCCCGCGTCAACCAGTGGTAGACAACACAGGAGCAGACGTCACAAGTGAACGTCCACGGAGCTGGAGTAGGAGAGAGGGCAACCTAACCACCGAGGTGCGCAACCCGTCGCCGCGACAAATCGCGACGCGAGAGATTCCGGTGCACACGTCGGTCGGAGGGGAGGAAAGACCCGGTCGGGCAGGAAACGCAAGAAGAGGCCCTCCGTTAGGGATACGGGTGGCCTACCCAATCTTGAGAGCAAGATCGTGGACGAGGATTGCTACAAGCAATAGAGCGAGGCGAGGAGGGAGGCAAGGCCCGCAAAGATCGCGCGATTGTCGAAGACGAACGGCGAAAATCAGAAGCCGGGGGGAATCCGGCATTGATTCTCGGCGTAGGAGTCACGGTGGGAACCCAAGACAAGCCGGTTATCAGTGATGCAAGCGGAATCCGGGAGGGAGACAAGCTGCCCCAGTGGTGCTATCGGTAGGCCAACCAATAATAGAAGCGAAAGAGGGCGTGCGGGCGTATGAAATGCGGATGGGTTACACACGACCCTGGCACCAAGTGTAGCAAAGGCCCCGGGAGTGTACTCGGCCGATGAGAAGCTATGTCCGGCATGCCACAGGTCTCCGAATGACAGGGGTTTCACGTACGACCACGCAGACCGGTTAGGGCGAGTAGCAGCCTTCGTGGTTGTGTGGACACAGGGAGGGAAACTCTATATCTCTGGTACGAGACTTAAGACCCAGCCAGGACTGCATCTACCTACACACCCAGACTGCTTCCTAGATTTATTAGCCGAGGAAGAAGGAAGGCAGAGTTTCGCGTTTGCGGTAATTGTGGGTGTTCCGAGAATCGGACAAGAGCCGCGTAAGATGGTATCCCATGGATGCTGCAGGTGATCATGTCGTGGAGGGGAGTGCACCAGTGAGCGAAGTGTTTGGTGGTGCGGCCGTTGCTATCAGGACCGGTTGAATGGCATGAAGAGAGATGAAAAATAGCCAGAGCACCCAGGAACACTGTATGCGGATTGAGGGGCGAGCTGCCGACGCCTCCAGACCCGTTGGGCACGGTGCACGCGATGGTGGATGAAGTCCTCGGTCGAGGCGAGATCCTTTGCTGGCAGGACGTCGCCGATTGGCTAGCTGCTGAACGCGCGAAGGTTGGTATGGAGGATTTTCAATGGAAATACCCAACAAAACTCGTCCTGGGCTTGTTTACCAGCATAGCCGCGGCGCCCGGGAGCAATTTACGATTAGTTAGAGTAGATGGAGCATAGGGAGACGCGCGCGAGCGGGAATTTGCCTCTTCCAAACTCCCTTCGGGACGAGCAGCCAACCCGAAAGCAGATAAGGACGGGTCTCTCGAGTCGGTCCTGGGGCTAGTCGAGAAGGACAAGGAGGACGCAGACGCTAGGACGTTCGTCGTACGGGCAGCTGGTAGAATTGTTCGAGCCGATGTGGAGAGTGAGCCTCGAGGAAGCAGCAGGATCGCACGGAGTGGAGCAGAACGATGTTGAGGTGGGGAACCCCGAGTCACCTAGGAGCAACGACTATTCCTTCGGCGAGGCCGCGGAATCGAAGAACGCAGAGCTGGAGGACCCCGAGTGGGACGAAAACGGCAAGTGTTCGGTCGGTGCACTCGACGATTTGATGACGTGGGATTCGGCCGAATCTAGCTCCAGCTGTGAGGAATCTGACGGGTTGAGCGAGAAGGGCGTCCACCCGGTGTGGTGTGACGGAGACACAGATGATGGCGTTGCGGCCATCGTTAACGACGCCTGGAACCGAGATCTGGCTACTTCTTCAGGAAGGTGCCTATAGTATTCCTTGAGGGACTTGGCTTGGGATTGGGGATGCCGTGACGGGTATTCTTGCAAGTCAGATCTCCGCATGGTAACGAAAGATCGATAAGCGGCGCTGCCTTTCTCTTGCTCTAGCCTCTAAGGGTGCATGTGATCTGATTTATTCTAACCCCATGTTTCCAATGCCATATTTTCCGCGTCGTTGTTCGTGTTTGAACAGCTCCGTGCTTCACTTGCGTTCCGTTGGATGATTCCGGCAAATACGAGGACCCGGGGTGGCAGATCACCAGTCGTAGGACCAGAAGTCGTACGCTGAACAGCCGGCTAGACTACGCGTTTTCGCCCGACCAATTTTCGTACCTAGGTGCTCAGGGAGACGGACGGGCGGAGGAGGCTTAATTTTTCAGCCACGCTGGGTGTCCATGTTTGTTGGCACGGTATTTTCTTCGCGTTTTGTCGGCAAACTGCCTGGAACCTATCGGGACGAGGGCGTGTCGAGCCTGTGTCGTTTGTACTGGCGGTAAACATGTTCTTTGTTGTACTATATCATTCTGTTCGGGCATGATGTTTTTTGGCGAATGAATTGGTATCATCTTGGTGTTGGTTACATAGAGGTGTTCACACCTACTTCGAGGGAGCTTGTTTCTTATTGAACGCTGTGATTTCCAGAGCCAAGTGGACGATCAACGGCGGAGGTGACTGCTGCCCGTTCTCTTGTTTGCTCGTGTTATTGTCGCAAAGAGAGGGTCGAATTGTTTTCGAGCTCACGCTCCCAACGGTACTTGCTCCGGCTTTACTTCTGGCGCAGCTTATCTGAGCAAATAAACTTGTGCGGCAAGAAGGGCAGCCCTTGGAGTTAGATAGGTTTGGGCAAGTCGGGGCCCCCGGGGTGACGTGCAGTGCTCGTGTGTGTAAGTTTTTCCTCGGGTATTCGACACACCGAATGCTACTGCTGTAGTGCGTATGTATGTAATCTTGAGAGATAAAATACTTTTCATTATCTAACATGCAGAGATAGGCCGGCCGTTGCCTACGTTAGACATCAGATAGCACAACGTTATGAGTAACCAAACTCACTGTTAGTGTAGCTGCAGTGGTACTGTCGCTACTCCACCATTGTATTTTTTTTCTTCGGGGATCAGGAGAGTTGTGCTGCGTGGTGGGTGAGGGTCCCGCGTCAACAGGCACAAGCAAGCGTGTGCGGTGCAACAACAGCGGCAGCAGGGGGAGAGGGGCACCCGAACAGCAATTTCAGTTCAAACCTAGCTGACGCCATTGAAGAGAACTCCACCTGTAGCTCGTATTGCAGCACAATTCCAAGTGCTGTACAACCACAAGATCAGCAACTAGCATGATCAATACTCGTTGTAGCCGGCACCTTGGCAGGGCATAAGCACGGTGCCTGTATGCGAACCCAAGTTTTCAACTTCATCCGTGCCTACCTCTCGACCCTCTGCACTAATCAAGTTGAAATCTTGTGCAATACACTCTCTGGTGCTCAGTTCACCTTCCCTCAAATTTTCGTGGCGATTAATTACTACGTGGTGGGCGCGTTCTCGTGCTTTGTCTCTTTGGCGGGTGCACAGCAGTGTGGTTGCGCCGCGTAGATTGTACGAGTGGCACATTTTTTTGGGGTAGGGGCTGCGGGTTGCGCCGCCAAGGTTCAAGCCAACAGTGGACAGAATTTTGCAAATCTTGGTTCTTGGTTCCCTAGATTGCTGTTTGAATAGTCTACTGCTGGGAGCCTTTAGCCTTGGGTCTATGTACTTAGGTCGCGCTGCTCTTCTGTGTAAACCGATAGTTGTTGTTCCTCCGCCATTTTTTTTCAGCCGTTGTACGTCTGATTGTGAAGTGAAGACCAAATTGTGTTGGTACAGGGTCCTTTCACATGAAAGCTATGCACACCGCGGAGCCCCCTCCTTTACGTGCAATTGCCCGCGGTGAGATTGGATGCGTTTCCAGGCAGCAGCAGTGTTGGTGCTGTTCTCACTCCCCAGTGCCAGACCCACCACACAGACAGCGATTCTCCGACTAACCCGTCGTCCTTTCGCTTCGTGGATCACTACGTCTCCAGTGCGCATCGCGGGGCTTACGACGAACCTGGGTTGTAGTCGTGCTGCTCCCCACCTCAAGCGTTCCATCAACAACCTGCACCCAAGAAGAGCGCTCCTGACGATCATGGCTGACACGGGAAAAGGAAAGGCGGCTGGTGCTGCTGCTGTTGGCTCCTCAGCCACGGACAAACTCGGCGAAGCGGAGGTGCTGAACCTCGTCCTGGACTACCTGGCCACCAAGGGCTTCACGGAGGCGGAGCAGACGCTTCGCCAGTCAGTGTCGGCGTCTGGAGGGAGCCCGAAGAAGGGCCGTAACTCCAACCAACAGTCCGGTAAGCCAACATGTTAGGACCATACGCACTACTGCTGTACCGCGTCGTGCCTGTGTCGCTAGGGCACCTCTGCCCGCCCCCCGCAGGTCCTCCCCTCGGTGTATTAGCTGGAGAAAGAGGGAGAGGGCGAGTGCTGTGCTTGCTGGTGTTGACGGGGTTGTTGGGAATCGACATGAACACCGAGTGACGTTTGTTGGGCGTCGTGAGATTCTCTTCCACTCTGTATCCTCCAGCAGTCAGTACTTGTAGGGCTTGGCGACGGGCTGGTGTGGATATGGTTGCTTGTGGATGAGAACGGGCGATGAGGTTAGCAACGTGCGGCTGACAACCATGTATCCGAATTGGCAACTTACTTGCTCTGCTGCTTTTGACAGCAAGTTCGAGGCTCGTCTTATGCATACGAGGTGGAAATATGCTCAACACTGCTTGAGTCACCAGCGTGCAAGGAGGTTGCAGTTGAACGAAGCAAATGCGCTCGTTTTCGAGCTTTGCTGCTGGGCTGTAGCACACGTACTTGGACCTGTGGATCACGCACACGCCAAGAACCTGTGTGTACGTGGTAGCGGCGTCACCGGCCGCGTCATTTTCCGAGTCGACGTGTCCGGAAGTTCTGAATCATGCTGTTCGGCTAATAAGCCAAGAGCCTGAGGTTAGCATTCCTATTATGTTACACCAAGGTGTCGAGTATCCATCCCCGATGTATTGCCCGGAACACTTATGTCTAAATATTGTAGGGATCATACCCTTCGGAAAATGGAGGCTGTCGACCGCATCTGTACCACGAGCTGGCAAAACAGATCGCTGATTCGACGTACACACCTTACTATGCATACATACCCGTCAATGTAGTTCTCTGTACAGAAGTAGTTAACACAGCTCGCTTCGGTAAGTTGCAGCGTGTCGGAGGAACAGAAACATATGAGTTTCAATACAGGGCCAGGAGGAAAGTTATTTCTGTCGTACGCTAACCCTAACCCTTTTCTTGAAGACGGAGTTCTCCGGGTAGTTTCTATACTGGCGCCCTTTTGCTGGGACTTCGAGCAGCTATCCTCGGTATGCACAGCAGCAGGGGCTGTTGCGGCGGGCGATTCATCCAGACGTACAGATCGACGTTACACTTGGCTCGCTTTCGTCTGACGTTTTTTTTATCACCATGTCTGCCGAGAGGACATCGATTGAAAACCCCGGCAAAATCGCACACCCTCGTGAGATTTATTGTAGCTCCCCAGATAGTACGTTTCCCCACTAACAGCAGTTCATCCCGCACCAACACCGACTGTTGTACCGACTAACCAGGGTCCCGCCTCGAGGACTTGCTGGAGAAGTCCCACGTCGCCCACTCCTTCGGCGCCGCCAGCTCGAAGCGTCGCCGCACTCACCTCGACGCCGTCCTCGCCGGGGTTTCGCCGGATGAGGAAGAGGACGCGTCGACGGCTGCCGCGGCGGCGACGGCGGCCGAAACGACGTGAGTGCTGGAAGAGGAAGAGGAAGAGAGAGAGGGGGAGGGGAAGGGGGGATGTACTCATGTCAACGCATGCCGTAGCTGTTAGAGCGTTGAGCTCGCATGATGCCTACCGTACAATTGCCAGCACGGGACGATACGCCGGGTTTTCGCCGGCGCAGCGCCGGCGCAGGGGGAGGCGTACTCACGTCTTGCGTTCCTTAGGCCGCTGACCACGCACCCTCGAGAGGACGAAGCTATGTAGGGTATGGCTAACACGAGAGCAATGCGTTTCGTCCATGTCCATTGATGTGTGCACAATCTTTGTATGGTAGAATACAAGTGCATATTCCAATGCGTTAAAGGGCGCGGCATGTTCAGAAGATTCGGCGTTTGTTACTACTTGTGTCCGTTTTCTGCCACGACATAAGTAACTGTATATTTCCTAGGAACGATCGCTATGCCGACGAAACGCATGTCGCGGCCAGGCCAACAAACGCGCAGCTGGAGTTGTGCTAGGTTCAACATTGCGGATGGTGTGCTGCGACGGGCTTGTCGGGTTTTAGCGGTTGCGCCTCCGCAGATGATGCACTACTGTATCACACGAGCTAATGGGATCCGGAAGCCTTTTGTTTTTTTGACAATTCGCTCTCGGTCTCGCCTTGGGCGCGTTGTGGCAGGCCCGACAAGGAGGTAAGCATGGCGACCAAGATCACTTCCTACAACCCCTGCAAGAACGACCCTTACGGCGCCAGCAGCATGCCCATCTACCAGGTAAGAGAGAAGGGAGAAGAGCGGCGGGTGGTGGTGTGGACGGCCGGTGCGGCGCCAGCCGCGTACCCCCCCGTGCCTGGCTTGACTCGTCCTGGTGCCGCTGCATTCGTGCATTGGTTGGTGTTCGTTTAGACCGACAATAGTCAGTGTCTTGCCCTTCATCCCTCGGCTTCTTGTATGTGCTGTATGTGTTGGAAGGGCGGGGGCGTATTCGTCATGGACAGCAGAACCGACCGGCCGCACCGAGCCAACGTTTTCTAGAAAACGTGACCATGATGGTACGTTGACTTGTAATTTGCTCTCCTGGACGACGCCTCTGCTGTGTCTACATTTTGTAGTGGTTAAATTGTTTTTGTTTTGAGAGGTGGGGCCATCCCTCAGGAGAATCGATACCGCTTGAGAGTAGTGTATGTCTCTGTATTGGACTTATCGATATCACCGTCGTCGACTACCGGCTTCTTGTTACGTTGTTCTGTCGCCTAGGACCCTTCTATTGTGGCGGGCCATGAACACGATGGATGTTTTCGCTATGTACCCAGACAATTGGAGCGTGTTGGGATTTGTGCGCAGACAGCAGTATTGAGATTCCCACGGCCTCACTTCTGTGTGCGTTCTCGACAACGTCTTTGTTTTTTTTTTGTTTGCTTTCTTATCAGGTGTCGACTTTCGCGCAGCCGTCGGCTACCACGTTCGGCGACTACGACTACACGCGATCCGGCAACCCTACGCGTCTAGCTCTCGAGAAGCAGGTCGGTATCTACGTCTTGCCTCTTAAATCTCTTTTTCCTGGTAGCGATGTTCCTAGCAGTTGCCGAAAGTCACCTACCTTCATGGACGCAGGAAACGATTTGGTGTTTTCTTACCTGGGGGGGGGGGGGTGACAATGCGCCCTCCAAGATATGTGCGCGACGCAGAGACCATCGATCTCGCGCAACCGACCAATGTCCAGTAGGATCTTCGAAGAAAATTATGTTGCCGAACAATACCACCACTTGAGCTCCTCTCACTCTCACCCTACAGTAACCTACAATCAACACAAGAGCAACCGTGCTTACGTGGCGTGGCGGTGTTTTCCTCCTTGTTTGACGCGACTCACGACCATGTACTATGTATGATGTATGGTATTGTGTTTGCAGATCTGCGAGCTTGAGGAGGGACACAAGGCCTTCGCCTTCAGCACGGGCATGGCGGCCCTGTCCGCCGTGACCCGCCTCGTCAAGACGGGCCAGGAGATCATCCTCAACAACGACAGTTACGGCGGCACCTACCGCCTCCTCAGCAAGGTGACCCGACCTCACCAACCGGAACTTATCTGAATCAACCGAAATCAACCCATTTCTTGAATTGAGTCTTTCCCTCTGTAACTAGGCCGCTATTGCACGAAAGGCACAGGCGAAATTGCACCTCCCTGGCAGAATCCAAACGCTTTACATGCATGAACATGCATGGTACCCGTTTTTATGTTTCTTGTTTTTGGCCATCCGCCAATGTAACCCTGCCCTTCGCACGGACGTTAACGCAAATCGCCTCCTTGTACCGTAAACTCTGGCGGGTTTTAGGTGGCTGCTCGCATGAACGTCAAGGTGCGTTACGTGGACATGTCGGGAAGTGCTGGTCCTGCCAACCTGGCCTCCATCATCACCGAGAACACCAAGCTCGTGATGATCGAGTCTCCCACCAACCCCATGCAGCGCATCCTCAACATCCCGGACATCTGCCGGGTGGCGCACTCGAAGGTGACCGAACTGAGGGTTTCCGCACGCGTACAAATATGACGCCAGCTCTTACCTCGACCCTCTTACAATAGCCTTCCCCGGTTACTACAATATAACACCTTGTTTTCTTGACCGAAGCAAGGTGTTGGTTTACCCATGCCTTGTGACTTTTTTTATTGAGAGCTATTTGGCGTAGGTATGAGATGGGCGGCAACCATACCTAAACCCTCGCGGTATGCCTCTCTCCACTCTCCACTCTAATGCCAGCACAACTTCGACGGTACTCAGTACTCAGTCGTGAAGGCGAGGAGCGTCAATGCCATCCCTAGCCTCGACGCGTAGAGTAGCCGAACAGATGCGTCCATCCCTGCAGCTACGATATCCTCGTGAATATGTTGATAACCCCGACGATGTAATCACTACTGTAGGTACATTCATACCCATTTTTGTACGATATCGTGGGAAATGTGTCGCTAGGTATGCATGTGCATCCATATTAAAAAATGTATTGACCCCCCCCCCCCCCCCCCATTTCCATCCGCGTGTCCAGGGCGCGCTCGTGGAGGTAGACAGCACGATGATGACGCCGTGCCTGCCAGAAGCCGATCGTCCTCGGTGCGGACCTGATCGTGCACAGCGCCACCAAGTTCATCTCGGGACACGCTGACGTCATGGCCGGGGTCGTGGTCTGCAAGAACCAAGAGCTTTCGGAGCAGGTGACAAAAAAAATCAAAATGGGGAGTTGGGAGTTCTTCTTTTTGTCCTATTGTACCGGACAAAGCATCGGATCTCTGTTGTTCACTTGGGCTATGCATATTTCCTTCACATAGAAACACACACTCTTGGATTTTGTTAGGCGGACAGGACATTGCGACACCTGGGATGTTAATGTTTTCAACAAATCGAAGACAAAGAGCTTAATCGATGTGTCTGCTCCTGTGAATGTGTACGTCATTTGTTTTTTTGTTTTTGTTCAGATCTACTTCTTCCAGAACGCCGAGGGTACCGGTCTGAGCCCCTTCGACTCGTGGCTGCTGCTCCGAGGAGTCAAGACCATGCACATCCGCGTGGAGAAGCAGCAGGAGAACGCCATTCGCGTTGCCCGCTTCCTCAAGGCCCACCCCTGCACCACACACGTCAGTGGTTCGCGTTTTGTCGTTGGTAAATCTATTTTACTTTTATTTTCTTTGTTTTCTCCATTTTCTTTTACAAAACACTCGTCGTAGCAACGTTTCTTCAGAGTCTGCTTTCCAAACGCTTTCATTAATGTGGACTTTGTTGAGGGGAGAAATAGGAATTATTTACAAGTATCTGGGCGACGTGTTGTGCAGGAATTGCCTTGAACATTATCGCGAGGCGGCATGCGCTTGGGCGGGAAACAAATGTTTGGGGAAGCAACATGACGCGCTCAGATCATCTACGGCCTACCCGCAGCTGTGGCGTCTTCCTTCCTTCCTATCCTAGCCCGGTGGATATCTCGGTGGATATCTCGGTGGATATCTCGCCGGCAGCTGTCTTGTCTTCTTAGCCCTCCATCTCTACTGTACTGTACTGTGCTGTACCGCCTCGTTCCCTTGATGACGACCGAGAGATGTTGACCCAATACTGTCTAATCGACAGGTCGCGGGGGGCGATGTTTGTTTTCCAACCCTTCGTTTGCCCTCTAAGGTTTTTCGTTCGATCTACTGCCACTTGTTTTTTTTTCGGCCGTGCGTTTCCCTGCGACGTGCCTTATACTGCTGCCGTCCTAATGTGTAATGTTTTTCTTGTTCGTTGTCATGGCTTGTTCTGTCCTCTCCTTGTCTGGCAGGTCTACTACACGGGCCTCGAGTCCCACCCTGACTACGACATCCACACGGCACAGGCCAGCGGCGGAGGCAGCGTGGTCTGCTTCCGCACAGGCTCTCTCGCGTTCTCGCAGCACATCGTATCGGTACGTCCGACACCGAGATGCAATAAATGGTTGTGTTTGCACAGGGGGGGGCTTGGTGTATGAAGACTCGGCCTTGAAAGTCTTTGTATGGGTCAGGTTGTGCTTGGTTTGAATTGCCGACTTTGCAGTGTTCAGGCAGCCCCTGTCTGTGAGTGTGCTTTGTTCGACTGTATTGTTTGGCCAGAGAAGAGTGGCGCGTTTGTGTTGCCCGGGCTGTGTTGAATAGCCGAGTGGCGTGAAGGGCGGCGAGGATTGGACTCTCGCTAATCATTCATCGCAGCGGAGTTTTGTTCCTTTCTCGGGCCATATGCTACGTGCTTTGTGCGTGTGCTTCGGTTCGGTTTTGTTAGGTGTTTCGTTGGCACATGTTCACGTTTCGTCGACGTTCATGCCTATGCATTCATGCCCCCTTTGTCGCTCCCTGGCGGAAACAGGTGACCAAGCTTTTCAAGATCACCGTGAGCTTCGGCAGCGTGAACAGCCTCATTTCCATGCCCGCAGCCATGTCCCACGCATCCATCCCGGCGGAGGTGAGACCCACGTCTGTCCTTCGAGTTTCTGTGTCCCTTCTGTGTTTGGATGCTTTGCTTGTTATGCGCGTAAGTTAGGCGTGATCGCACACAAGGATCCCTCGTGCGGTCCATCCCCTATTGCCGCTGTTGATGGCGAAAATGTGACCTCTCCGTACTTTCCAAAACGTCAATTCGACACGGGTTTTATCGTCTGTGTGCAGTTGTTGAAGATGGTGATATGGTGATGACATGCAATACGTGTATCACACGGTAGTGTGGGTGCATGGTTATCAAATCGCGCACAGCAGCTTTTCTTCTTCTCATAGGGATTATTTTTTCCAATGGTGCAGTGTTTGGAAGGCAAAAGTCGCTGTTTCTCACGGATCGATGGCTTGCTTGCCGCCGTGTCTAATTGTCCCTCGAACAAACAATCAGATTGTCCCCTTTTCGAAAACAACGAACCAATCATAATGCCCCTCGACCAAACGTTAGGTACGCGCCGCCCGCGAGTTCCCCAACGACCTGGTGCGTCTGTCGATCGGCATCGAGTCTGCGGAAGACCTCATCGCGGACCTCACCAAGGCCATGCAGTCTTACACCGCTCCGGGCCCTTCAGCAGCCGCCAAGGCTGCGGCCGCCGCCTCCACTTCCGCCGAGCAATAGTGCCGCCACTCGGTGCAGTGTGTAGAGGTGTCGCGTTTTTTTTTTTAAGAGACGCAATTGCTGCTGCATGCGTGTGTGTGTTACGTTAGCGCCGACCGGCTGACCAATGAGATATAAAGTCAGAGGGGGGCACCATGGAAGAAGTTGTTTGCGTTTGTGTGTGTGTCGAGAACAGACACATGGGTGTGTCAAAAAGACACGATGGCTTGAGTTGGAGGTGCGTCCTTGTGATGGCGCGGCTCCTGCTTCATGCCCACGATTTTTTTTTTGTCGAAAACCGAGGTGTGTCGTGGGAAAGCCACGGCGGCCATCGAGGCTTCGATGGTAAATGCACGTCGCATCGTTGTTTTATGCCGTTGCCAACCAGTTCTTTGTTGAGGAGGGCAAGATTTGACATGACACGGTAATTTACTGAATTGCATTTGATCATTCTTTGGGTTTGTAGCTGTATGGGATGGGCCGATTGTGCGCGGTACGGATGTTCGTTATCCGGCACTGTGCAGCTGCCCCTCTTATTGGGTGCCACAACCACACCAGCTGCAGCAGCTGCCTCCGTTACGGGCATGACCGATAGCTAGCTACAGTAAATTAGCTTCAAAGGCGGTATGGAAACGTGCACGCAGCACTGTTTGCTAGGGTGTATTTGTCAGGAACATTGTAGCTTGATCCGCTTTCGAAGATCGTTTTGAGGGACAGGGTTGGTTGATTCCCCTGTCTTGTCGGAGGACTACGATGCTGGCAAGTGGTCCTGGTTTCTCGATGACACCACTCACATGTGTTGGAGGCTCTCCCCTCACGTGTCCAACGTATGTACCGATCGAAAGTCAGGAGCTCTCTGCAGTGTTCTGACATGAAGATAGGTTTTTGACGTGACCCACTGTCACTTGGTGACGTCGCACGTTGTTTTCTTCTTCTCTGTATTTATGGGCAGTGTTGCACTGTAGGACAGGGGCTCCTGCTGGCTTGTGTGACACGGCCCAAGCTATAGCTAGGCGGCGTTTTCAGCAACAGCCATTGGCTGAAGGAGGGAGAGGAGGTGGAGGGAATCGTACATGTTTTTCATGTGTGTCGAGTGTGACCAAGATTTGATATTATACTGATAGAGGGAGCTACGAGCAGGCGATTAGGGGCATTGCGTACGTACGAGGATGCTTAGTTTGCAGTCAATCAGGAAGGCGTAGTTTATGGATACAGAAGTGCTGAGTTTGAGTATACGGGTGAGGACAATGGTTGGCTTGTCCAGCGAAAAATGATATTGCTCTCGTCCCATTCTTGTGTTCTGGGCGAAGGAATGTGACTTCTGTGAGGGTTTGGCAAGAAGGTAAACAAAACCGTGCTGTTTCAGAACAAAACACCGTAATAGTTTTTGTCGGTTGCAGGAGCCCTGTCGATCCTTCTTCAACGCATGCGTTCTTGTATTTATGATGGATGTGTCAAGGATGGCAGGGAAGGCGCAAGCGAGACAATAGTTCATGCGTTGCGGCGGGTTGTTGAGTTTGCAATCCACGCCTTGGTTTGCGTTTGGCGCATGGAGAAAGGCAAAGATTGGTTCGTTGGGATAATATTTCATGTTGGATTGTTTGTGTGCAACAGACGGAAGAGGATGATAGGGTGGACGAAAGAGGCCGTGTAGATACCCCTGCTGGTGGTGGATACGTCAGCATGGTATTCCACGATACTACGCATTTGATGGTACAGATATATAAAGGAGGCGGTGGGCGATCGTACCGTATCGGTCTGCTTTACCCGGGGGTCTGCTTCGCTCGGTGTTGCTATCGGCTTGGGCTGAATGGATTCCTTCAACAAGCAAGACATCTTCCTTGCAGCAAGGCAGGCACGCCACAACAGACGGGTGGCGATGTCGCACTTACACGGCCACGTGCGAGGAATCATATCGTTTCACTTTCTGTAGGAGGTTACACAGCTTGAGAGGGAAAACACAAGGATTCACAAATGGGTACAGACCTTTCCGCTCATATATCGCTTAGCCATTTTCGCCACAAGTCGTTGTGGTTTGGTGAGTTGAAGGGAGTATTTTCAACCAATTCATTTTGGTTAGGGGGGATTCCATGAAGTGAGACTCTCACTCTCCGCGCTACAATGCAGTAATAGTAACCGTTTGCCCCGCCATTGGTGCGCTAGCATGAAGAAGCTGCTGAAGAGCCTCAACGCTGCTGTTCGTACACGGCAACCGTTGCGGTCAAAGTTTTCTCAGTAGTTGGAGGTGATGTGAGGTGTGTCTCCTCTCGTCCTTTGGTGCTCTCATCGGGGATAAATCGGGTGAAAACTGGGTGGCACAACACATGATTTTCTTTCCCAGGAACTCTTGTGCCGACACGAACGAACGTGTTTCACCCACGGAACTCACCACCATTCATTACCGTTCATGATGCTAATGATGTTCGTCTGCAGAATCCTCAGACAACACATCCGCCGAAAACACAAGACACGAAGACACGCCACAGGGGAAAACGACACCAAATAGACGACCTAGACCCTCAACATCAACAAACGTCCGCATGTCTTCCCTCGTAGGCGTACGGACGTTTCGGCTGTGGCGTTTCAACAATAACCAATTACTAACACCGCTTCGTCTAGCGACGTACCTCCACGCTCACCTGTGTGCAAACTCACAGTCTCACAGAGGGGGTGGGGGGGAGCGTCGACCCGGACGAAACAAATCCCCAAAGTCATCTACTTCAGTATCTGATCGTCATTTACAGTATATTAGTCTCCATTTCGTTGCAATTCGATAGCATGCTTTGCTGGCAGACAGCTTTCCTAGCAGAAAAATCTACCACTTTTTAATAGGCTGCACCCAACACACGTCCACAATGTCCAAAGCCAAAACTTCATTTTTTTCTTCCACATCTACTTCCTGCTTCACACACACGAAAAAAAAAATCGAAAGAGAGCCGAGCGCTGCCGGGCTCCTTGTCCGAGAAAGGCCACGTGGTTTCGCAAGGATCTCCGTTCCTAAGCGGATCTCCCCTATTTTCGTGAAAGATCTCGCGCCTTCCCGCGGTGCTCTTCCGACCAACACTCTAGGCCAAGGAGGCCAGGATGTGCTCCACGTGGTTGGCGTACTCGTTCATGGCGTCATCCTTCGATTTGCCTGGTACATAGCGCCATCATCGTCAAGCGGAGACGACAAACGGACGAGGTACATGTACATACGTACAGGTACAGTATCGCATGGGAACAAGAAAAGAAGCAGTGCGAATGCAGCGTGAGCTTGTCTGCATTGCAGCGGTTTAGATAGTATGATGGCGAGGTCACTGCGATCAGAGCAGTGCAAGGACAAAGGAGTCTGTGAAACGAAAACATTCATTCCTGCACCAGATAACCGTCTCCCCCAACGCTTCCGAGTGACAGGAGCAACGGCCTCTCCACTGTTGTGCATTTCTGATTACTTGCCTGCCTTTTGGTTGCTTGCTGTGTCTGCTGCCTCGAAGGAAATAATCTCCCATGAAGTGCGCTTTTCGTGACGAATTCGGTTGACATTATTAAGCCTTTTGAAGGTTACAACCTTGTGGCCACGTTTTTTTTGTTTGTCGTTTAAAAAGTATGGAAGGAAACATGTCGGCTACTGTACTGTAGAGGTCAGGAAGATACTCACCTGCTGCGAGGACAACACACCAGGAGTAACAACAACAACACAACACACAACAAGGCCGGTGCCCTGGTATACAAACACACATACAGGCAATATGCCAGTATGGTATCTCTCACAGCACAAACTACACACCGCAAACAAACACACCGGAACGGCTCGTTTCCGCCAACATTTGGCACGACCACTCTATCGTGTTGACACCACGAGGTAAACATCAAGTGGACGTGTTGTGTAGTATTGAGAAAATAAACGGAACGACGGGTTATGTGGAGCAATACCATGGTATGCCGCATGCAAGGCAAACGAACGTGTCGCGGAGAGGTCGAACCGACTCTTGAGGGTGAAGACAAGAAGCAGCAAGGGAAGCTAAAACCTTTCCTGACAATACAAGACCCCCTCACCCCTCACCCCTCACCTTCCATACCCTTCCAAGAGTCCCATTTGGCCTTTCCCTTCATGTCCATCATGCCTGGTCTGGAAAAATAAAACGAAACAAGCGACGAGCGGCAAATAAAACAGAGCGTTCAACATGTGCACGAAACAGAAACAACGGCGGGTAGGACCGCAAACACTGCAAGCGATGTCTAGGTCTCTCTCTCTCTCTCTTCTCTCTCTCTCTCTCTCTCTCTCTCTCTCTCTCTCTCTCTCTCTCTTTCCCTCTAAAACCCTCACTCACTCACCGCTTAGTGTCGCAGTCCCCTACGTTGATCTGCTTGAAGAGGCCGTAAAGTTTCTGAAAAGGGAAGATCAACACGGGGGGTTGCAAGGACGGTTACACACAACAGCAGCACCGGCTGAAAAAACATTGGTAGTGAGAGGGAGGGCAAACCTTGTCCTACTACGGCAGTACCATCCCGGGGGGGCGTTTGGGCAACAGAGACGATATTTCACAACTTTGTTCTAGGCGGAGAGATGGCAGATGGCACCCGGCCGGGAACGTGCATACAATTGAGCCGCTGTGTGCATTCAAAATGGGCATCGCACCCATCGGAGAGATAACACCGGGGTGCTGCTTGAAAACGCGAAACGAAATGATGGTATAATGTAAGTAATTGCGTTTCCGCACCCGGGTCGGAGAGATGCACGGGTCGGAGATCGAAGGGGTGCGAAAAGAAGCAATATTTTCTACAGACAACACAACCGATTCCCATCCGGTGCCATCTCTCCGTCCTCTTGCGGTTTCGTGGGCAGAGATTTTTGGAAGGGTTGTCAAGGGAGTCTACGACAGTAGCTGGGGACTGCAACGGACGGTGCCTCGGGTAGAATTTTCAGCACTTACCTGTAGTCTATGTGTGTATGGCCAATGGAGGGTACGCACAAGGATTGATTAGCTTTGAGCTGGGGCGATAGATATATAACCCAACCTTCGCAAGAAAACAGGAAGGCAAGCAATGCCTATGCTGGGCGGGTGGGTCTCCCACAGCCAGGCGTGCCGGTGCTGGCTGTGATTGGGTGGTTATGACAGCAACGGGTCGGATTGACAAGCGTTGGTCCATCCTGGGAACCATGATGGTGCTGTGTCATGCTACGTATGTAGTCTAGTCTACAGGTTGGTTGGCACGCTCACAACATCACTTTTCTTTCAACAAGAAGCCTCTCTCGCTCACCAACTTGTCCTCATTGGAGACCTTATCGAGATCCACGGGCTTCATCTTCTCCAGCGACTCGTTAAAGCGTTCCATTGTCTCGGCGTGGTTGTTGGTCCTACACAGCACAGGTACGGAGGTATGCACGTAGACAAGAAGGCTCCGTTGTTGAACTTGGTTATGTAATTTGACCGCCCCCTGTACAGCACACTTTACATGTAGTCTTGGTGCGAGGCACAGCAAGAACATCCGAATGAAGGAGTCGTAACTTATTCAGTGTACATCGCAGCATAGACTGACTTACCTTCTGGATAGGAGCTGTTTGGTGATGTGTTGTGCGTCTCGCGTGCAGCAAACAGCGGATGCGGACATGCGGACACGCAGCAACGTCGAACACGAAGATGAATGAAGGACAGCACCCACCCAAATCTCTTCTGCGCCCCCCCCTCCCAGCTGGCTGCCAGCTGATCTTTGTGTTGGTTGCGCTTGTTGGGGCGGGGCAGACAGAGCAACACCGGGCGCGGGGAAGCAAACTGGCACCCAAAGAGACGTCCTTGGACATCCAAGGTTGTGAGTTGTTGGCAAGCGCCTTGCATCACTGCTGTGGAGTTGGAGTACCGTCGATCGAGCATCAACACGTGTGAGGTGGTTGCCCCTGCTTCTACAACAACAGCGTGTTGGATACTTTGGTGCTGCTGAAGCAGAGGCTACGAAAGGGACGGTCTCTGTGGGAGCGTCTACTGCTGCTGTGGGAGTCTCTGCTACAACACTCAGCAGGGTCCCGTTGTGGTCGGGGTTTTGAAAAGCAGACTGGGGGCACTTGTCTGTCTGTGCTGCTGGCGGTGCTGTGTAATTCCCCCGCGTTTTGCTCCAGGACACATGTGCCCACGACCATCACAGCACTCCCGTACTTTGCCGACATAATACACTGCTGCTGTGGAGAGAGAGGGAGGGGTGGTGGGAGGAAGCAGCGGGGGCGTCCGCCGTTTGGACAAGATGAACGAGGTGATACTAGCGACGGCTGGATACGACCACAAGATTCACTTCTGGGAGCCTCCCTCGGGAGAGTGCCGAAGCACGCTGCGGTTCAGCGACAGCCAGGTACGCATACCGTTGTAGGGCGTTATAAGTGCGCAGTGTGCTGTTGTGTCTCAGTTTGTCTAGTAAGACATGCGTGCAACCCAGTTGCGGAAGGGTGCATCGACCCTGCAACCTGTGTGGTTGCGTGCGTCGGCTTTTCTGCCGTGCATTTGATATGCGACGCGTAAACGGTGGTTTGGTATTCAAGGGGAAACGTGGGAAACATGCTTCCCATGTGACGTGTGCACAACTGCAACCTATGCAAAATAAACCACCACCTGTTGCCCGATGACCACAAGGGGGTGTCCAGTTGAGAAACAGTATGGTGGCCACCGGTACTGTCGTGTGCGTCTTTCTTGAACTGAAATTGCCCGCGATAATCTGTTGGCCAATTAGTTGACGCCAACCTTTTTATGGCGGGACGGCTGTGAGTGTCCCGTTACTGCCGAATACATACTTTTTTTTTTTTTTCGTAATATGACACAACGAAACCATATTTTTGGCATCGACCGCCCAAACGGGCGTACCGTAGGAAAGACTTCGAGCAAGTCTTCTACCGCGGCGGGACAAATAACACTCGCCGTGACAGCAGTGACGGAGTAGGCAACAGTAGCAGCGGTAGCCGCAAGGACGAAGACAAACACCCCGTGCCCTCTTTCCCTATAGGTGAACAGCCTCAAGATCACGCCTGACAAGCAGTACACCCCGTGCCCTCTTTTCCCTATAGGTGAACAGCCTCAAGATCACGCCTGACAAGCAGTACCTAGCGGCCGCGGGCAACCCCCACGTGCGTCTCTTCGAGATCAACAGCCAGACCGCGAGCGCTCTCCGCTCGTACGACGGGCACGCCACGAACGTCACCGATGTCGGTGAGTGTTCCTCGCGGAATGTGTGGGTGGCATGCGGGATGAGAAAAATACGCGGAACGACCCAAAAGAACGACCCGCCATATGAGAAGTTTTCCTTGGGGCATTGTCTTCGGTGTTCCTGTTTACTCGAGACTGTCGCAGTGGGACAACGTTGTGCGGGAACATGGGGCACAAGGTCGTTGACTATCTGTGTGGCTTGTGTTGCCCATGCTTGCCGTTGATGAACGGTCGATACTGTACGTGAAAAAAAGTTGACGACATCTCGCATGTGCCATGGCACCACCAGCCCCCTCCCGATACACGTCCCGTGATGGGGATCTGATGCGCCAGCCCTCATCCTGGAAACATCGGTTCTGTCTTGTACTGACGATAAGACCCACTCCCTCCAACATGGAATCCCGCTCGCTCGCGTGGTGTCTATCACGTTGTATGCCAACAAACGGGTCTTGTTTGTAGGCTCTTGTCACAAATCGCTCGATAAAGAGGAGACCCAGGTGGGCGGGTGAATGAGTTTCGTTGGCTGGGGTACTCTGTCTGTTCACGCATTCTACGCTGATTTATTGCCGTCCTCACCGTCCCCCCCCTCCTTAAACAAAAATGCCCAATCAAGGTTTCCAAAAAGACGCGAAATGGATGTACACGGGATCAGAGGACGGTGCCATTAAGATCTGGGACCTACGAGCGCCTTCCTGCCAGCGTAACTACGACGTGGGATCTGCGGTCACGACGGTGGCGTTGCATCCGAACCAGGCGGAGCTCATCTCTGGCGATATCGACGGCAAGATCAAGGTTCGTTGAGCATCTACTGCGGAGTTTTGAAATGTAGCGTTTTCCTTGGGATGTTGGCTTTGCCAATTTTTTTGGCGTCTCGACTTCGTGGATCGGCAGGAGTTGCCACTTATTGGAAAGGACATGTTTCATATATTGATGCTTGTTTGAATGGCGACGAATTTGTTTTGTCATTCTGCTCGAATTCATGGAGTAGTATCGCCCAGCCTTCTTTCCGAATCGATTTATCAACATTCGGTAAGCGAGATTGTACGTAAAGTGCTTTGTGTCGTACCGTATCTCGTTGTTGTATTGGGTTTTTAGCACGTGTGTGCTGTTGTTTAGCTCCTCGTGTAGCTATGTTTCATTGTCGGACTGCAGACGTTTTTCATGCTCAATTCCGTGCTTTGCCCTTCCAATACTGTTCCGTGCTGTTGGTTTGTGGGTCGAACTTGGAATTCCAGGTCTGGGACCTCACCGCCAACAAGTCCCACGAAATTGCCACGGACGGGAAGAACCACCCCATCCAGAGCTTGTCCATGGCAACAAACGCCTCCGTTCTCGTGGGTGCCAACAACAAGGGGACCGTCTTCGTATTCTCCCCGGGGGGTGACACGAAGGCGAGAGGGCATTGGTTTTGCCGCATTTTGTTGTGCCGCATTGGAGGCGGCGGAATCACCCGATGGGCATGCCTTCTAGGCTTTTGGCGGCGGTCCTTATCTCCGCGCCAACGTGTGCCTACCGGCATATTTCTCTTGTTGCCGAGCAGAGCAATCTAGTACATAGTGTGCCGCGAGGGCACTCGCTCAACGTGTTTTGGTTTATTCATTCGGGTATGTCGGTAAAATTGAACAACGACTTTTTTAGCACGCGCACGCGTAAGAGAATATTGTAACGCCACGCCGTCTCCCCCTTTGTCTGTCAGAGCTTCAAGAAGACCAACGAGATCAAGGCGCACGACACGTACCTGCTCAAGTGCGTGCTCAGCCCGAACGTCGAGAAGCTGGTGACGACCTCAGCAGACAAGACAGTCAAGGTCTGGGATACCAAGACATGGACACAACAACGAACCCTCGTGAGTGCTCTGCTATGCTGCGTAGTAGGTTCGCCGTTGGGTGCTCCGTGAGTGCGGCGGCCGCAGGGTGGCTGTGGACTTGAGTACAACAGTTTATCTCCTACTTCTAAGCACAGCAGTCAGTTGGCCGTGGCTTCGAGACTTCCCTTAGCTTGGGACCGGACAACGGCGCGGTTTTACGGTCACCCACGACGAGCTGTCGAACCCTCCTGTCGCGCCACAAGTGTGTCGTGTGCCTTGCGAACAAGCATAGTAAAGTTCGCGTCAGTGATGCCCTCTCACCGCTTCATCAATTGATTGCTGCTGCTTTGTCTACTGTTGTGGTTGTGTGTATGGCCATTCTCTGCCTTTCCCGTTGCAATTTTGCAGGCACAACACCAACGCTGGGTCTGGGACGCCGTCTTCTCCGCGGACTCGTACTACATCATCACGGCGTCTTCCGATCAGAGCGCCAAACTCTGGGATGTGAGTTGCACGTGTTACCCTTGGTTTAAACCTCCCCTTAGCCTCGGCTTATCGTCGGTGTAAGCTCGGGTTTAACCTCGGCTTAAACTCGGCTTATCCTCGGCTTAAGCATTAGTTGGGCTCGAAAGAAGCCATGCTGCTTCGGCGGTGGAAGAAATTCCAGCCCCACCAAGGATTTGTACTCTACATACAGCGCCACGGTGCCTCCTCACGCGTAACCACTCGGAATACGCTTCCTTTTCCTTCGGGAGAAGGAGGCCCTAAATAGGGTCGGGTCCTGGTGTACCTTGAACATGAGACCATCAAACCCCATGAGCCCATGAGGTGGGAGTTGGGTGCCCTGGGCGTTGCTTTGAGACCCCCGATCTCCCTCCACGACCCCAGCTTCGAGCACCGCCGCGGCAACCGCCTTGCCACAATATGATCAGGCGAGGAACGGTATCCATCTGACGGGGGACTACCGTAGGTCACATAATAATCCAGACCCCCGGACCGATTTTCAAAGCGCGATTACTCCACGAAGAAGAGGATGCCAAAATCAAATACTACGTTTTCAGAAAGCTCTCGACGAGACAGCAGTTCCAACGCCGCCATTTTCGGCACCGTTTTTGTTCTTTCGACCGAGTAATCGAGCTTTGAAAATCGTGTGAAATCCTGTGCAGCCTACGGTATATGACGCATGGAGGCATTATCACCCCGTAAACGCCACCCCAAGTTCCCCTTGAACCCAGCCGCCCCCCTGATTGTATCCACCCTCCCGCACACCAGCAGGCAACGGCAAACGCACGCTACCGCAGAACAGAAGCTGACAACCCTCCACTTCTCTTGGCCCTTTAATTTGTTTCACACACAAAGCACGCGTTGTACGACTGACATCTTTGCATTTGTCAGACGATTTGTGCAGCCGGTGCCTGACACACACATGTCCATACACATGCTCTTTGAAAGGGGTGTGTTCCGCCCCGGCTGTTGTACGGATGCGATGTCTGCTCCTGTCTGACTGCAGTCTAGTATTTACAATTTTTTTATCCGTACTTATACTTCGTAGTACGACCTTGTTTTACGCTTCCTTGGGTAGTTAGTCTGTGACCACGGAAGATGTCCGCGTCAGTTGTACTGTTATAGTATAGTATAGTACGGGCATTAGAAGGTACTGAGCGGACACCGGAACGGTTTTTAGTACAAATTAGTTTTTAACCCCCCTTCGCCCCCCACGCCACCTTGTTCTTGTACTTCTAGGTGCGAAGCGGGAGCTGCATATTGTCGTACATGAAGCACGACAATGCAGTCACCTGCGTGGCGCTCAACGACACCACCCCGTCGTAGTGGGTAGTACTCGTATCTGCGTTCGAAGCGACGGTGCCCCTCTTCGCAGAGGAAAAATTGTAAGAATGAGGCGTGGTCGTGGCGTGCCTAGTAACACTATTATAGTTCTTCGTGTGGATGAGTACGATTAATATGGTGGCCGTGATTTTGTGCGAGGGTAATGCTGTCAGTGAATGATATAGAAACACATCATTCCTTGAGTGCAATCCTTTGTTTTGTCGTTTCATTTTGTGTTTCCGAAATGTATATCTTGGCTCCTCTTCTTGTGTTTGTCATTGTAACAGACGTCATCGACGATCCCCTCGAGTTTGACCAATCAAGGAGCAACCAGGGGGGGGCGTGGTAGTGTTAGCGTTACGCCAAGTTGCCATGCCGCTTGCACATCCTTCGATCGGCGCTGGTGAGCATTCAGATCCTTCGAAACTCGAAGATAGATCCCGTTATGTATGTCCAGTCCATAGTGTTTCCAAGAGAATATTTTTGACCGATTGGAAAGAATGCCGTCGTTCAGAAAAATTGACCAACACTATGGGTCCCTAATACCGCTGCTTGGGATTATTAATACCTTCATTGAGGGGGGTACGGGCACCCCCAACGGTATTTCTATCGTAGTAGCGTTTTTGCGATGGGTTGCATGGGGCTTGGGGAGTAAGCTAGGACGGATGCGCAGTTAACGGATATATTCCGAGATGGTGTGATGTGACTTCCACGGCGGCGGTGTCATGCTAATTTGGCAGGGATGGGTGGTGACCGAGTCTTCGTAAGTTTGTTGGATCGATGTGTCGTTCGGGAGAAAGAAATGTTCGTTCGTGTTACAGTAGTTGTGGGGGCGTGTAACCATCGGATAGTATTGTGTTGTGGCAGCTGGATGCAGCAGTATTTTGGTGTTAGTCTTGGTACTCACTAGTCGTTTTGTGCGGGTGACATGGCTCACGATGTTGCCCCAGACATTGTACAAGCGAACATGCTGATTTTGGTACCGCAAAAAAAGTGTCCAGCATGCAGCGAGTCTCAGCTGTACATTCAGCCGATATGATATCGATCATTGATTGGTAGCCTAACCTAGCCTTTAGCTACTGAGCACCCCAGGCTTGGCCAAAACTACCGGTTCGAAGAACTACTTCTGATTGGTGGGGCTGGCTACTGCTGACGTTTGTTTGTAAAAATAGCCGAAAGGTCGGTCGGTCGTCGTCTGTTATCGCTCGGTGATTTATTTCTGTTTCTGACCAAACTTCACCAAACAACGTACCACCAGTAGAACGCACGCAGTCCATGCAGTCGCTTTTGTTTCACACCACAGGAAGGAGTACAAGCAGCTGCTGCTGTAGGTTCTATTCTACTTACATTTTTCTTGCGATTTTGTCAAAAAAAAAACATTATTAAAAATGGAAAAAGGCCAACAAAATAAGAAAGAAATAGCCGTTTATAGTGTTTTCGTCTCGAACAATCGCTTGTTTTTTTTAGAAAATATACACAAAAATGTACTAAAACCAAAGAAGAGGGGTAACCCGTTCGAGATATACGTATGGATCCTCATCACGTAGAATGGTACAGATGTACAGATCTCGGCAGCACTTACTTGCTTCTCCCACTTGGCTCCCTTATGACCATTCCATGTGCAACGAGACGCTGCTACTCTACATTCACACCAACCAGCGTTTGGATACATACTTTGGATTCCGCGAGGTAGACGCATTTTAGTGCAGATTGCAGATTTATTTCGCCGCAATGTGTTTGACCAATCAGAACACTGCGTTCCACGCTCCGTGTGACGGATGGGAGATTTTAATTGGCCCGCCGGAAAAAAATCTGAACTCGCCGCATCCGACGCACTACCGCAGCAGTTAGGTCAAGTCAGAACATAGATAGAATACCTCCCACGCAATTGTCGTTCCTCGGCAAGCTGGAGCAGGGCTGAGGGTGAGGAAGAGGAGAGGATTCTGCCTCCTGTCTCCGTTGGAGTCATGCCTCCCCAGGCTACGATATCGAGCTCGGGCACGATGATACCGCCAGCAGATCCGGGCCACGGGCCGGCATCATCGGCTGACAAGAAGCATCAGCAGCTGCAGCAGCAGGGAGGCCAGGAGGAGGAAGTGCTTGTCGACGACAAGGGACGGCCGTACAACCTCGGTCCCAAGGGCTTCGTGCGAGATCTCAACACGCGAGCGGTGAAGATTGCACGCAGGGTTGCGCAGCAGTCTCAAGAGCGAGCAGCGGCAGCAGCAGCTGCAGCACCATCATCGAGTACGACCGGTGGCGGGGTTGTCATGAAATCCACCATCACCGCAGCAGACTCGGCAGCCCTCGCCGCGGCCACCGCGGTGGCAGCCGACAAGAGCACGAGCGGCACCGTGCGCAGCTCCATCGCGCAGGAGATCCAGTTCGTTCTAGGCGGGCGCCTGCCGTTCGTGAAACGCATCGAGACTCTGGTCCGGGGTTACGTCTGCGTGTCCATGTTCTTCCTGATCCGTTACGGCATTCTCGAGTGCGGCGTTGCTCCCACGGTGGGAGCCTTCGCGGTCATGTACTTCGTGCTGGACTTCTACTCCGGGGTGCTGCACGTGGTCCTCGACGACGATTGGAACATGAACGTGCCGCTCCTGTCGCAGCCGGCCATGGAGTTCCAGTACCACCACCACATCCCAGACGACGGCTGCTCCCGCCCTTTCGTGGAGGGCATGGGAGACCTGAACTTCATTGTCGGCCTGCACCTGGCGCTCTTCACCGCGCTCTTCGTGAGAGGAGGGAGCCAGGACTTCATGCTGCTCACGGCGGGGGGCTGGAAGATGGTGCTGGCTTACTGGGGCATCTGGAACCACCGCCAGGTGCCTGTCTGTGTGTGTGTGTCTGACGATGCATCATGGCGTGTCCCGCGAGATACACATGCATTCGGTCGACACTAGAGTAATACTGCTGTCCACGACACAACAGAACAATTGTGCCCTTTCGAGCGACCTCTCGGCAAGCAGTCGGCAGACACACAGCGGCAGGCACGATGAGGCTTGCATGGGGATGTGGCCTGCACACCAAGCAAGCCTACACCTTGTTGCCACATAGAACCATGCATCCAACACAAAGAAAGATTGCACGGTCTCAATGAACCGTTGGAGAGGAAGACAGAGACTGCTATTTGCTGTTGTATACATACGCATACACAGCACTCCAAGCGAAATGTCTGTACCGTGGGTGTATATAATATAGGGGTGTTTGATTGATGGGGGTGTTTGATTTAATTAATTGTTTTTGGGTTTGGGGAGTACATACGGAGTATCATATTCATGCTACAGCAGTAGTGCGCAACATGCTCTGCGTTTTTCGTTTTTGCGTCTGCAGCAGTAGCGAGTGTTATGAGGAGGTACAGCGCAACGCATCAGTACGACACCACAGCAATGTACACAGCGCACCTCTGCAATCTCACGAACTACTGCTGTTCACGTGCACCAATATGGAAGCAATTTGTATTTTAGACTCGAATTATCCTGTTTACAGGTGACACAAGCACCGACAACATCACAACTGCTGTAACAATTCTAAAAGTTGTGCCGCATTCGCTCGCTCCCCCACTTCGAATCGAGTCTAAGCAGGGCCCTGATATCTGATATCGACTCTCGCTGAATTAGATCCGGAGCTACTGCTGTACAATATGCATTGGCATACGCATACGGAAGGCGTGTTACATTTTTGTATCTCCTACATGGAACCCTACTCCAAGGTTCAGCAAGTTAGAATATACCTCCTTCTACGAAGTACAGCGTATGATATGAGTTGCAATTTGTACCACGCCTTTCTATCAGCCGCTTTCGAAGAAGGTTCCCATTATGTAGGTAGATGTGTACGCTTGATGTGCACGGCGGTAACATCTAGTCTATTCGAGCAAGCGGTTCAAGAATTCTTCGCCACCAACCCCAAGCAGATTCGCGTCGACGCATGTTTGGCACATCTCACCCGCAAGACAGACGGTGATGATGTGATGATGTGGCAGCAACAAAGCATTCTTCGCCTGCTTCTAGAAATCACACCCGCCAAGTATTCGTCAACCTTCCACAGCATGTGATAATAATCTCGGGCGATATTAGCTGGTAACCTGGTAAAATTTCTGGCGCTAGCCTGTGGCTTCCGATCTCTTCGTGGGAGGAACAAAAAAAAATGCCTCCCTGCGGTGCTTGCCAAGAAAAAAATACATGTCAGCGAGCAGTGTTCAGCAGTCCCTTCCCTCCGTTTGTGTTGCCGCGCATGCGCTTTCCACCTCTACAACACAATTGCGAAGTGGCGGAGTAATCACTCCGACTCTTGCAATCATTGTCCCTCTCCCCGCCTTACCTCTGTCACTCTCTCTCTCTCTTTCTCTCTCTCTCTCTCTCTCTCTCTCCCTCGTTCTTGTATTGCTTTTCGGGTTCGCACCTCTCTCGCGCGAACCAGGCTCACCAGCTGAAGAGCAAGCGGCCACGATGGTGCACCTACCTTCAGAACAACGGTATCATGCTCTCGCCCGCAGCCCACAAGGTATTCCGCTGTGCTCTCTTTGTACAACTGACCTATCTTTTGGTTGCTGTTGCTGTGGTTGTTTTCGTCGTCTTTAATTGTCTTGCTGGCGCTGATGCTGATGCTGATGCTGATGATGTCCGGACAGCAGGCACAAGGTTGAGGTTTGTGCGTGTTGGCGCGTGTGACCCACGGTCGCCGACTGGGGGGTGCTCGAGCGAGGTGTCCTCGATGTTGTGAATGTTTTGTTGTTCAATCTCAGGCTTCGTGTGTTGATTGCCATATATATTTTCCACGGACGCTATTCAGGTGCAAATGCTCCGGTTGTCTTGGCTATTTTTGAAGCCGGTACGGTACGGCGAAAAAACTCCACAATACTGTAGCACAGCACCACTTGGGGAATGACCCCCGCCGATACAAAAGAATCTTGTCGCCAACCGCACATTGACCGCTGATCCCTCACCCCTCCCAAAACATTGTTTGCGTTGAATTTCGTCCAAAGGTGCACCACACCCCTCCCCACGACGACGAGTACTGCCTCCTCGGGGTCACCACCTGGCCGGTAACCTGGCTCGGACGCCGGAACCTGGGGTCGATATTTTGGATCGCCCTGTTCTTGGGGCTTACCGCTCTCGACACGATTTGTGCGTCAAGGCTGCTGTCGATGGTGTTCGCGCGATAAAGTCGTTCCAACGACGTGATTGGCTGCTGAGGCAAGAGGGCGGGCGGCTCGGTGTCCTTAGCTGGGAAATGGACGAAAGGGTTAGTGGCTATCCCGTTTGAGGAGGGGGTTCGACGGTGCAGCACTACTGATGTTGGGCGGAAGGAAGGAAGGAATTGTGGTGCGACGCGATGCGGCTGCTGTCGAGAAAAAACCTACGTGAGACTCTGGCGTGGTGGTGCGTTTTTACGATCGGCCGAAAACTAAACAGGGAGAAAGGACAGGGACGGGACGAAGCGAAGAGGCGGTGAGGTACGATCGGTACGATAGAAGCAGACCCACAGGATGGCCAATATTTATTATTGGTCCATGGGTTCTTGATCGCCCTTCTGTGTGTGTGTCCCCGCCCCGCATGTTTTGGGTTGTTTGTTTCTTGTGTGCTTTCCTATTGTAGTGTGATGTCGTGTGTGAGGTACGTATGATATGGTCGACAGCAGCGTGGCTTGGTTGAGACGTCGGAGGAGGTTCGCTCTTTGCTCACCCTTTAGGGAAAGGTGTTTTTGAGAGAGAAGAGGGCGACGTAGCGGGCACACATGCCCCATCCTGTACTGTGTCGGTATCGGAGACACGCCCTCTTCGTGTTGCCCGTTTCCACTCGGTGTCGTTTTGCGAGGAAAGATTACAACGGCGCGAGTGTATCTTATCCCGACTCCTAAGTTTAACTAATCAGTTTGGTGTAAACCGGCCCCAACTACCACACCGGTATGCGTATTGGCAGCGTGTACCGCTTGGCTTAGCTGCGCGAAACGCACTCGTTTATATCTGAACAAGGCTTAGTAGTTAGTTTTAGGGCTAGCGCACGGCATGTGCACCTGTACCCCGGGGGCGTTTTGATGACGAGCTAGTTGTGGTCTACCAGAGAACAGAGAAGGGCAGGGACGAGGGAGAGCCCCACTTGGGCGCGCAGACTCTGCTGAGTCGCGTAGAACTAGGAATAAGAGTGCACCTCGTTGCCGCGTTTTTGTTTTGTTTTTTTTGTTGCGGCAAAGTTAAAGTTGGTTCTACACTGAAAGCGTATGTTTCCTTTGTCATGTCTTTTCTCTCTCTTCACTACTGTCATCTCCCTTTTTTTCTCTGTGGCGTAGTAAATTATTGCTCGTGGTCAAGAAATAGTTTTTGTTTCAGATTTAGATCAGAACCTTCAGAAGGAAAAAAGAAAAGAAAGTGTCAGAAACGTTTGGCAGCGGTTTTGGCAGCCGACCCCCAGGATCCGCTTTTTTTTTTCGATAGTCGTCGATGCCAGTCTTGCTCTTGCAATTAACCTTGAGGGTCGGAGAAACACATATTTTGTGTCGGGCTGTTCCTCAAGCGTAGTATTCTGTGTTACTGCTGTGGTTTTAGTTCCGACATCGCCCATGAAGACGTACGTAGAATGTTCGAAGCCTAGCCTGCAACTTGTTTTATCGTGGGAAGATAGGGTTAGTCAATTTGTTAGAGTCGACACGCTCACGAGGATTGCTGCCCAGACACTTCTCGACTTGGTCGAGCACGGAACAATCCACGTGTTACTCCACCGTCTTGCCCAGCGGCATTTGGAGAAAATGCGGCAATTTTTGCATATGCGGTGTCCCCGAAATGCATCGCTGTTCTTTTCCTTCTTGCTCTTTTTCTGCCGTTTGTTTTTTTAATGAGAGCGAAACGGCCGCTTCCTCATGTAGAGTAGAGGCGTACAGTTGCAGAAATTGGTGGGTTTCGTACTCTGTACTACTGTGCAGGCCGTACCGTTGTGGGTTTAGGCAGGGGATCGGGGAAAACGAAGAAGGGGTGTTGAGGGGTAGGGAGGAGGTGAACTCACCACCAATGCAGTATGCGCCCGGGCCTTTGTTGTGGAAGTTATTTTTTGAGGGTCCATTTCTTGCCTATGATGCATTTTTTTTCTGTCTCGTGTGTGGTGTGTTGTGTTCGTTCGTTCTGCTGATTTGACCCGCATGTATGTACCAAGATTTGTCCCTTGCCGTGTGCCTCTGTCAAGGACACAAGAGGAGGTTCTGTTATTCTTGACAAAGCTCAAAACGAGTGGTATTTTTGATGGCGAGACAACGTGCGTTGGGTGTCCAACCGTGAGCATGGATTGGGTGTACTTGACCTTGTACTTGACAGGCATGAAAACAAACATGGTATGGCAACGGTGGTGGTGGCGGCTGGCGGTATCCTCCGCAGCAGCGGCTGTGATGCATCGCTCTAGTGGGTGGAAGAAATGCGGGAAAAAGTTGGACCATAGAATAAAAAAACTACTAAATCCAGCGTTGGATAACCTTGAGGAGAGGGCGAAAAACGTTGGTGGCAGAGAGGAAGCACTCCCCTACCCGTGTGTGCTGCAGCAGGGGTTGCTAGCGTTGCTGATGGCTTTGTTGTCGTCGTTGTCACTACGACTATCGAGGTTGGGTAGTCGGGGCCAGACGTTACGTCTCCCCGCATGCTGTCAGTTGACGAGGGTTACATCATTTTCCGCGTCTATCTACATGTATGTAGTCAGCTGCAAGGTTAACGAGTTCTGAGTGCAGCGACGCCTATCTGCGACGGGGATACTACCGCCGTCAGGTGGTGAGTGAGTGTTCGCCCCCCTCCCCAGGCCGGCTCTTCTATCTCGGGTTCGTAGAGCGATTGATCCGTGCACGTGTACGCGTCGGGAAAGCTCTCGATAGGGAGAGCTCTCGACGAGAAGAAGAGCTTTTCCAAAATGTCGCCATTCCTTTTCGGCGTTTGCTTTCAGCCTCTTGGTTGCGGAGAAATGGAGCCAGCCATGAAACTCGGCACGAGGGGGGGGTGCGATAACCCACTCGCACGATTACTGCACAAGTACGGTGGTCGACATGATATACCAACGACCTGGAGAGGGCAGCACGCACACTGCCGAGCAGTGCCAACCTGTGTTGTGCAACCAGCAGTCATCGCCACTCGATGCTCTCAGGACGGTAACTATTGCCTACAGTACCCTCGTCGACATGGCATGACACGGCACCATTGTTTCTCTTCCTTCGTGCTGTGGCACAGAGATACTTTATACTGGAGAAAGACACAGCTGTTTATTTGCTGCTTTTGCGTTTGTGTTGTCGCGGTTCTCACCGGAACGCAGCAGCAGCCATACACTTTCCACGTAGTCCTTGTTGCGGCAAAAAACGTAGAGCTAGGCCCAGCTGCTTGCTACCCTGCACTTGCCCCCCTGCCCCGCAAGCTGTTGCTACCTGCGGTTTTGTTCCCGCACACATCACACATATGGTCGTGTGATACCACATCTGGAATATTCCACCCGCGGGACAAAATCAGCACCGTATTTCGTAGCTACTCTAGACGTGTTTTTGTAACTTTTGTCAAGCCCACTCAAACCGGGGTATCAACAAGCCGGTAGTGTATGCGTCGGCATGCGACAGGGAAAAGGCAATCTGCACTGTAGAGTGCAACAACAGTTTCGTATCATCCACCAAACTACTTTAATAGAGTCGTCGCTCGTACTATCGACCTACCGTGCGCTGTGTGCCGAGGCTAATGCAATGCCACCGGAACGCCTCGTGGACGAAAAAAAAACATCCAAAGTCGACGTCCTAACACAAAAAACTTAACAACACAACAGTACGAACTGAGAACATTGCGCAGGATGGGTTGTGTTACCGGCAAAAACACTGAATGGGGTTGAAAAAACGAAACATGTACGTAGTATCACTATTCTAAGGACGTGCGATCGGCACTCGGCACTCCTGGTGTCTATGAATGACTCTATAGGCATAGTACTTGCGAGGCTTGTGGGCTAAGAGCGGTTGGGCTACTTATAGCCGTTGGGGTGGGCGCTCTGCCATCTCCACGTGTCCGTGCACATGTCCTTAAGGCCACGCTTCGCAGTCCACCCGAGCATGCTCTTAGCTAGGGACGGGTCTGCGTACATGGCTTCCACGTCTCCCGCTCTCCGCGGCATCACCTGCTCTCCCGTTCGTGCACCATGAACAACGTCAAGGTTACAAACAGGGCGGGGGTAGGGGGGTAGGGGGGGTAGGGGGGGGGGGGTTGCCAGTGGTGGGGCAAGAGCGGAGTTGTCATCGCAAGCCGCCGTTTCCGTCATTATTCAAAGAGGTCGCGCGTAAAGCGGCTGGCTTGAGGGAGACAGACGTCCGCCCGCACGACGCGACCGAACAAACGCGCAACTTTTCAAGTCCGCGGGGTCTCCGCAAGAAGGGGGGGGGGGGGAGGGGGGTCTGCAGATGAGACTGCTGTGTGTGAGTGCCTGCAGATATATGGCTTCCAGGGCATGACCCATCTGACCAACGGAACATGGAACACGACCAACACTACAAGTAGTTTTACCCTTGTACGGGATGGGGTTCCCGCAAGCTTCCTCCATCCCCTTCACCACATCCATCACCGAGTACCCCGACCCTGTCCCCAGGTTGACCGCCGCGCAGCCTGTGCACGACTCTCTCAACTGCACAACGTCGGGCGGGACCGAGGGAGGGAGGGAAGGCCGGGCACCGTCGTCAGCGAGCGATTTGCTAGGCGAAGCTTGTTGGCAGTAACGGCTTGAGGACAGCAGCAGTACCATTTTTTTCCCAGCATCAACATCGCATCCGGCCCTGGGTCGCAGCAACCAACTGCTTGAGGACAGCATCACTAGTTTCCCCACAGCATCTACCCCTCGTTGTGGGCAACAGCGAACAACAAGCGCCTGCTTGACAGCAACAGCAGCAGCACACTTGCGACAGCCGTCAAGCTACGGTAGGGGTGTCACCTCGATCATGTTACACTTTTGGGTAGGGAGAGAGACACGCTCTACGTAATCCTGTTGCCCGCGTCCTCTTTCGCCCAAAGATCACCGAAGCAGGGCTGAACACTTCATCACAAACGTTTAAGAGTTCACCCCAATAGTGCACCCCCAATAGTGCACCCCCGTAGCACCAGTCACAGCTACCCTTTGCACCGACTGAAGTGTCGCGGTTGGCTATAGGTACCTTTCTGACGGCAGCCACGTGCCCCTCTGCGAGATCCATCACGTGGATGTAATCCCTAACTCCAGTCCCGTCGGGGGTCCCGTAGTCGTCCCCGAACACGCTCAGAAACTCCCTCCTCCCCACGCACACCTATGCACCCCCCGGGGGGTGGATGTGGGTAGTGAGCACGAAAGAGATTTATCGTAGGAATGGTTCGGATCAACTGACGATGGCTGAGTCGACCACAGCGAGCTATCAAAAGTCTTAGCTTAGTGGGCGCGGTGGGATGAACTAAAGACTGCGGAGGCAACGACAGCGAGTTGTCATAGGTTTGGTCTAGACGGATGGATGAGTTAACGACTGATGAGCCAAACGACGGCTATTGCGCTGCTGCTGCTGTTGAGGGCGTGTTAGAGCACGTTCAGGTTGTGCGTGGGTGGTGGCGAGGAAAAGGCGCTCGAAAACAAGCCCACTTCTTTCTCTCGAAGAACTCTTTGACCCCGGGGGTACCAACAGAACCCAGATCGACGTAGCACGCGGACACTACCTTCCGCGGGGAATATGACCGGCCTCCATGTTCCTTTGGACCCTTACTGGCTGTATGCAAGGAAGCAAAGCCGCGTCGATTCTCTCTGGGTACTATACACATGGTACGTTTCTTTGATATCTAGAATGTGACCACGGCAGATGTCCGCGTCAGCTGAACCAGTACTACAGTATACGGGTATTAGAAGGTACTGGGTAGAGAGAGACCGGAACAGTTGCAATGTGAAGACAACGACGACAACAACAACAACAACATTCTTGTTGCGGGAATGCACACCTGTGCCACGAAGGGCATGAGGTTGTTCGGGATGCCTTCCGGGTCCTCTCCCATCCTACCGCTCTCGTGCGCTCCGATGGGGTTGAAGTACCGCAATAGCAGGATATCCCACGATGGGTCTGACTTTGACATGTCCCTCAGGATTTCCTCAATCATGTACTTGGTTCTCCCTGTAGGAGGGGTCGGTGTGGAGGAGTACTTGAGTAGGGGGTCCGGGGGAATGGCTGGCTGCGGTTAAGGGTGGGAACATGTCCTCAGAAAAAACAAAGGTGAAACAACCAAATAAAGCCACCCTCCCGGAATCCGCCAATCTAGTTTGCGCTCGAGACCAATAACAGCCGTTTGGATTATCCACAACGGATCGAGGCACGCGGATGCGTACGAATGGATGGGTGGGCGAGGGGTCGCGACTACCCAGCTCAAAACACAATGATCTTGTCGATTCTACGCATTCGTATTCGTGGGAGGAAATATGGGGAAGCGAACGATGGCAATGGTTGTCTGTAGTGCCCACGAATAGCCAGCCTCAAAAGCATGCTGTGAGAAGTACTACTGTAGTTGTGACGCAGAAACTCTACAATACATATCAGACCCTCAAGCGACGACCCCATCAAGACAACCAAGACAACAAACGAGGCACCCAGAACAAAATACTCCCACGCACACACTCGCACCATACGGGTTGGTGATGCCCACGCCAACGCTGCTGCTCTCGTCGAGTGGGAGCTTGTCCGGCTCCCCATACACCGTCGCCGAAGAAGAGAAGACAAGCTTGCGGCACCCCGGCTGCTTCTGCATACACTCCACGAGGTTGAGAGTGCCCTCGATGTTGTTCCTGGAGGGAAGGGTACGTGCGGGGAGGACATCGGCTTGACGAGCTGAGGCAGGGTAGATGGGTGGCGGTGGGCGTTGGGGGTGCTAGTGGGTACAAGTCGAAGGGGGGTCGATTTGTACGTGTAGTAGACGCGTTTTGGCAAGCATGCACCAGCAAGGTGTGCGGGTAGAAGTAGTAGAGAGTCGAACTGCAACTGCACGTGAAGTGGATGAGTTTCGCACACCTGCTAAAGAAAGGCGTGGCTAGTGTCAGAGGCCAGAGGGTCGACTTGTGCGCGTGAACATGCGTCACACCTGTAGTAGAGGAGTGGCTTGGCGACGCTCTCTCCCACAGCCTTTAGCCCTGCAAAGTGCACGCAGGAGTCGAACTCGTAGTCGTTGAACACGCTCTCCAGCGCTGGTTGATCCAGCAGGTTCACCTTCAATTGCCCCGCCACCAACAAAGTAGTCGTTAGTTGTTGCTGCACGATATTCGATACTACTAGTTGAAGCATTGTATCACGCCTCCAAGCAACGACAGCGCAGTAATCTATTAATAGTCGCTCTGCTTTGCAGCAGCAGTCCAGCACGAAGAACACCGCATCCTTCGCTGGAGGAGCTCGCTCTGGTGTCAGTCATCTTGTATGTACCATCAAAATGCCGCGTGAGAAGGTGCCCACGCGACCTGACGTCGAACGTAGGCGAACGCCATGGAGGCTTACTAGTACCAGCCTAGCACTCCAACCCCTAAAAACGCTGTTACTGCCGTGCCTTCACCCCCCTTCCCGCCCGTTCACCTTGCGGAACACTAGCTGGTCGTCGTCGCATTTGGTGAGTTCTCGCACCCTGTTGAGGGATTCCTCAACAGCGTTGCTCAAGTCGTCCACGACCACCACCTGTAGCCAGCCAGCCGCACGTTGGGTATTGTACGGTTGTAAACAAAAGCAGCAGCAGTCAGTCGTGATCCACTGCAGCCTTGTGGGGGGGGCACGCAACTTGGGCAAGTGGTGTGGGAGACACCGGAACGATCAGCAGCAGCAGTTGCGCTGCTAATTTTACGGCAGGAGCAGTGGTTAGCGGTCTTGCTTGATGTCTTCAATGAGCTTGCCGCGATGGGGGCACGACGGACGGGATGAGTGTAAGTGAGACCCTTCTTTATGGAAACATAATCTTGCAATTATATCTTGGCATTTTGACCCAAGATTTGCTCTCAATATATCTCCGCGAAGATTTGCAGTATCGCGATTTATGGGGGAAATATCTTGAATGTTGAAAATGCGGCGTGTTGTTCCTCTCTTCTGCTTGAAGTTGAAAAAGGCACAACGGCCACTTGGTCCACAGAAAATGCCAAGGTGTGGCGAAAAGTGAGCATGACGCAGTTGTAGAAGGGCCATCCCTCCCCCAGCTGTATTGCCTCAACACTGTGGGTGGATACTAGCGATGGGCGCCTACCTGGGGTGCAAAATTGAATCCGTTGCCCACGAGCTCATGTCAAGCGGAGAAACAAAACTGTTCCATTGCTGCCAACTGACAAGAAAGTGCATCAACCCGAGGCCGATGACACCCATGCACGTATCTCATGATGTAGCAGGCGTACCGAGGTCAAACCTCCGGCGCTGTTATCTGCACCCACGGATTTGGCTCGGGTGCAAACGGATTGGGTGTGGGGTGATTCGATGAAGAGATAGAAGCGTCGCACACGACAGAGCAGTGATGGCAAAACGTTCCTCCTGCTCTATTTTTCTACTTCAAAATAAAGTACTCTTTGAACGGTCCCTCGACAGACTGGTGATGACGCACGTGGAACGAGTCAGGGCAAATTCGCATTTTTTTCGCCCGCCTTGGTTGTTTTCGTTCGCTGTCGGCGCCCGTGGCGCCGACACAGTGACGCCAGGGTGCGTTAGAGACCCTTGCGAGTGTGCCACGTGCAGATTTCATGGCGTTATGGACGATTAGGTTGACTCACCTTCGGTGATCGCGCCGCACTGAGGCAAGATTTGTTACGCCGCCTCAAGATTTGTCGGAAGGCTCGACTTGACAAATCTTGGGTCAAGATTTGTTCGAAAGGGCAGATTTCGGGCCTCGAGAAATCTTGGCCAAGATATATCGGAAGATTTTGTTCCCATAAATCGTGAAACTGACAGATCTTGGCCAAGATCAAGATTTATCGACAAGATTTTGTTCCCATAAATCGGGGTCTGAGGGTGCAGCACCCCGCTCTTCGATGATGCAAACCACTCAACTCAATTTTGTCGAAATGGGTCTACGACGGACTCATATGCATACACACGTACATAGCACATAGTCCATAGCACATAGTACATAGCACATAATAGCATAGTACATAGCACATACCACTACCACATAGCACATGGTACATAGTACAAAGCACAACCCGAGTCATGCAATGTCAGCTAGCATGTTGGCAAGGGGTGACTTTGGCAACCCAAAAAGTGCGTTGTGAGACCAGTTGTTTATGATTTTTTTTCCAAGATGGGAATCTGGGGGACCGACAGATAATGCTCCACCCCCCCCTAAAAGCAAGAGGTCGGCATACTGGATAGCAAGCAGAGCGCACCGAGGCGCTTCGTCCTCGCCTCACAGACCCCTGTTTGTTATCAAACCGATAAGGAGCCAAGTTTGGGCAGCTAGAGCGCAGTGTGCGCAGACTATGCAGTGATATGAAAGCAAATTCAATTTCCAGTTTGGAATTTCCAGTTTGGAATTTGAACCGATTCCAGTTGGAAATTCCATGGGGAATTCCAACCAGGGTCGTCCAGCAATTACAAATTGGAATTCCTATTTTACCAAGCACGATTAACACACACGGCACGCCAGCTCCCCAAACTTGGCTCGAAGAGGCTCACAGCAATGCACTGCGCGGCCTCGAAGGTTTGGATGCAAACGAGTCTCTGTGAGGCGAGTACTGAGTGCCAAAGCGCGTTTGTGCGCTTTTCCAACGAAGTGCGCAGAGCTCCGGTGGCCTCATGTGGGTTGGGATGAAAAAGGCGTAAAATCGGGATTCCCATCTTGGAAAAAAATCGAAGGTGGGTTTAGTACAGTATTACTAAATGCCGTACTATCCTGCCGCTGACGCCACTATGAGAAGGTTGTCTCCAGGTTCGCGTGTGAGCAAGTCCCTTTGGGATGTGTGGTGTGGATACACACCGGTTCAACCTCTGGTGGAGAGGCTGACGAGTACGGATAGTTGTGTTGTGAGTCAAGGGGGGGAGCAACCTTGTGTTGAAGCAAGGTTCAGCATCCATCCGACACTGACTCTATCTGTGGCAACACCCCGAAGGTAGATCTCCGACAGGTCATCTGACGTCACAATCTACTACAGCAGTCTGAGGTGGCACAGTACTCAGTAAGTATACTCAAACTCGGTTGGTGAGTGCGGCTGAGTAGGTTTGAAATATAACAACTTTAAACGCGTGAGTACGGATGGGCATATTTCTCTTCAGAAAAATTGAGAAAATACTCAAGGTTGAGCAAAATACTCAAGCATTTGACTATGCTACGCCGGAGTAGATTTGAACCACTTACTGAACCTTGTGAGTATCGATGAGTATGTTTCAAAAAACATTTTACTCAAGGGCTATACTTGTACTTGTACTCAAGGTTGAGTTTTTCTCAAAAATACTTCATGAGTATACTGTAACTAACACACCCTTGAAATTTCCTAGTAACAACTGGCGTGGGTCTTTGAACACGGCCATTGCACACGCGCTGCCACCAGATCTCCGGCATGTTCAAGTGGGCACCACATACTCAGTCTAACTTCGGGTGCGGGTAGAAACCTAATGTACATCGGTTGCTTCGTACAAGCCTAGAACGCCACCTCTCGAGGGGGTAAAAAAGCAAGCGAGGCGACGCCTCCGAACCATCCCCACAACAGCAGCAACAGCAGCAGCAATGCCTCCTTTTCCGCCCTTGGTTTTGCTCGCTCTTCGTGCGATGCGCTTTTCACGCACACACTTTCAACCTCGCTGAGACTGACGTCTTTTCATTGGTCAGTCGGTTAGCGCGGTCGATACTAAAATAAAGAAAACACACATACAGCGTGTTCAGCGTGTAGCCGGACCCTCGGAAGGGAGAACAGAGAACACGCATGAATGTAGTGGTAGTGTTCGATGGAGCCAGCCTGGTAAACACGATCTACGTGATAGATGACAACAGAGCTTCGTCGGAGGGAGAACCTACAGCAGTACAACTTCAATGTTTTGCAACTACAGCAGTATTACGGCAGACGCGCGACCGCGGTGTGGCCGGTTTCCGGCCACCTCGACCCCACAGCAGAAATGACAAAATAACTGCTGTGAGCAGCAGTGTTTCAGCAAACGCCCCTCGGCATCAGCCAACGAACCAACAGCAAGCTCGCGTACGTGTGTGTGAACGAAAAACGAACACTACTGCTGTACTGCTGTAGTCTAGCACCAAACGAAAAAGCAACGCCCCGGGGAAGTTCGTTTCTTCTGTCGTTCGTTGGAATACTGGCAGCAGTGGTCGTACTGGCTGCTGTGTGTCTGTGAAAGACGACGCCGGCCGTCCTGCAACTTGATGCTGGTGTCATTCAACCACAGCTTCTACAGGCAAATTAGCTGTGTTCCACCAACAACGTGACTACAATCAATCTTGTTCACATGTTGTCGTGAGCAGCTATTCGAATCAATGGTTTGGAACGTTCGACCGCAACGAACGCACAAATGCACAAAACTCCCAGCCTACCTTTTCCCCGGCCTTGATGAGCTCCACGCATGTGTGGGATCCGATGTAGCCAGCGCCGCCGGTAACCAGAACTCTCGCCGCGAAAGCCATTCCAGGTCGTACGTTCGTGACACCGAGAGCGAGAGCGACCGTCGTTGCTACCGGGGCCCACAAAGACCGTCGCTGCGCCTGGCGCATGGTGAAACGGAACAGTTTTTTGGGCCCTTTTCCCACCGCCACCCCGGTTCCCTAGCTTTGGTGGTCTCTGCAGCTGTCGACACAAACAAGCGACACACCCGTCACTCACTTCAGAGGGGGCCGACAGCTTCAATAGCTGTCGACAACTGTCAACGGGGTACCCCACCAAAATGGGTGAATACAGCGGGGAGAGGGGGGGGGGGTAAGAGGCGGTCCAATTAATTTTTCTCTTGTTGTGGTGCGTCATCCCGGTGTGCTCTCGTTGCGTCTCTCATTGCGTCGCGTCGATGGAGAGGCGAGGTGTTAAATTTTTGCACACTCTACTGATCCCAGCACTCGAGGCATCCTGCTGTTGACGGATCGATCAATATACTACAGAGAACGCCTTCCATCAACAGGCAGAAAAAGGCAACACGCGGCGGGGGGTGTAAACGACATGTCCTTGTCTACTTTGCAATCCCGACCGCAGCAGCAGCAGCAGCAGCAGCAGCAGCAGCAGCCCGTCCTCCGCACGAGCAGAAGAAGACCACTCAAGACCAGCTGCGGGCACCTCCTCTTGCTTGTCGGAGCGACCCTTTTGCCCACAGCCAACTACGCCTTCGTACCACAAGCGTTGTTGCGTCACTTAGCAGGAGCAGGAACGGGATTGCGATCGGGTGCCCACAAGGCGTCCCACAGCAGCAGGACCAGCAGCCTATATCGCCGTAACGAGCACCGAGCACCACCACCAGCGAAAGCAGCTGCGGCGAGGTCAAACAGGATGGTCCTAGGGGAAGCGTCTTCGGTGGAGTGCCGGCGAACCTTGCAGCGGGCGTGGCAGGCCTCGTCATCGGAAGCGAGGACCCACGAACAACTGGAGGTAAAGCGCAAAAGAATTGAAAAAATGCTGAAAAAAGACTGCTGTAAAATTTGGACGGCATTTGACGGCAAGAGACAGCTTCACGGCGCGTCGATTGATTTGAACGAATGGGTACCTGTGGGTGGCTAGGCGGGGGTTCCATCCCCAAGGGCGCGAGGGCGCTGCCTTCGCGGGTGGGGCGCCCGCAGAGCACCATCACCTATTGTACGCCTTGACGTGTTGGCGTACCACTACATATCCGCAGCAGCAGCAGTCGGGGCGAACTTGTCCCTTTCCCTCTCTATTTTGCATCGCTCGCGGTTGTCTTGACGTGCGAAACCGCTCCGATCTCTCCTCAGACCTCCTTGCATCCGCAGCAGCACTTTCCTCGCTGACGCGGATGCCTTCCGCGATCCCAGGATAATCATCGCAAACACAGTGCAGCATATTGCGAAGAATCAAGGGGAGCTAGAGAGTCGAGACAACGAAAAGAAAATCACGATAAATCACCCCCAACGCCCCAACCAAGCGTCGCAACAGGGAAAACATGCCGCACAACGGAGATCGACGAAGGAGAGCTCGATGGACACGGCCCAACGCTCTCACTCGACGCGCGAGGCCAAGCAATTTCAACGCACAACGTACACAAAGTTACCAACAAGACGAAGAGCATGATTCTATCCGCGTTCTAGGCCCGGGTGTCATCACCCCGGGGCTTGCAGCGGCCATCCCGTTCCCTTTCACTACCCCACAAAATACGTGCGCGTACGTACAGCAGTCGTAGCGGGCACAGATCAAGGCACAGCAGGTGATTCCTGGATGTTGCATTGGGCCAGAAACAAGGCGCTTTGCCGCCAAAGCCCCTACTAACTATGCCGGAGAGACGCTCTCGCGCGCGCCTATTGTACCCTAGTGTACCCTCCCGCTCCGCGCCGAAGTAAACGGACACCAAGAAGCGAAAATCAACACCGCCAAAGGCTTCTTTTTCTCACAAACTGATGGCGGTTCGTCTGGTTGTTGGTTATTTGTCGCCTAACTATGCATAGAGGCGACGTTAGTCAAGAAGCAGTTTGAAGTCGCCGTTGGTGCACCTTCAATCCACATCTTCGGCCATCGGCCCTCCAACGGGGCGCAACAACGGTTCGTTGCTGGGCACCGCGAGAAATCGCTGGCTGGAAAATACAAAAAGAGGAGCGGTTTTACGCGCCCACAAGCAAAGGCTGGACCTCGCCAGGTTGCTTGTTCTGCAATTGCACTTGAGCTTCACTTGAGGTGGCGAAGTTGCTTTTCGGCCCGAACGTCAACAACTGCAGTTCGAACAAGTGCAGCAGCAGTGGCTTTCGAACATATGCCACATGTGCAATATTATCGAATACGTTGGCGTGTGTTTATGCACTGCTGAGGACCCCGAGCACCATCGGCCGGGTTGGCGGTGTGTTATTCGTAGTTCGTATGCTTGTAGTCACAAGACGTCTTTGGTCAACACGAGTAGGAGAGACATATATTCCACACAAGGACCGGCTTCTCAATAGTTCTGCCGAGAAGCAGGTGCGTATGCACACGCATGTTGTCTCGTGATTGCCACCTCGCTGACGTAGGTGGAGTGCATAGTCACTTTCAATGCTCATCGTCCACCGCTAGCGCGTCCTATCCATAGCACTGTTCCAGCCACGCGCATGGGTACGTCCTGTCCTGTATTTGTTTCGTACCTTGGTTTTTGGATGTCGGCTGCGTGTGTGTTTCCGTCTTGTCTTGATTGAGTGTCTACCGATCTGCAAGCTTTGGTATTCGTTTGGCGCACCAGCCGCTGGAGGAAAGATAAATGATCCCCAAGCTCTTTTTTATTTCTCCCTCACTTCCTGCAGAGGGTGGAGCAGGCTCTTCCCACTCTCTTGTGCCTACTCAGACGACCTCGCGCGATGTGTATTGCAAGTTTTTTTAGATCCGAGAACACATGTTAATCACAGACGTGGACCAGTACGTACGAGGTTACGAACTGCATAACCGTAGCTTCCAATTTTTTTTTTCTTTTCCCCCAAGTCTATGTTGCATAGAAATGTAGAACCATAATACATGAAGCGAAGCAAGCACGGATTAGAGGTGTCGGAGAAGCTTTTCGTTTGAAAACGGCAACTTGAATAAAAACACTTGCCGATTTTGGCAGCAGCTTAAAAAAAAACACTTGACAATGTTAGTAAGACTCTGAACATGCCGCTGCGGTGCTCATGAGAGAAACATGTTGGTTGTTACTCTGGACGCGCCCAACAGCGGCAACGGCCTTGGCACAGCACACTTGGCGTACAAGCTACCCTTGCCGTTGCTTCTAATTTTGTTGGTCTAGCGCCTGTTCAACACGAACTATTGCTCCTGCTATTTTCTTGTGCTTGCACACTCGTCCATCTCATGAAATTCCGTCGCACCGGTGCCCCCCTCTGTGGTTGGACACCAGCAGGAGCAGCAGCAGTGCCGGGTAGCAGCACCCGCAGAAGAATACGCACGCTCAGCAGGGGAGTCGAAGGATGCGGTGGCCCGGGGCATGGAGTTCCGATTGACCACGTTCAACCTACTCGCGCCATGCTACAAGCGTATGCACTCGGAGGTTTCAACGCCCGTCGGCGGAGTCGGTACCGGGCTGCTGGCGAACCGTGCGAAGGGGCAACGCACCGCGCGCGAGAGCGAGTTCGATGGTGTCTGGAGGGAGCGTGCGCTCGAGACGGTGAGATAGGTGGCCGCGAGGTGTTTTTGCCCTTGTCGTATTCCTGGTTAGGGACATGTTTGTGTGTTTTTGGTCGGAGGCCGAACACGCACCAATCGGAACCGGGTGCCTGTTTCTTTTTGCCGCAAGCGACCGCTGCTGTCTCGCTGCATACGTACGTGCCGAGGTGCTTTTCATGACTTTGGCGGACACTGGCGCGTTCACGCCTAAGCTTGTAACAACAACAAGTGTCTTTGTCCCCGTTACCTTAACCCGTTATGCGGCAACCACAACTTGCGTGTGTCCCTCAATCGGCCGATGTTGCATCACGCGCCTCGCTAGACGTCTTTCCCCGTCTACTACTGTACATGTATTCGACCCAAAAGCGAGCCTCCAAACAAACGAGAACCCGCGCACACCGTACCCCCCCCCTGCACCCCCGCCGGCGTTCAGGTGGACTTCATCTGTCGACACATGTCTTCGTCCGACATCATTTGCCTGCAAGAGTTCTGGCTGGACCCCGCCTACCACGCCATCTTCCAGTCGGCGCTCGAGAAGGACTACGAGTTCTACACCGTCAAGCGCACGGGCCTCAAGTCCGACGGGGTGGCGGTGCTACTGAGGCGCGGCAAGTTCGACGTCCTCTCCCAGCTAGGCCTGTCGCTGTCTTCCATCGGCAACAGGGTGGCCCTGATAATGCACCTCCGGGAGTCGGGCGCGGGGGGCGGCGAGGTCGGGGAGGACATGATCCTAGTCAACACACACCTGGCGTTCCCCCACAACGCGCTCGATCGCGTCAACCAGATGTCTCAGATCCGAGCGGTCACGGACACGGTCGAAGGAGTGATGGTGGAGGCCGGGCTGCCGACCATGACGCCCCGGGTGGTTGTCGGGGACCTTAACGTGGAGGAGACGGACCCGGTCTGTGGGCACCTTGGCCGGAACGGCTTCAGGAGCGCGTTTACGTCGTTGCATCGGGAGCGGCGGGTCATCACGCACCGCAACCACCGAGGGGAGGAGGTGAGGTTTCGCCAAGGATAGGGGTCCACGCCATGACACTTGCTTGCGGCGCCGGAATGGATGGCACGTGTTGTCAACACCCTCCCTGTCGACTGATTTATAGCTGTGTTCTTGCCCACGCCCACTGCACGCACGCTTAGTGACCGCAGCGGAGAAGGAAATGCCGTAGATGGGACGTCGGGTCGAGTGGGAAATTGTTTTATAGTGGGATGTCTCAAACGCACACAACGGGGCGAGCGCAGAGTCTGCTCAACCGAAGGACAGCCCTCTCATGTTTTGCTCAGTTTCTCGAGGCATCTTTGTAACCCCCGATCCTCGTCTTTGTACCCCACACTTCCCCTCTTGTCGCCATTTTTAAAAAGGTTATGTGCGACCACGTGTTTGTCAAGGCGCCGGGCTTTGCCGGGAGGCGAAGAGGAGACTCCGTCGCACCGGCGACGGCACCCGAGATTCCTGGTCTCGTCCCCAGGCTTTGCGAAAACGTGTCCGTCGAGGAGGCGTTGGTCTTGCCGGGGGGAATAGACGCGGCGGAATGGTGCCCGAATTTCTCGTTGTCAGACCACAGGCCACTGACGGTGCGCCTCAAGTTTCCCCCGCAATGAGAGATCTATTATAGAAGGCTTTGCGGCGTCTAGGGGTCTTGTGTAGTTTCGGACATTGACGAGTGCTGTTTTCGTTTTGCTTCTTCTCGGTGGTTGTGCGTGGTCTTAGCTCGCGTGACCTTTTCTTTACTGCTTTGTGGTGTGTGGCATGATTGTGTGCAGTGGTTGTTGGTCAGGACATTTCCGTCCTTGTGTATTTGAATTGAACCGAGTGTGTACTTTACGTTGCCGCTCCAAAGGTGGGGTGCCTTTGGGTTGCGGTCAAGTGTACAGACTAAATGAGTGGAAGACAGACCACGCAGTGTATCGTATGCATATATAGTTCGGGGGTTGGGTACGAGAAGTGGGTGGGCGTGGTGCGTGCGTGGCTCCTGGCTGGAGCCTTCGGTCGGTTTACGACAACGCTCGATTTATCGTCCTTCTTCCCTCTTTAGTCGTTGAAATTGCGACGTTTGTGGTTTAGTGCCAAACGCGAAATGCACTGATAAATTCTTTTCTTCCGACGTTCCCATGTTGATTGGCGAGACTTAGGAATTCCATCGCCTGCGTAGTGTGTGGGGATGTTGACTTCATTCGGTGTTTTGGGTTATGTGTATGGCGGGACATGTTCTGATGTGTTGGACATGGCACTTGGGGGTGTCGGTTGAGGCATGATCAGACGTGTAAGCACCCCATCACAGAAAAGCGATGTTATTGGACGAAAAGTAAAGCAGCACCTCTGGCCGACCGCTTTATCACATTCACTTTATGCATCCATGCATGCGTTCTTGTTGTCGATTCTATTGGTGCGTTGTATACGTTGATAGGGTTGTGAGGTATCCAGGTGAAGCACAACTGCAAACTCCCCCTTGGAGCGGCTACTGCTGTGACGTAGAAGTAGCTTTGAGTTTCCCCGCAGGAATTGTAGACGGTTTCATTGTCTGCGTTGTCCAGGTATTGGTTCTTGTCTGTGGCTTTGGACGACGGGTGGCACTGAAGCTGTACGGGGTAATGAGTCTCCCCCTTGAGACGACGTTTTTTCGATCGAGGGATGCAAGTACATGCTTCTTTTGGCGAACAAGTATTTCTTCGTGTCATTCCTTGCAAGCGATTCGTTTTTTTTTTTTTTTTGTGCTTTTCGTGTTTCGTAGAATTTCTAAACGAAAACACAGCACATTAATTAATCTCTGTCTTGCACGGACAAGTGTCCAAGATTGTTGTTTGCTTTCTCCATCCCATTTATTCTGGACTTCGATCCTTTCACCTTGCGGTAGTCTGCAATTTCTGGACGCATACCAGGGGGGTCATACCAAGTTGGACAAGAGTTTTTCTCCTTCCTTCTGCGGTGCTTGCCTTGATTTCCATCTCGAAAACTAATTCGTTTCGGGTCCATTATTAGATGCAATTTGTAACTCGACGATGACATTTCCGTGCGGGGACTACTCCACTCGTCTCTTCTCCGTTCCTCCACTGGTTGATGTGCACGGCAATGGCGAGAACAGCACTAATGATAATAATAGTAGTCTATCTTCAAAGGAAATACTGCTCACCTGATCCTTCCTATGCATATGCATACGATCCACCATGGTACAAAATTGCAGTGACGTTTTGAACCGTGTTTTTCAAGCAAACCCTCACGCAGCAGTGAAGAAGGTGGTCCACTCAATATAATACGGTCAACGATGAGTGAGCGCGGCATCGTCATCCCCTCCCACCCTACCTAAATCGATCGGATGTTGTTGTTGCACATACCCGTTGGATGTTCTTCTTGATCGATGCTGCTTTGATCGGACGGGACGAAGGGACGAAAACGCGGCTCCCAGCAAGAGGACGTGAGATAACAAAAAAATGATGAGAAACGACGCCATGCGGGAAAAAATCGTTATTTTGGACCTCATCCCGCCCATTGTATTCCCTGCCGGTGTTTATTTATGCTGAAGGTGCGCGGACGTGCTCGTACCCCACGTATCTGCAACTTCCAAAGAACAGTCATATTTACATGGCGCGTGAGCCAAACTGGTGTGCTACGTGCTTCCAAAGAACAGTCATATTTACATGGCGCGTGAGCCAAACTGGTGTGCTACGTGTCCACGGGAAGTAGGTCTCTCTCCACAGGTAGCTACTATAATATATATTACGTTGTTGTGGTTCCACCCGAGATCATGATGCCGTCACCAAGCAAGATATGCAAACGTGTGCATGCATGCATACCGAGATCCTCCAACATGTACAACAGGTGGAGATCCTGTCATAGAACAGCTGCCGCACCATCCACACATACATCCGTATTGCTTAAATTCTGCTTGTACCACATGCACTTGACGGCTAACGCTTCCACACGAAACGATGAAATCGGCACAAAGGCTCGGCGGTCGTCGTTGATTCCTCTTCAAATTTATATTCCGACCGTTACACGAATCCCGCCGTGGAAACCCAGGTGTCTGGAATTACCGGTACTGGTATTCTGGTTTTGATTTGAGCCAATCATGAATCAAGGCCTGCCGCCGCTTGATGTAAAAAAAAAAACAGAGAGAGATTGAGCGAACGAGGAGCGGGAGGGTAGTCATCGTTATCGACATAGCCGAGACACCTACGCTTTACCATGATCAAGGCCGTAGCACTCGCAGCCCTCGCGGCTCTCTTCGGCGCCGATGCATTCGTTTCGCCGGTGGCCACTAGCTTTTCCGGCAGCGCCGTTGCTCAGAGGGTGAGTCCGGATTTCGCCATGTGATGTATGTCAGCACAGCAGTTGTCATGTTGAAAAGTGAGGTGCTGACGAGGTTGTGTGTTTTTGGCAGTTTGCAGCGGTGGCGTGGCCAGTTCATGCGGCCGTAGCTGCCCGGATGCCACCGATCGCGCCTTGTTTTCCCCTGTGGTTGAAGTGTTTATTGGCAGAGGAGGCCCTTTCGTGTGTACCGGGGTGTTTCGTGGGGTTTGCGTGGAGATTTGGGCATGAGGGTCACCACGACCTCTGCCTCGTCTCTTCATTCTGTCGCCAATGCCCTCACACATGCGCCGTGTGGTCTGGCTGGGGTGCTACACCAGTACTAGCATATGAACAACACACACGCGCTCGACAGAGAGACCCTCCGGAAGGTGGAAGACCTACCTACACAGCAGCGAACATCCCATCTCCCTTGTGCCTAGGCCTCCTGTTTCCCAATCGCGGTACCTGTGCAAGGCTTTTGGTCAGTAGGTGAACCTCGGAAGGCCGGAGACGGGTTCGACCAAAGCACACAGATCGATTGATTGACAGGAATTGAAGCCAGACACAAACCGGCCACCACAGGGCAGCAACACCCGATGCCTACGCAGCTGTGTCTCTTGCGACATCATTTATGGTGCATGTGGTTTGGAACACAGCAGTACGGTTCCTTTGGTGTTTTTTTTGGAGACGTTGTGTTGGCCTTGAAGCGGGAGCTGGGTTCTAAGTTTCGTCCCCCGACCACCCCCGTGTTTTTTGCTTCAAATCTGGCTCACGTCAGTCCCTCTGCTAAATGCTAATTTATGCTGTCGTGACTTGGACAATAACGAACACTTGGGTGGGAAATCGGGATTGAACCTTCGCGAAAACTGAAGCGAATCGTGTGTGGGACCGTTTGCCGGCGATTCCAGGGCTAGGTTACTATAATAGGTTCGCCCACTCAAGTGAATAAAGGAAGATCAATACTTCAAAAGGTAATACAGACCCTTCATCGTGCTTTTATGATAGGACAGTACTGCTGTTGATCCAATGCTCATGATTATCATAATTTTACCACTACAACGACCCGCAGATGGGTCGTATAATTCGAAGACATGCAGAAATATTTGAGTATTTGTGGTCTGGCGCCTTTCGAAGTCGTTCATGATCCTACAGGAGGACGAGAGGCGCTCTTTTACTCCACCCGCGTCTCTTTGCCCGTAAATCGCGCCCGGGTGTCTACCAAACATATGCAGCATTCAGAGATGCTGGTGTAGTGTACTTGGTGCCAATCTCGCCCTCCCGAGGCGCGTATTACTAATTGAACATACCAAGGTATCGAATATGACAGCAGTCGGGCTCTCTTCTATATACTACACGGCTTTATGTTGTGCTCGGCCCTATTATAGCATCTTTGGAGCTGCGGGTTGCCATGAGGAAGTTCCTACTCCCGAGTATTGACTGTTGACCATGATTTGGGGAAGGACTACCCGTGGACTGCAGTATGTACAGCAGTACACCCTTCAGGGCGGTCTCCTTTGAATTTAGACCTTTCGCTGTTGTGAACACATTTACTAGCAGGTCGCTTGCTGATTTTTGGCAGATAGTTGAGGTTTATTTTTGGTCCAGTGCAAGCCCTCGATTCGCCCACCTCCTCTACTACAAGCAGCACCGAAACCCCTGCTTTACAGTCTGTTGCTGTTGGACGCGATTGCGTGAACCATCAAATCCCTCGGTTCCTTGATTGTCCAGGACTAATGTCTTGATCGCCCCGCCCCGCCCTTTCTCCCCTATGAAACGTCCCCGAAGCCCACCGCCTCCAGAGCTACGTCGAAGGCCATGAAGATGTCCTCGAACGAGGAAGTGTTCGTACCCGACATGGACCGCCGCACTGCCATGAACCTCATCCTCGCGGGGTCCATCGGCGTCAATGTTCTCGGGCTGGCAGTGCCGTACATCGCCTTCTTCGTGCCCCCCGGCGGCGGCGGCAGCGGGGGCGGTGTGACCGCGAAGGACGCCATCGGGAACGAGGTTACCGTAGAGAGCTGGCTGGCGACCCACGGCGTGGGGTCCCGGGAACTGGCCGAGGGAATCAAGGTGTGTTAAAGGGGTTGTGCCTTGGACTTGCTGAGGCGATTGGAGAACCTGTCCGTGCATGTGGTTGTACTGCTCCGTCTCGGTGGTTGTTGGTCTCGCGCTGTGGGGCCGCAAGGCGATGATGGTCGCTTGGTAGGTTTGGAGAGAATTTTCCTCGGTTTTCGTTTCCCGGGGGCGGTGATCGCTCTCTCCGGCGAGAGCAGGATTATGAGCGAGTGTGTTGTGTCCGTTTCAGCGCAAAGTTTGCACAATTTTTGGTTTATCAGGACCAAGGTGCGGTAGCCTTCGAGATAGTGAGAAATGTGGCCGTGTGTCTGGCCATAGCGGCAACGCTGACGCGCGGAAAGTCAGGGATGGCGCATGACTTATGGTCCTGCACGTTTGTGGGGAAAGTCAACGCCACGCTGTGTCAAAGCCGGGGTGTACTCTACCTAACTGAACTGCTCCGTCCTATCATGACCCGGCTTACGTCTGGGAGGAAGCCTGCAAGGCAGGATTGGGGGGAGCAGCGGCGGCGGTAGTCTCGGCAGATATCAAATATGTTCACCATAGTGTCAAGTTCTCAACATCTCGTGTGTCTCTGATTTTGTCGGCGAAGGCTTCCGTGTTGTTGTATCCCCCTGGTAGCCCACACCGCAACTGGTATTGGACAGGCTTCTGTGTTGACTTGCTTGTGGACCCGGCGATAACCACCCCTGTAACTACTTCTTGCGCCTTCCGTGAGGGGGAGGTGACTGCGTGTTACTATGTGTATCATCGGTCGTCGACCGGCTTATCAATCGACCACCAACATTCGTTTTCTTTTGTTTGAATCGTGTGCGTGTGTGCTTCCTTGCACAGGGTGACGCGACTTACCTGGTGGTAACGGAGGACAAGAAGGTTCAGGACTACGGTATCGTGGCGGTGTGCACTCACTTGGGTTGCGTGGTGCCCTGGAACAAGGCGGAGAACAAGTTCATGTGCCCGTGCCACGGCTCTCAGTACGATCAGACCGGAAAGGTGAGCGATCAGAAGACAGCAGTGCAATCTGTTTTCGCGACAACGTTTTGTACTGAGTTGCCACGAGAATTTCGGTCGTTGGGTGATGATGACCGAGCAACGCTAGCCGTGTTTTCGCAGTGTGCTCACACGGTCGTCATGGTCTCGTCTTCGCTTTCTAGCTATATTTGGGCACGAGTTATGCTCAAGTTGCTGGAGCTGTTCGTTGTCCGCATCGCTTGTAGTGAGTACGAAGTGCTCAAGTGTGCCCGTACAGCTCTCGCAATTCAGGCTTATAAAATCGCTACGACGCATGGGCCTTTATCATGTCCACGACACGCTCGCATCGATCGTACTTGCGGCTCTCAAACATGATGGAGTCCGTCCCAGCATCCAACAACGACACGCGCGGTAGTGCTGTTGACGTGCGCATCCGCTGACTTTCCTTGTGAAAACGTCGTCCTTTTTTTCCCGCGGCGAAACCCTCACGCTTTCGCAGGTTATTAGGGGGCCGGCACCTCTCTCCCTCGCCCTCTCGCACGTGGAGGAGGTCGACGGCAAGGTTATCTTCAAGGAGTGGTGAGTTTTCTTGCGGCATCGGAGATCGGTGTTCCGTATGCACGCTTGGTGCTTGTCAAGTGTCCCTCCCTACCTAAGTTTCGCTCTATTTTCTCGGGGCCCGGAGTTTTTTCGATGTGGGTTATTCGTTCTGTTGGCGTTCCGTGGTATCGTGCTGGGCACGAGTTCGTGTTGATTGTTTTAATATTCACATACCTGGTACTGATGAGGTTTTTTGTTCATCTGTGCACCCAGCACGCGGAACGCGAGTGCCTCACGTCTGTATGGGGGCGTCTTTCGTAAGCCTAGCGTCGAGAAGGTGCTCGGGCAAGGATAGGATTCGCCTGAATGTCACGGGTTTTTGAAGTCACGCGTTGGATAGGCACACCAGTCGTGATACGGTCGTTGTTACCCGCCGCCTTTCATGCCTGCATGAAGCAACGCCATGTGCCGGGTTAGACTTTAGCCGCCTCTCGATTTCTTGTAGGTGTCGTGACGTGCATGACGGTGTTAGGTTCCACCATGCGACTGTAAAAACTTGTGTCCTGAGAACGTTTAGTGTGTTGTTTGCTGCATATCTATTTTTGTGTCGCCGATGATGTTATTTTCTTCACAACTTCGCGGACAAATGCTACCATACGAACGAAGTGTGGACCCTGCCGGCATGGCGTCGATGATGGGTTGCATTTGTTGTTCTTGCCCTCTCTACTGCTGTACCCACTCGCTAGAAATACCTTGTCATTCATCGTATGCATGTTTGCAATAGTTTTCGATGGTCACATCCAACATGAAACTCTCATGCCACGGATACTCATCCATCAACCCCCGTCCCGTCCCGTGCGTTTCCGTTTTTTGCTTTTCCAGGAAGGAGACGGACTTCCGCACCGGCGACAAGCCGTGGTGGTAGACCAGCTTTTTCTGTCTGCATAATTGTTTTGATTCAACAAGTATGACCACGCTGGCCTGAGCACGATGTTGTAGCCGTTCTCGCTTTGGACGCTTGAGCTCATGTTGAGAGGGCCGCAGCATCCGGTAGGGGTGACCACGTTATTGGCAGCACTGATGCCACTGATGCACAGTTAGTGAACGATTTGTGTGCGGTACTAAAACTCGACATGGTGTCGATGAAATCAATCGATGCGTACCCAGCGCGATGGGCCTAGGAAAACACGGCGCACCGGCCTGTCGTCGATAGTTGAGGAGTCCGTCGCGGTCAGGAGGTGTGTTTGCTGCCAATGGCGTAGTGTCTTGTTTGTTGGGTGCGGCTTGTTCGAAAGGTGGCTTTAATCGGGCTTGGTTTGCCTTTAAGTACATTGCAAGCGGTTTTGGTCCCAATTTGTTGGGCGTATAGAGTAAAGCATTTCTTGGGGTCTAGAAGGTGTTTTTTGGCGCTTGAGCGCGTAAAGAGGGAAGGCTTTGTATCAAGATTTTTGGCCGCCGCGGAGGTTTACAACACAAAATCCTCTGTGTTCGTGCGAGAATGCGAATTAGAACATCTGCCAGTTCGAGTTGGCACAAAACGGCCCAATTAAAACTCCATCCGATTTGCTTGCGAGATGGGGCATGGGGCAGGGCCGGTTCGAAGAGATCAAATCACAACCATAAATTTTGTCCACACAAAGCTGCCATTTCTTGGTTTTCGGAGGCCAGCACGACCCATGTGGTCGTTGTAGACTGTCCTTGCCAATTCAGACACTTTCATCAGTTGGCGGTTCTCCTTAGGCAGAAAAAGTGCGCGACACAACAGAGCACGCATGCACGTTGTTGTGCGCGAAGGCCTTGGTATTGCCTGCCCTTCTGTATTGTTGCGGTGGTCACACCCACCTCTTGTGGACTGAATCACGTGGTGAGAGAGAGCATGCATAGGGCGACCCTGGCGGTTTTACTTACACGCCGGAAAGGTTACGCAGTCTCTCGGCGAATCCCTGCACAATGTTTCTTTCCCCTCGGGGCAGACTCAGGCGCCGCATGGCTTCCTGTTATCTTGTCTTGGGCAGATATCACATCGGGATTGAAGTAGTCCCCTCACCTCCAACACAACCCCAGACCAGCGAAACCGATCCTTTTGGTTCCCCGACAGCGGACCTACCGCCGTACCCCGGCCCTCTCTCCCTTGAAAGGGCAATTTTTTCCATCACGTGCTGGCGCATGGCATGCCCGGATGATCTCGCGGTCCAGCTACAACAACACGCCCGTGAGACGGAACACCTACAACATACTAGCACGTAATCGTGTGTGAGTGGGAGCTTGCTCGTCGGCCGGTTTTTGCTCGTGCTCATACTACAGTAGTGCTTGAGGATGCTCGTTTTGTAAACAGCGGTGTATTCCATGGTATGATGGTGAACTTGTCGAAGGGAGTTCGACGCAAGCCATATCTAGACTTCTAAAACTTGGACTAAACCGCGACACAACACATCCCTGACCGGTACAACAACACCACTTCCACCACGTTGACTGAATTCGTGTAATTCACGCAAACGCCGGCACCAAAGCTTTGGTTCCTTTCATCGAAGCACGGCGCCATGGGTCCATCTACCAAACTATCGTGGTTCCTCGAGACATTGAGAACGGCACCGCTTGTTGAATAGGTACGCTCCGAATGACCCATGACCACTGGGGAAGTCCTTTGGGTTGAATTTCATGTGCATGCACCTCGTGACCGTGGTAGAATAATAATGGTAGCGTCTGAAGCCGGCAAACATGCGAAATGAACGGCGTGGGCGTCAACTGCTGTAGTAAGCACGCACTGCCTTCCCATGAAACTATGACTTTTCAGCCACTCAAGCGTTCCTTGCAGCCACGAACAACCACGTTCCACCCCCCCTACTGTGTCATGTGTTTCATACATGACTCGTCGAGCTCGAAAAACAGTACCACTGCACACCCCCGTAAACGCTTCACCGAAACCGTTGTCCTCGCATCAAACACACTAAACACAGTCTACAGTAGGAAGAAGTCGCTCGCGTAGCTCCACACATACCAGGCGACAACTGCTTGGTTACAGCCCGTGGGACAGGCGAGACGCGAGAATACCGCTGAAAACATTTCACGGGGCCCCGTTTGGCGGCCGCCCGCCTAGGCCAGCCTACGCTTACCCCCGCCTTCGTCTGCTGGTGCTCTCGGGGTTAAAATAGTCGATCATGTGCCGGGACCGGGGGTGCCAGTTTCGACCGGGTGTCGGCCTCGATTACGGGTTACCCTCATGCTTGGGCCATCCGAGTTGCTCCGGGCTTGGGGCTGTGGGCCGTCTGCTGTTGTTCGTGATGGGTCGTCTTGATTGCTGCCCCCCCTCGAGGCGACTGCTTTCTTCTTGTTGTGACCGGAGCCTTTCCGCCTGTTGTCGTTACCACCACCGTCGTTGGAGTCGCCCGCGGGCCCCCCTTTCGCCGCGTCGCGGAATGAGACGATCGCGCCTGATGCGGCCTGGTTTCAAGTCGAAGAACCACCAGGCGTCAAGTGTGATCGGCGGAAGAATATATTCGAAATATAGATGGGCGAGCTTCGGCCACAGGGGGAAAATCTCATGTGCACAGCAGTGACGCTACAGAGACAAAAAAACATGCAAAAAAACGATTGAGCCATGTCAAAGACGATGCGCAAGAACTACCAGTTCGACGATTTCGCGCGGGTTTCATACAGATTGCATGACGGCCTGCATCAACATACGTCGGAGGAGATGTGCATCTACCGCAGTAGCAGCGACACCGAAGGCCTCGCGTAAACCTTTCGCTGGTCAGTGCTTCCGTGGGGCAACACGCAGACAATACCGTCTGGATTTTATGAAAAACCAAATGGCCAACAACTCATTCGCGACCCCACCACGCAAGCAACACAACTCATGGGAATTCCTCCAAGTCTTGGTTCCGGGATAGCACTCAAGCCAATCCCCCCTCACTTACCTCACGGAAGTAGACGGCACAGGCTAACACCGCGGCAGCCGTAGCAACGACACCGACGGCCTGTAGCGTATCCCGATCCGCCTCTCTCAACGCCATCCTGATCCCCCGCTCAACCTTGACCACCTCCCGCCAGACGCCATTGGCTCGGTCGAGCACCCCTTCGGGAGCGGGTCCTTTCCTCGCGTCCTGCCAGGCGGACTTGGTCCCCTCGCGGACGAAGCTCGGCTCCTTTGACAGGCTGACCGCCACGTCCACCCGTCCGACAAACGCCCTGGTCGTGAACTCCATACCTGGGGATGGGTGGGATATCGGGACATCGACATGTTGCTACGATTGCGAACTCTGAACACGGGTATGAGGACGGGCAAGGTATCGGAACATCGGCACGCTGTCACACCCAGGGATGGGGATTGATGGGGTCGGTTCATCGGCATGTTGCTACGATTGTGGACTCTGAACCGGGGGATGGGGACGGGCAAAGGTATCGGAACGTCGGCATGTTGCCACAACTGCCATGTCAAACCTAGGGATTGGGACGGGCGGAGGTATCGGGACACTGGCATGCTGTCACGCCCGGGGATGGGGATGGACGAGACATCGGCTGATCGACATGTTGCCAGGAGGAGAGCCCGTCACGTACGTCCGCTGAGGCTACCGCAAACAAAGGGCCAGGCTCTCCGACCATTTGTCCGTCCAAGGTCTCTCCCTGAACCACGAACAAACAAAAACAGCCTGGTACTGATTCCTCCGGTACGACCAGCCCGAGAAATGCCAGAAAAAGACACACACCCGTGCGCAAGTTGACAACCAACATAGAGAAAGACTCCATCAAACCCATAACACGAGTACAATAAGCAACGCTGATGCTCTGAAAATCGGCGCGGAGTAACTCTTGACTCGGGAGCAGGAGTTGACGCGATGCCGGGAACATGTCTGATCGCTGCGCTGCTCCTTCACCGGACATGCCATTAATCGCCGCATCGCAAACGACGGCGGAGGCCGGCACCGCGCCGCTCGACACAGCACACCGTGCCATCGAGTTCCAGCCCGCTCACGTCACGGTCGGCCCACGTGTTCTACAATCCAAACCAAACTTCTCTCCTGTGCTACGCGTACATGACGCGATGCATTTTTCGGGTATGGACATAATTGCTGCCCGGTTTTGTTCTTGTAGTGCCACTGTCACGACCAAGGCGAGAGTCTACAGTCTACATCTCCGATCACCTCTGAACTCCCATGCGCTTAGCAGTCGATCCTTCCCCGACAACCGTTTCATGTCCTCGGATCCTTCCTCGTTTAGCAGCAGCAAGAACAGGCACCCTTCTCCGCTAACCTTGTGACCGTTGCACTCCATGTTCGACCTGCCAAAACCACGAAAAAATGAGCAAAGCGATGCAGTTGCATAAATTCATATGGCCTTCAGAATCTGTCGCGTACACGCACGGTTTGAGTTGCACTGCCCTCTACAACACATCGAGCAGGCGTCGTTGATGGTGATCGGTTGGCAAAGCATCAAGTGTATCCCGTTAGCAGAAGAGATTGCTCCCCAGCTGTGCTTTGGCAGATCGATGCTCGTTCGGCAAACGCGCTACGGGTTTGAACAGCGGTCGCAGGTGGACACCATCCTGCTGATGTCGAACCAAAGGGTTTATATCGAAGACGAATAGCAGCGAGGTACAGAAGGTAAGCGCGACAGCTACGTCAGCCAACCAACACGCTTGCACCCAGAAGTTAGCAATGTTAAAAAAACGGCTGACATGTGGAAACCGTTGAGAGTCGACAAGCCGCAGGGTTTGAAGCATGCGGACAAAGCGTTCGCTTGGTGGGGGAGGCTTTAACTACTCGTCTGCTGCATTTTTCGTCCCCAAGCGCACTGCAGCAAAACAGCAGGACGGCCCGTCCCAGCGAACCAGCGACAAACGACGGATTGCGGCCAGATGGGTCGTGGCTGAACACTCCCCGCTTTCGCGAAAGATCGACTCACTTGCGCCCGTCTGTGAGCGAGAGCATTGTGTCCAGCACTCTCAAGTCTTCTCCTTGCAAGAGATGCACGTTGTCCAATACCACCACGGCCCTACCAACGCACCGCTCAATCGCGACACATAGCTGCCTGTTCAGCTGTTCTTGTGCCTGCAGCCCAATAGACACAAAGGTGCGAGAGAGGGGCGGTGTTGAGGGTAAGCCGCAGCAAACGTTCCAGGCAACGTCACATCCGTTGAGCAAGCACACCAAGAGGCAGTCTCGTTCACCCTGGTCTGTACGAACACACGCGAACACAAGGTATGTATAGACAAGGGTTGCACATAATAAACGATTGTTGGTGCTACGCTGCTCGGATCTGTGCACGTCTTCAACCGCTGTCGCGCAAGACGACCATCCACCGCTCATGAAACACAGACAAACCCATCAGCGGGACTCGCCAGCATACTGCATAAAATGATCTTCCCCATAACTGAACGTTTGGTCTCTGCTCTACTGCTGTAGTGAACGTGATTCCTATACAAATGTACTGGTACGTACTTTATCAAGGTTGCTAGACGGACCCCAGAAAGCTGCTTGCTCCTCCATGTCCAGCACGACAACATCGTTCGACCAGCGCTCGTACACCGACTCCAGCAGTGCCTCCGCCACCACCCTAGGCCCCCATTCCCCGCCCCCGACAATTACGTATGTGTGGGGCACGGGCTGGCTGGACGTGGACACGCGAAATAAAAAAAGAAAACAACGAGGAACGGCAGCGACGTGGAGGAGAAGATGTCACACACTTACGGGAAACAAGAGGAGGAAGAGAGGTGCGTGAAGGGAGCCATGCAATTAACAAAGGATGGCGCACAAAACACAACAGAAATACAAAAAAAAATACGATGGGTTTCATCGGATATGTTGCCGTATCACGTGTGCAGTGTCGACATTGGTGGGTGGGATTGATGTATTATTTTCGTTGTGTCTCGTTTATTTCTCCTTCTGCTTAGCAGACCGGACAGCACAGGACATACTAGAAACGGCACGATCGTCTTGTCTTGTCTTGTCTGTCATGGTGGCATGTGGCGTTATATTCAGTACGTGTGGGCGGTTCTCGACCATAGCTCGTGTGGGGTGGTGCTGCTGCAAACGGGTCCCGCCAGCACTTACACGACGCTACTATAATAGCGGGAACCACTTTAGGGTCCCACGATCACCAATACGATCACCAACACCATCACCATCACCAACACGATCATCAACACGATCACCGCAACACGACTACCAACACGATCACCAACATGATCACCAACAAGACCACCAACACGATCACCAACACGATCACCAACATGATCACCAATACGATCACCAACACGATCACCAACAAGATCACCAACACGAACAACGCAGCCTTTGCAGACTTCACGGTACCCGCGGCAAGGGTGCAAGTTACCTCAAGGCTCCGGTGCGGAGGTCCGCCAAGATGTTAGCGATTCCATCCTCCCCAGCGAGTCCGCTAGCCTCTACAGCAGTAGTAATGATGATGATGATGATGATGATGATGATGATGCATCGATAGCAGCGTCAGAGTACAGAAAATGCAGCGCAATCAGCAGTGTTGGAATCAGAAGGCCCACACGGCTGAAAAACACGTGGAAACAAACCGAAACCCTCAGGAGGTGTGGTGCAGCAGAATACAATGCTGAAACTTGCTCAGGCCTACACAAAGCATATCTTGTCACATGACTTCTGCATACAACGTGAAAAACAAAACTTGATGAGACCCTCCCCGAAATCGAGCCGGGTCGTGCCAGCACTTGGGTGCACGGTGTCTGGTTGTTACACGGTAAATACCGCATCACTTTCCATACGAACCGGCAGGGATCACCGGCAGGGATCACCACCTCCCCATGCCGCTATCTCTGTATTCTCTTTGACCCATACAACAAAGGTTACAACAAAGGTTCTTCATCAAGTACCTTTGGTGCTGGTGTTGTTTACCCGTGATTTACTTGCTGCTGATTACCGGCGCTCAAGATCCGTGAAGGCTGTGGTGCTTATCCGCTCACCCCAAGCGCTGCGTTGCTGTATCTGAGCGGCCACGACTACTGGCTTCGCTCGTCGTTGCTCTTGAAATTTAACACTACCGTTGGCATCACGTAACTCTCGCGAGCGCCAAAACTCCAAACAACAGCAGGAACCCAACGAATAGCCCATTTCGACTCTACTAGGGTCAGTGTGGAGCATGACCCATTCGAAGAGTCCTACTGCACCGTAGTCACGCCCCCTGTCATTTAGGCCAGCCGACTACTTCAGGGGGTGGGGGGGTGGTGACATGTTTAGTCTGTGGGCCGGGGGGGGGGGGCGCAGAGAGCCTCCAAGGCGCACCCACCGTCCCCGCACTACATGTAAAAACCTTGCTCGAAGGACCGAAATAGGTATCCCCAGAGGCCACAGGCGCAGCACAGCTGGGGACGGAAAGTGGACCCTTTCACTCTCCAGCCCATAAACAGCAATACACACGGCTCGTGAAGGTCTTGAGAGTCATTTGCAGTGCCTCCAAGGGGTCGTTACCGGGTGACCCTTCCCAAGACAAAGGCTCCAGTTATCCACAGCAGCAGCAGTAGTGCACGGTCTTCTGATGCCGACGCTAGAAATCCGCAGACCGCAATTCAAACCCATCTCCTACAAGTAGTAAACCAAGCTCCTGTGATCTGCGCCACATGCAGGACGCGGCGCTTGTCCCAAGCGTCGTCTGTGTGCTATGCATATGTACAATATACACTCAAGTGAGGGGACACCGTCACCAGTGACACTAACTCTTACAGCAGAGAGGCACATCTTAATAGACAGAAAACATCGTGATTTGAACAACAGAAACCGTGAGTTTCGCACAAAATGTTAGGGTGAACGGGTGCAGGAAGAAGAGACGGGAGTTAACGGCGCTCCAACAAGATCGTTGCCTGCCCTCTCAGCGCCCGCCGCTGCAACGAACGATGGATCCTCATCGTGTCGTTGGATCGTCTCACCTATCGCGTGTTGAAAAACATGCCAGTTTGACCCCTCTTTTTTCGCACACTGCGACGAGTTACCAGGGAGTACAAGCAACGAGAACAGCGCCCATATCCTCCAGCAGGCCATCATCTCCCTCGGCAGGCCACGCCAGGCCTCCCCAGCCCTCCCCAGCCCCCGGTTGCTGTGTGGGTGACCTGCTCTTTCTCTCTCCAGCTGGACAAGCCCGTGCCAAGACAGGCCACACCGCCTCGAGAACCATGCTATGTTCAGTGAAAACCCCGATCTCCGAAAATAAGCAAGTCTACGATCTACGAGACTACGACCGGGACGATAGACTCTCCGCTGCTTCCCGCCCCCTTTCAAACGCACGACAAAGCGGGGAGAGTGAGGGTGGCACGTGTATCGTGAGGTAAGTCCACTGCAAGTTGACTTGTCCATCTGCTATGTAGGTGACCTGACTGTTCTTTAGGGAGCATTGGCAGCTTGACGGCAAGTGGCCTGGAGAGAGCCTGTGCCGCACTGCACCAGGACATACAATAGCGGACCACATGCAATCTCGGGTTCTCGCATATTTCTCCGACGAGGTGTGTGACAGGGTGCAAGCTGATTGCATCATGCCTTCACGGTTTCATCCATGTGAGATTCTATGTGCCTCTGGTTGACGGCAAGATAGACGCGCCTACAATATACTTCAGTATGTCCAGCAGTAGTCATGTGTGCGCGGGTCCAAAGTCCAAAAGCAGCAGCAGCGACCGTTGTTAACTGTTCTTGTCGTCTCAACAGCGAAGAGAACGAAGTGTTGGAGGAGCGTTTCCGCACTGGGAGGGGGGCAACATTGCTTCATACAGCAGTACGAGGATAAGTACAGCCAGAGGTGAGTCATATGCACTACTACTTCATCTCGAAAGCTGGTACACCTTTCCCCACTTATGCATAACAAAAGGGCGAGGTTTGTTTGTGTGTTCGTTCGGAAGTTAGATTGGAAGAGTCAGCAAACCAGGTGAACTATGTACTGCTGTACTGGTTGTGGACAATATCCAGCTGAGACGAGAACGCCGTCGGCGATATGGCATGAGACATTACACCACTTGGACCGGTATTCAAAGCTCGATTTCTATGCGGCAACGACAAAGACGGTGCCGAAACTGGCGGCGTTTGGAGCCGCCTGTTCGATATCTTTCCGAACACGTATCGTTTGATTGTGGCATCCTCTGCGTCGTCGTGGAGTCGGCCTTCGAAAATAGGTCCAAGATTTTTGGAACGGAGCATCATAATCAGGTATTTCACCCATGACATCTCCCATGTACAGCAGTACTGCTGTACACGCTCACGGAGAATCGTGCCTGGCTTGTATCCAAATATGTAGGTTGTCTCGAGCTTGCTCCAAATAGGGGATTTGAGTTGCAAATGGTGTGCGGCGATTAAAGTAGTTGCGGCGGCGACGTGCGTGCGTGTTGTTGCGTTTGGCTGGACCGGGTGAGAGATGGAACCCCCTAGCCGGTGCGAGAGATGACAGTGCACCCCAAGAGGGTTGGCAGAGCAGCAACCGTAGCGTTGTTTCGTTGTTGCTTTAGTCGAGTGCTCGCACGCTCGTGTCGTTGGAAGTCTTACTGTCGGATTCGCTCCATCTCTAACTATCTCTCTATGAGACGGTTGTCTCCAGGTTCGCGTGTGAGCAAGTTCCCGTTGGGATGTGTGGTGTGGATACACACCGGTTCAACCTCTGGTGAAGAGGCTGACGAGTACGGATAGTTGTGTTGTGAGTCAAGGGGGGGAGCAATCTTGTGTTGAAGCAAGGTTCAGCATCCATCCGACACTGACTCTATCTGTGGCAACACCCCGAAGGTAGATCTCCGACAGGTCATCTGACGTCACAATCTACTACAGTCTGAGGTGGCATTCACAGCACCCCCCTATCTTCAATCACGGGGCCTGAATCCGGATTGAAAGATACAAGAATGACATAAACAACCCAGAGTGTATCAAATTGTGAAGTACTGATGAAAAACACGAGTTAAATGACTTGGGCCGTAACGTACGGCGACTGCCATCATTCAACGAATGCTCTGTGTTTTGTAGTCATAAAATTTGGAACGTGTCACCAAAATATCTCATCCGAGCATCGATCGTACATAGTGCAGTCACAACCAGCTTGCACGAGAGCAATTCAGGAATTTTGGCAAGTATTCCCGTACGACGAACGAATAACTACACAGATGACGAAAGGTGTACGGAACATGTCACTTCAGTCCGCCTCGGCGCTGTAGGTAACATGTGATCTACCGTACGAACGAACGACGGGTGTACAGAAAAAACATCACTTCGGTGCGCGTCTTGCCCCGATAGTGTAATAAAACTGTACAAGTAGTACCTTGAGACAACGCCGTGAACTATTTTGTAGTTGCACGTAACGAACATCCAGCAACGAAAAATAATTTGGCATTGCACCTGTGAAAAACGATTGCTTGCAAGGCTTATAGTTCACAAGTGTTGAATGGCAAATGACGTGGGTCGACCCGCTGGGAAACGTTGCTCAAACTTTATGCAGCTGCAACAACGAACTAACATATGTGCACAGCTCATGGAGAGCT